CTTATGTTGTCCCTCATCATTAAGATGGTTTAACATTTTCCTTTTTTTTATATATAAAAAATGAAATCATTAGCAAAGCAATTGAATAAAAAGCGAAAGTTATAGACGAACTGTTTTTTTATATCACTGCCGCCAATAACCTATAGTATCTTTTCGTTCTCGGTAACAGCAAGATGATGTCATAAGAAATGTTAAATATTCAGCTAAGCGAAATTTTGATTGAAATATAAAATATTGAAATTTAGGTAAAATCTACACTATCGCGCTCCCACCATTTTGTGATTAACTCGCTTCACTGACGAGTTTAATTAGGCACGAGCGAAGAGTGTTTAATAAAGCAGTCTGAAAAAGTCTAAAAACATTTTGCATACTATACTTTACTTCCTCTACGACCATTAGTTTTATTGGCACCTTTTTGCAAAACCGCATGAATACGTTCACTAAGCGAGGTGTGACGTGAGCTTCAGAACTGACAAACGTCAAAATACTATCAGTGCTTCAAATTTAAAACAGTACCAAAAATGGTTAATAGCGACTGTTGATAACAAAGTCTAAAGTTCTAACATTTTGCGCAGACTTGATCAGTGTATGTGTGCGTATTTTAATGGAAGAATTAGAAAATATACTCTTTTCTACTCTCGTCTGTAAAATACCTAATTACACACGGATCTAGCGTGCGGGAACCATCAATTTACCACGTCACTTTCGTTTCCCACTGATCCGAGCCACTTCATACATCTCCGGGATCTTACCACACGGCTTGAATTTTGACGTTTATCAATTCGGACGGTCATGTCAGTGAATGTATTCGTGTTGTTTTGCGAAAATGTACCCAAAAACTAACGGTCGTAGAAAAAGTATAGTATGCAACACGTTCGGTAAACTTTTTAACTCACTCGTATATTAAACTTGTGAGGCAAATCCCGTTTACCGCACTTGCTTAATATACTATTATTCTATTATATTTTTAATTGAATGCTTCAATTAAAGAGGCGAACAGAAAAAAATGACATGGGCCTTCGCCATTTTGTCGCGAACAAACTTTGACGACTTTTTTTTTAAATTTTGCCAGTTGCAAAAAATCGATATTGTCTAGTCGAATAACCATACGCTCATTTTGTTTCATTGCAAAAACAGCCGAGTCGAACGGCAACGTACGAAAAGCTAAAACTAAAATTCGGTCGGATATTTACGGTCACTTTTTGTCACAAAACGCAATCATATTCGGAGTCGGTCCGTGAGGTTGCAGTCTTCACGCGGATCAAGTCCGCCTTTGGTGAATGCCGACGACACTAAATTCATTTCATTTGTTTCGGTACCAATTGTTTTAATAACGACACCCATAAACGCAGTACCGTCATTAGGAAGCGGCATTTTCGAGGATCGGAATCGAAAATTTCTGCACCGAAATTCCGAAACAAAATTTATCAACTCTCGCCAAAACATTACATAAAACATAGAAATATTTAACCGATTTTTATTATTTATTTAATTACTTAGTTACCTATGCGTTTGGCCGTGGTTTGAACAACCTGGGTGGGCGTAGATATACATAGGTATATAGATTCATTTCGAAGATATGTTATTACAGTTTCCTATTTTTAATGGTTATTTTTGACAATTTTTGACTTGTAATGTTTACTTGCTCCTCCTTTTCTATTCGCGCCCTCTCTTCACGAAGATTGGCGATGCAAATGGCTTTGCAAACTGGAGCACGAAAGATTTCTGTAGACGAGTGATTAAAGATATATTTTAGCCATGAATTTTGATGCCTTTCTACTGATCTATTTCCATGTATTTTTTGCTTCTGTTATGAGCCTAAATTAAGAATTTTTCTTTTCTTGATGATTTGTTGATACATTATTGCTGATTGTTGATTCGTCTGTAAACGTACAGTTCGAAATCTAATTTTTTCTCTGTTTGAGGCTCTAGGGTTCAGAGAGCAATACAGAAAATACATGACACTTTTACGTTCTATGATGAGATCCGTTCTGGTAAAAAAATGTTTTCATACTCATGAAGGGTTTCTTCGCTTGTTGAATTATCAAGAAAACTTCTTTTTTCGAGTCGTGATGTTAGCAAGTTATAATTAGCCACAAATTCTATATGGAAATAATGAGTTGTGAGCTGACATTGCTGTATTACAAAACGGTGGCGTTTAGGGCACCGATCAAAATCTACAAAATAGCCCTATACTTCCGCGAAATTTGGCTAACCCTTCATTAAAACACCCCGTATAATATCGTGAATTTTTTCAATGTTCAAGATTACTCACAATGTAGCGTTACGAAAATTGTTAAAAATACAAGGATTTCAAAATAATTTCTTCTCAATATAGTTGAGGTTTTAGTAAAGTTTTTTATATAGTTCAGAACAACTAATCAAGGACAATAATATACATCTCTCTGCCTCCATGCCCAATTTAAAAACGGATGGCTGGAAAAGTGGCGATAAGTTTTAAGTGTATTTCCGAAGAATCGGCAGATGTGAGTCAATGATGAGACCGGCCTTTTGCTTTCGAGTCTTACCTAACAAACCACTTGCTTCGAAATCCGAAAAATGTAGTGGTGGAAAGCTCTCCAAGGAGAGACAATTTTATTTTGTGCTAATATGAAAGGACAAAACGAAGATTTGCTCGTAATTGGAAAAGCTGTCCGATTTAGGGCATTTAAAAAGATACCAATTAAAAATTTACCGGCAATATGGAAATTTAACAAGAAAACATGGATGATATGAGACAATGTGAATGAATTTGATAGAAAAATGGCCTTACAAAAGCCAAAATTTTTATTATTCTTGGATAACGCAGCATCTCACCGCCGTGAGGTAAAATTACAAAACATAAAAATTATCTTCTTGCCTCCAAATACGACATCAGTATGTCAACCTCAAGATCAGGGTATCATACAGAATCTTAAATTCCATTATGGAACAAAGTTTCCACACAAAATTATTTCAACAGAGCTGGTTTTCAAAAAAATAATGATTTTCCTACATCAAGGGAATGGGATCCAGAAGATAATATTCCCACTATCTACGATACTTGAAATGCAACGATGTGTTAGAGAAATGAACATAACGCAAGAAACTCTTGGAAACTATGTTGGAATCGACAATATTACAGCGACTGAGGAGACTAGTTTGAATATTGACGATGCAATTGAAAACATGGAAGAACCTGAACTGGAAGAAGACAGCGATCAAGAATATGATAGTGGGGAATTTAGCACAATTAACGGTTATATTGAAGCCTTAAAATTACCGATCTAAAAGTTTTCGCATTTCAACACCTTAAAAATTAAGACGATCATTTTCAGTCAAGTTTGTTAAAGCAAAAAACAATAAATTGTTTTTAAAGAAATAAACATAATACATATTTACGATTTATGTTTTTTTTTTCATGCACATCGAATGAGCGGACACCTCTAATATGCGGACAAAACCAGAGGAACCGTGAGTGTTCGGTTATGGGAATTTTCACTGTATGCGTAAAAGTGGCGAAAGGGCTTGAATTGTAAACCTTCTATAACGGTCATTTTGAGATATATAGAAGTTTTTTCAAATTTACAAACTATCACTATTTTATTAAATCCAAATTTATAAAGTCCACATTAATACGACAGAGAAAGTACAGCGTAGGTTTGTAAAGTTTTCGCATTTCAGGTTAGCAGGATACTCGAAAGGGAGAATCGAGAATGCACAATTGCTTAGCAACTTCAATATTCAGTCACTCCAGCCACTATTTGCTAGAGACCCACAATTCACAAATTCTAACCTTACCTTTTATGTGAAAATCCCTAATAGAAATTTATATAAAAATTCGCAGATTTATATATTAAGTGCAAATTAAAATTCGTGAACAGTACAATATATTTAACGTATATATTTTCAGGGTGTTTTTCTCTACTGCTAGTGTGTAGGCTATAATGAGAAAGACTATGATTGTTCTACTGTTGCTTCTAGATAGTAATTGAATATATGTTATTATGTGTTCGGTTGGGCAATAAATTCCACTGAGGAATTTATAAAAGCAAAAAAAAGATATTACAATACAATTTTCTTAGTCTCTGCTATTTTTTACCAAAAATAGTTCCAGTCATAATTATTTCGTTTAGATTAGTCAATTACTATCAAGTTTCCAATAAAAATAGTTACGTTTATATGTAGTATAAACAGTTTTTCGCACAATATTTTCACCATACCCAGGGCCATCTGTCTTTCTCTTCTGCTCTATCGTCAACAACTCATATGAAATATCATCATCTGCTGATGACTTTTATTTTCTCTCATTCTCTCCTTTCTTGCTTTTGGTGGTCCAGAGATGACCTAAAATCGTTAATATCACTTATCATGAAAAATTATGAAAAAAATGCCTATGAAATATTATTTTTAACATAACTTACTCAGAATTGGCTGAAAATCTAGGAAAAGTTAGAAATGATATCCGCAACATTTATAAGGCAGTACAAAGTAACATATATAACATAACATATAACATATATAGTAACATGATGTAGAGTTAAAATTTTTGGATATATTAAAAGGGCCAGGTCACCCGCTGGGTATTTAGGTGCCTTGATAGGCCACCAAATTTATTTTGAAACTGATAAATTGGTAAACAATCCATCTTTCGCTATAGTTAAATTAAAAATACGATCCTGTCCAATACCTGGCAAATAAATTTTATGTGTTTAAACGCCTCAACAAGCAGTCGTTTCTTGGCAGATGGATGACGAAGTTTTATTGCTTTGCCGTTACAATAACATTCTCCTCTTGGATAATGAGCACTAAAACCACAATTGCGAATACTCGAACATTAAAAGCCGACAAAACCAGCATTTTTAGCCGAGAAAATGCTCGAGAGATAAATCTGGAATGCGATCGAAATGAGTGAGCAGTGTAACGAAGACGACCCGTATATTATAATCGTAAGACAATGTCAATTTAACGCTCCGGGTGATGGTAAAAAAATACGTAGCACATAGTGGAACCGTATCTTTTTACTAATATAAAGGTCGCAGCAGTGTTCAATTTCTTGTCAGTGCGTATATCAGTTCGGTGGTCCACATTGTACGGTCGACATCGGTCCGAAAATCAGTTGTATATATTGGAGCGTAATAATATACCTCTTCCCGTCTATTTTCTAGTTAGAAGGATGAAGTTGCTCGTATGCTTGGTCCTTGTGTTCGCTTTCGCGGCCGTTAACGCTGGTGAGCCACTCTTTTCAATTGGTATTTTATTTTCCAGTTGTTCTATGAAACGTTTTGCGCCATTGCTATTGCGTTAGCCGAAATCGAATCAAATTTATTTATTTAAAATAATGTTCGTCGAGGGTTTTAATGTATGGTTTGCGCAATTCCCAAACGTTTTTTTTGCAAAAACAGTGAAAGTATACAAAAGTGAAACGATTCGAAATTATATTTTGATTTGCAGGTTGTAACAAAGTAAGTTCCCTTTCGTTTTTACGCCCCTCAAATATAATTCGGCGGGCAGAACTATTTATATTTAAAGCGCTCAATTGTTAAATAGACCGAACGCAAAAACATGAACTGTTTTTATAGGTTTATATCTGAAAAACAACTAAACGTATTTGGACGACCGCTGCGTTTTTGCAGCGGTTTTTTCGAAATTCTTAATTTCCAGTAAATTTCAAATCGACTCAGATTATACCTTTTTCTAATTTCTTAGTATTTTATTTACCTGGATTGCTAAAAGTAGTAATAACAGGTTTGAGCAATTTTTTATATATTTTCAAGTTTTTAAGATACTTTTGTTTCACTATTTTTGACATGGTGTGTTTAAATTTCATACGAAAACCCAGACTAAATGTTGACACCATTTGACGATTTCGACAAATTTATACATGGACCGCATCCATGTAAAACGAGAATATTATCGTCCAGTCCGTTGCATGCTTTTTATATAGATTTTTTGCGAATCATAAGCACCCACTCGATTTTCCAAAAAGTTTGAAATTTATTTTATTTTATTGTCTTTTTAACTGAAAGTACAGCAGAAATATATAAATTAATAATTATTATATTAATATTATTTAATAATTAAAAACGACTTGAAATAATGAGTGAATTCTCTTGCAAAACGCGTTTAAAATAATTCTTTATGATGATCAAGGAACGTCACATTTTAAACTTATGGGAATATTATTTAAACGTATTTTTAAAAAATTGCTTTTAGACGGACGTTACCGGGGTCTTGAGTTCGAATTTATAAAATAATATAAAAATTAGAAGTGATTTATTTATACTATAAATTAAAATCTGTTTATCTTTTTTACAGTTGAAAGATAATTTTTACAGACCCCAATCAATTGACGTAATCAGTCTTTTAAGTTTAAATAGAATTATAGTTAAATTATTTAAAAATCGCCAAAATATAGTTAAGTACGAACAAAAAAATATTATTTAATCATTTTATATAAACCCTTCTAACGAATTTTGTAGTTCAAAATAAGTAGCTAAAATTTCGATTTATATAAATAATATAAGTAATGAATATAAGAAATACAGCGTTTATATCTGAAAACTAGAAATATTTTAACATTATTTATTAATATTTATTGCAGTCTAAATCAAACTTTTAACAAAATATTTAAAAATATTAAGAACTCAAGCCATAGCATATTATCCAACAAATTTGATAAACGACGCTTTAGTCACGACCATTAGATTTTTGTGCTCATTTTTGAAAATTAGCACGAATATATTTACTGAGTAACGCGACTATACCGCCGCCCGTGGCTAAAATTTACCGGTCGCTCCCAAATCCGTGACTAAAGTCCCGGAAATGTTCGAAGTTTTAATGCAATTTTCTGCACACTTGATCGGTTCCTAATTGACCATTTTAGTTTCTGTAGTATTTCTTTTTTTTTCTTTCTTAAAATTTCTTAAATTTATTATAAGTAGTTATACAAATAGAACTTAAATTGTAAAAACGTACAACTACAAATAACGTCACACATATTTAACAATAAAACAAAATAAATAAAAATAATAAATTAAAAATCTTTCCGAGAAGATTGTGATGGTGTAGAAATTTCAATGATTTATTTTTAAAAGTTAAGCAATACTAAACAAAAACACAAAGTCAGTACAAAATATGTTTTATAAATTACATCATGGGTTTATGAAATTTCTATCCGTATTTCGATTTGTATAAATACCTAATCTAAAGTAACATATTGTGTAGTAAATAAAATATTTTGAATCATAATTTTCGACTGCTAAAGACATCCAAAGTTAAACAGAACTTCATAGTGAAATTTCAGAGGACAGGAAACACTTAGATGCAGTACATTCACATCCATCTGTTGCGGATATTAATAGAAACACTATCAACACGCACATTTTCCTTATCGTCTATTAATATAACAACAATCTATCAATCGTTACATATACATTGAACTCTAAAAATATCCGGATATACTTTTCGTTTCTACACCAGTTCCAATAAAAGAAAATAAAAGCTCAAAAAATTATTTTTAAAAAATTGTCGTTTAAATTTTAAGCTTTCCAAATACTAGGTCTTCGCAAACACTCACAGTTATTAGAGTTTAGAGATAAAAAAAAAGTTCGAGGATATTGCATCATTTAACAACAATTATCTATTTTAAATCTTTACGAATCTCCATGGCAACATGTTTTTAAAACACCATAAAAGTTATTAACGATTGCTAATGCTCGGTAAATACCGTTTGCAAAATACGAAAAAACATTTGAACAGTATAAGCGGGAATCACATTTAAATGTAAATTAGCTAAGCTTTTAAATGTATTTCAATAACGTTTGTCGCTTTACAAACATTTACTTAATTACTAAGTGGCAAAAAACATCGAGATGCAAACAATTTAATTCTTGTTATTATAAAACTTATATTTCTTGAAAATAAATCTCCCTCTCTTTGGGACTTTGGGAAACAACTTAACCCCCTTTTAAACATAAAATTGGCGAAAGGGCGACCATTAAAGATGATTTGTGTAAATTTAAATTATTGCATGTCTCATTTAAACTCATCCGCCCACTCTCCTTTGAGATTTATCTTATAATAAAGTACGTAACTAATATAATTTAAATTTTCTTAAATAAAACTAGAAATTTTGAGAACGTCTAATCACCATATATTTAACAGTTCCATAAATAACAAATTACAATCAATAAGATGTTTAAAAATTATCGGGGTCTTATAGAACAATCAATTTGTTTTTAATAATTTCATTTTTATGCAGCAAATCTTGTTTTTATTTTTTATGCAAGCGTGCGTTATTTTAGATTTATTCTTCTTCCCTTCGTTTTTCTCATGGTTGTTTCTAAATTTTATTTATGAAGTCAGGAAAATTCTAGATATGATAGCCTCCCTCCGTTTCCGATGCTTTTCTTTAAATACGGCTTCAGGTATGTAGAGGAACATATTGGTTTGTAGGACTGAATGACTTTAAAGAGTTTGTTACGTTTCCACAGACATGTCAAGAAAAATAAACAAAATATTTAGACAGAAATTGCGGATATGAAGGATAATTTCATCCACTATCGCTGCATTTTTGCAATTTTCGTTTTTTACCTGTATTTTCTAGGTACAGATTTAAGTGACGTCAATTTATTTTTTCAAACATTTCGGATATGTTTCTACTTTTAATAAATATAATTTATCGTTTTGGTAAAAAACAAAAGTATATTTCGTTAAAGGTCACTTGGTTGAATTTTTTTAAATAAGCATTAAACACTGTCGCGAGTCACTTCGATGGTCTCTGGTACTTTAGTCACGAGTTTAGTTCTGATGGTGACATCACACGTCCGTCAGTAAATGCATTCGTGCTGTTATGCAAAAATTGCAGAAAAATTATAATATGCAACTCGTTCATAAAACTTGTTGCACACTAGAGCGAGAACATATTCATAGTTGCATTAACAACTTTTTTAATTTTGGACATATTATGTTTTTGCAATGATAACCTCATAACTGAAAAAAATATATTGCAAAGTGAGATAAACCATTACAGTAGCTGATATTATAGCACCGTTCTTTCCTCACCCTGTGGAAGTTCCAAAATTCGGATATAAAGTCCCATTCAAGCGTTTTTATTGTAGCTATTTTCTTCGCCATTACTGTCAAGGAGGAAGGGAACGATTTTTCACGCTGGTAAGAGCTATTAACTGCTGACCAAATTGTTATATAAATTGTCGTCATTGTTTGAAACTCTTTCTGTAACTAGCGTTATTTCGATAACACCGCATTTGACATTTGACCCAAATAAATTGTTAAATAATTTTAAATCGCCGCAGCAGCATGTTACCGATCGCTATATTTTTTTACAAGGCAAACGTGAAACTGTTTCAGTTTTTGTTTGTTCTTAATTTTGTACGATGTACAACTAATTTTTGTAATTCAATTTCAAGGCACACCGTGCAAAGACGGAGAAGTCAGGAAGGCTGACTGCAATACCTGCGTTTGTCGAAATGGTATCGAAGCATGTACTCTAAGGCTATGTCTTAACAGATCCAGACAAACCAGAGAAGGCAAGTAATTACCAAAGTATAATTATACATATAATGGGTTCGTTTAAGACGCACTCTTTTGCAATTATTTTATTTAAGTATATTTTAATTCTGGCTTGTACGCATTCGATGCTTTTTTAATATTATATATATATATATATATATATATATATATATATATATATATATATATATATATATATATATATATATATATATATATATATATATATATATATATATATATATATATATATATATATATATATATATATATATATATATATGATGACACTATATTCCGGGATATCATCCGTTCGCTCGTTGAACTCCGACTGGAATCCTGCATCCGACTTGAATCCTGCAGACGTTTTGCCAAAATCTCACGGATGATATCCCGGAATATATATATATATATATATATATATATATATATATATATATATATATATATATATATATATATATATATATATATATATATATTTTTTTTTTTTTTTTTCACGTATTGATTCACGGATGGAAAAATGTGATGACACTATATTCCGGGATATCATCCGTTCGCCGAAAACACTTCGAACACTTCGCGGTGATAATTGCGAATGCCTAGCCTTATGTAAACAATTAATTTTTCCATTGAAAGCCTTTAGAAAAAACGAATTAACAATGCAAATATTATTGCACGGCTGCCGTAAAAAAAACGACCGTAAAATTGTACCCAGAAAATATTAATTACGCAATGGTAAATAAAAAATAAATTTATTCTGTTGGTGATTTTAGCTCGCCAGCCGGAATGTACCCCTGGAGAAGTTACCAAACAGGATTGTAATACGTGCACTTGTACTTCAACCGGCATCCTAATATGCACAAAGAAACGTTGTCTAAGAAGTGTAGGTAAGGTATATTTTTCAATAATATACCGGGTGGTTAACAATAGATCACTTTAAAGGGCGGAGTTTTAAATTACACGAGTATACGCAGATGTAAGCGGAGGCGACCCCTATTTAATTTTTAGATTTAAAAAAAAAAGAACTTGATTTTATTCAAATTTCGCGATACATACATTCTACACCCTCTCACTATCTCTTACACATAACAAAAAGGGCCGAAGCGGGCAGACATGTTACCGTGACAATACATTTTAGATCCTTTCACTTTCGAATTCTATGCAGGAAATTAACCAAAATTCATTTGTTTTCCTTTACCTATTCCTAGCCCTTTTTGAAAAAGGTGTTTTTCTTGACGCAATAAGACCGTTGACTTCATAACAAAGCTTTGAAGTTATATAAAGCAGGCTTCACGAAAACTCACTTTCCTTTTCATTTAGTTTTCTTAATGTATGTATATAATAATTCCTTCAATTAATTTCGTAATTTATGGTTAAACACTACAAAGTCTAGCGCGAAAAAAATTGGCAATGTGGGAATTTATTTAAAACATTTGAAATCGGCTGACACTTTTGATGTTGTAATGCGATTGTTTGCGTATGTATTGCGTAATTCTTTTTTTGTATTTATTAATTTTTTCCGTGATATTCTTTTTGTCCCTTTTGTAAATTATCCGGAATTAAAATCATACATCATTAAATGAACTTCTTACAGTTGAATGTTGCAATGTTGAAATAGTTCAAAAACCGAATAGGGAACTGAAAATTTTAACACTTTGCAATAATGCATGATGAATTTATATAATGATTTAAATAAAATTAATAAATTAATAAAATAAAATAATAATTTAAATAATGAATGAATGAATAAATGAATTTAAAATTAATTATGAACCTATTACCTGGGAAACTTGCGATACCAAGTCACCGTAAAAACGAAATATTAGACTGGGTTCTAAGACAAATCTAAACACCGCAAACGATGATCGAAATCAGTATAGTTTTAATTATTACAACTTTGGGGCAGTTCAAAAACCGTTTAAATAAGACTATTCAAAATTTTAAAATTAATAAATTAAATAACAAAACCAATCAAGGCAAATGAAAGTGACCAAAACTAAAACATGTATTAGCCTTAATTCATAATGTCAACTCAGGACAGGAGTGTACGCCAGGTGAAAGAGTTAAGCAAGATTGCAACATTTGCCAATGCACTTCCGCAGGAGTTTTGGTCTGTCCCAAAGTAGGTTGCCCGAAAAGAAAGCGCGAAGGTACATAAACATATTGTTTTTTGCGACTTGTGATATACATTTTTTTTCAGCCGATACCGCTGCTTTCCATGAATACCTCCTAAGGTCAAAAAGAGGTAACTATTAATCAAACGTATAGGCCCGAACACTTGTATGAAACACAAGCCCAATAATATTATCTATGATCATATATGTAGTAAAATTGTAGAAATAAAAATTCAATTATTCAAGTGATTTTAATACGAATCGCAATTAATTTCAACGTGTCATTTTTCAAATCACTCACTCCATTTTTAATTTGTCACTTGGTGAAGGACTTGATAATATATGTTGGGCGTTATTTTCATTTTAAACTCTTTCCGCACGTTGCTACTCAACTAACCAAAATTCGCACGCTTAATCAAATCATGTGATGAAATTAGCACCGCATGTTCGGAACTGGTAACTTATACGAAAATTTGCCCACTGTAAACTATGTTAAAAGTCGCTTTCAGGGTGAGATATGGCTATATAAAAATTGTAATTTTTGGAAAAATTTCAGTATAGGTGACGGAAACGTACTCTCATTTTAATAACTCGGAAACGAATGAGGATATAGAGAAATCATTCTATTTTATAATTCAAATTAAAATAAAAAAATGGGAACATGTTAAATTACGCCTCCTTATGATGAAAAATGAATTTATTATTGCTGTTTCTGTTTTAAAATCCACCCAACTTCTCCATTGTCTAGCTCTAGTTTTCCAAATTCCTTCCAGCGTTTCTTCCCCTTTATTTTGCAGCATAAAACTAAAGTTGTGTTTCCCCTAGCTAAACGGGGAATCTGCACGCCATCTTTAACTGATGTACATAGATGTACAATTTTTTGTTGGCGAAATATAAACAAAGATCTGTCATACCTATAGAAAGTTGATTTTAACAATTAGTTTTAACCAATTTAACTATAATTTTAAAACTTAAGAAGATATTCAGATAAGTCTTCGAATACAGACACTTTATAATCGGCTAGTGTATTAGTGATGACCGGTTTCGAGTACCAAAACCCCCGAAATCATCAACATCCACCATTGGAGAAAGGTCACCACTAATTTTGGCTTAGCGTTTTTTGGTTTCGATAGTATACGACGGCTATGCTCGAGAAAGTTTTGAACCATCTCTCAAATTTCTCAATTTTATCTCAAATTTATCAACACGATGCATGGGCCTTTTATTATTATTAAACTACTACATTATGATTGTTTTTTAGATATATCCTGCTAACAGCTTTACGCAATATTTTCATGTGCGGAGTCGTAAATCCGTCCTGAAACGAAATGGTTACAAATTTTGGTTATTTTTCGCAAAAAAGTCGTCACCGTAGCATGAAACCGCTTGACCATAACATCGCACTTCGATTTAACACACACATGTTTGCTTATCGGTGGCGGGGCTTTGGGATAACGCAAAACTTTCATTCGCAGAATCAGACATCGCCGAAGACCTTAAAACCACACCATGTGCCCCTAACGATTTTTTCACGATTGACTGCAATACTTGTTACTGCAATATCGATCGTAGCGGTTATCTGTGCACCCAAAACAGCTGCTTGCACAGCGAAACGATTGCCAGTTACGACAGTACCACCTCGATCCCTCTGACCAACGGTACCCAACTTCTGATCTTTAACGAAAGACATGAAGTACTGGGCAAAATAGACAACGTCAACAAAGATCAACATCAAGTGGACAACAACCTCAATTTTAGCGGCGGCACAGCCGCAATTCATGCCGAAAACTCTAGTGATGCTTTTGAGCCCGCAACCACTGAAAAATAGGCGACAGATATTACTGACATTACAGGCGCAGCGAGCTTGGGTACGGGATGCCTTTATGCTTTTTATTATTTGCTAACATACTGGGAGATCCCAAGCGCAATTTTAATATGATTATGCCTATTTAAGAATTTTGTTAGATCAAGGTTTCCGATTCAAAAAAATTTTGAACCAAAAGCACATAGACGAGGAAAACACCTTGCCATATGTCGACTCTTTGTTCCTGGCAGACATTCTTTAAAATAACGCACAAGAGACATCTATGGCAAGCAAGTATTACGCGACACTTAACAAATGACGAAAACAGTTATTTTTCGATGTTTGGATGATAAGCAACTTTATGCTACGTTGCAACAAACGAACAAAAGTAATTAACCATTAGCTTCCTCTACGAAACAAATCGACTCCGTAGATAAGCATCTGCCAGGTCTGAAATGTCTCTTCTGTTATTTTGAAAAACGTCTGCGCGGGATAAAGGCGTGATCGATCACAATCTCATCTAACAGTATGTCCCACTTAAGAACTGCACACCCTTGTAAAATCTTTGTTAATGGTTCGATTTTGATTTTTTTTTTGTTGGATAGCTCTCTGAAAAATGCACTAAAATCTTGGGTTGCTTATCGCTTCAACTTAAAGTCATCGCCAACTGAGACTATTTAACAAAAAACTCAGAAGAGAAAAGTGCTATTAGGAATTTAAAAAAATAAATTAGCAACGATTTCTTATTCACGGGTACTTAGGACCCAACTACGCCAATTTTTATAATGTTGTTTTAATACAGGGTGAAATATGATTTGCGCCCCGCTTAAGGCTGTACATCTTTGATTACGGTTTGATGAGGATATTTTTTTTGTTGGACAGATCTCGCACAAAATCACATTCCCAAATATCGAAAAGGGCTATTAGTGATTTCTTTAAGAATAAAGTGTCAAGGAATTCTTATTCAGGACGGTATAAAACCTGACTATACTAATTTCCGTGCTTAAGCATTACTCCTGGAGAATGTTTGCGGCTCAATCTTGATAATTCTTTTTTTGTTGGATAGATTTCACTGAAAGACACTAACGATTTTTTTTAATTAAATATGATTAGAGAAGATTAGAAATGAACTAAACAGACTTTACAAAGCTGTATTTTTTAAATTAAAAATGATTTTTAATTCTCATCTAATAATGAAAATAAGGAATATCAAAATTGATTGACGTCGGCATACTGTTTCCTTTGTTTGCCATGGAGAAGTGAATATTCGACTATCAAATTCACTCGCTAATCTATATTTTAATTTTGTACTAAAAAATAAATGTCCCTTAAAACGTATTTTTTATCATTATTTTTGAAATTTGTTTAATTAAAATTTGTGAGATCTTAAAATCACATACAAAATAATCGTTATTTACAAAGTTTACAACATTTATTTTTTTAAAACATTAAAAAAAATTTGGTCATTGGTCTAATTACTTTTAGGTAATCTGCAATATCTCTTGTCATTTTCAATTTGAAAAAATCTCTAAAAGTACTTATCGATTTTCCGCTTCAGAAACTGTGTGAAAACCCCGATTCATTTCTCTTTAGTAAGATCTCTCCAGCAAAAAAGAATGATCAAAATTGAGCCATAAACAAACATTCTACAGGATTAACGCTTAAGCGATTGTTATGGAAATTAGTATAGTTAGGTTTTATGTAGCCCTAAATAAGAATTCGTCGATACTTTATTCTGCCCTTCTCGATATTTGACATCACGGTCACGGTTGATGTAAAAAGAAAAACAAATTCGTTGCCAAATTATTTTTTTTAAAATCCCTAATATTACTTCTCTCTTTTGCGAAATAGTCCCAGTTGGCCATGACTTTAAGTTGAGCCAATAAGCTGACTTTTTGAGAGATCTTTCAAACAAAAAAAATTATCAAAATCAAACCATAAAATTTTAGAATATTTAAATATTCCGACGCTTGGCATCTCCCAGTGACCCCATTAATTGTAAAGCCTGTCAATAATCCTTTTACCGTCACTCCCTGCTACTAAAATTATTGCTCTCGGTAATCGAATAGAACACATCAGTGCTACGATCGGAAGTTATACAAGGAGTTGAAGCTAGGGAAATCTTTCAGCATTCTTCTACTTGTGAGAAAACAATCCAACTCACGGAAATCGTTTATGTTAGTACATTGTTGTTAAGAGTTGCACTTTTAAATAGTCAGCAGACTTCTTTTTCTAAACTAATTTGATCAAATAAAAAAATATATATAAATTTTCCTATCTTGGTGGTATCGATACCCAATACCATTTAATGAATGACCTCTAAAACACTAAAATGTCGACTTACACACACACCGACTAGTATTTGACATATTTTTATGAATCCAGTTGTCCCTTATGACCGGTCAACTTTAACGCCTCTTTTTTTTGCTCATTATATATTTATAGCCAATCTCGAAACATTTTTAGCCACCGAATTCAGCTGTAAACCTGGTCAAGTGTTCCACAAGGATTGCAACACGTGCACTTGTACATCCGACGGGAAAAACGCGATATGCTCTCTGAAAGCCTGTATCTAGTTTTGGTTGTAGTATTTTTTATTGTTCAGTAATGTATTTACTTAGTGTATTGTGATGATTTAGATGTATTAATTTCCTTTTTTTTTAAGTTAGGTTAAGTTCATGTTTTATTTTTTTACGTACCTACCGGATAGAATGACGCCGTTGCAACGCGTATAATAAATTTTTTTCTGGATTGCGGCGAACTGACAAATTTTAACCCAGGTGAAATTTAAGCGGTAGCTATGTTTTTATTGAAATTATTACCTGTATTAGTATTATTAATTGAAATGTATGACGGAAAGATTACTTAGCTGAAATGCATTGTACAATAGAAATATAGAGTTCGCACATCAATAACTGTTTAATAACTTTTTCTACCCATCTAGCCCATTGCACGTTAGCGACAATAAGTTCTACTCTACCTGAACTGCGGCTCATTTTACGAGCACTGAGAGTTGGTTTTGGTTGTGTTTACGCAATTTTTTTTACATTGTCAACATTGTTATTAACTTTTGCAAGTGTTTTATAAAATTCATACGGTCGGTAAACATTAAATTTACGTTAAATTTAAATTACTAAATATCATATTTTTCTTGTTCCGAAAATAGGATATTATCAGTCACTATGACGGCGAATAAATGTACGAGGCACTTCCTTGACAACGGACCCAATTTAAAAGCGTGCGTAGGTGGACGAAACGATTAATTTTTTCAATACGCTCTGATTAAACTCGATACGTTTACGAGAAAGCTGGTGGAGAAATATTTACGACACAATTGCGCTAATATTTTTCATATCATACACACACATCTTCAATAAGTGACAATAAAGAATTTGTACTCTCAAAAAATTTAAGGGCATCAGGTGGACGATATTGATTGGAAAAAAAATTGGTTTCTTAATAATTGTTTCTGTTAATAAAATCAGTCGGACATCACATTTTTAACACGAGCATAGACCACAGAACCTTTGTGCTTCTTGCGTGTCTGGCCAACACCTCCTAAATCACAAGGCCGTGAAACGCTAAAGTATGAGTCATCACATTAAGGAAATCATATAACTGATTCCATGGTGTTCATAATATCAAATATGGGTGAAAGAGGATAAACACACTTTTTGATTACTTTATAGTATGTATACAACTACTGTACCTACAACTTGAGTAAAGATTGCATTATTTGCACTGAATAAAAAAATTAATGAATTAAATCTACTTTTGATCAAACACGGCGTTTTTAATTTGGCTGTTAGTACTTTCTCCTATTGATTCAACAGTGCAGGTTATAACTGTAAATGAAGCTCGCATATTGAATAAGATTAGAAAATTTTTAACTCGTTAACACATCTTGTGGTACTTACGTTGTAAAGGCCCCTATACTTATCGAAAACTATTTCTTTTCTTTGTTGAAACAAAGCACAGCTGGAACAAACGAATCTTAATTAACGAATTAAAAAAGATAGTAACACAGGAAGCACAATGCTTCATACTTATTAAATACCCATTTTCTAGTTTAAATAATTACAAAAAATAATACAAATATTTTGATCTAGCACACTAATTTTGAGATTGATTCTGTTTTTTTTTTTAATTTATCGCTTTTCCAGTATCAAATATCTCAATCAAAACGGTTGTCGAGGTCATGTTCGTCTGGTAGTCCACAGTATAAAATTTACTTAGGTAACGTCATTACTTCACTCAAGCAGTCTCAAAGAACCTTGCGCCGGTTGGAGAACACCATAACTGAAGAAAAATTGGCTTGACGAATGGTGGATGCCCATTTAATTTCTAAAACCTGTCATCTATGACAGTACAATCCAATGAAGTACACCAATAACGTTCTCGTATTGGGTGCAATATTTTTATTAATTGGTATTTGTACAATGTTTGTGGAAATATTGATTCAACTTTTGAAAAGTGCAGGTATCTAAAAACTGCAAATCCTTGCCTTTGAAAATTCAAAACAAATTCTAACTAATACTACAAACTCCAATGTTTTTAGAACAAAATTCCTTTTTGTGTAGTTCCTATATAAAAGCTTTTTGTCAACATAAGCAAAACCAATTACTATTTAAAAATACTTCGCAACATGTTTTATCATCACTTTAAAATCAATTCATTTTAACAGCTTATTGTGTTCCACAGAATGTATTTATAGGGATAATTCTTGAGTCGAAGGTTATCTATCTAATCATATAAAATACAGACATTTATTGTGTCAACTTTCAAAATTTTGAAGTATATCACCGGATTAAATGGGAAGAAGCAAAGCCGCTCCATCCAAACCATGGAGGTCTCCGCCTCCGACCCAGCAACCGCCACAAAGTAGACCCAAATACATGTAAGTATTATTGAAATTTCCTTGGCACATTTTTCGCAAAGCATATATAAACTTTGCTAGGAAACGATTTACCTATTTTTAGCAAAATCACATGACAACAAATTGGATGATCTTTTCCAAGTATAGAGTTTCAGGCCGGAATTTAAATTATTGTGAAAACTTTTCTACGCCGCAAATAGTTTTGCAATGTCAAAGTCATTTCAATAAAAATATTATAATCAGTTTATACAATATATATTATTATTTGGGTTTATCCCTTGTCAATATCAGACTAATCTAACTATATAATATAACAGAACTCATATAGTTATTAGTAGCTATATGATAGAACAAAAGCACATTATAACTAGGTGTACAATATTTTTTAACTTGATGACCTATTAGAAACATATAAAAAATGTCAATTAACATAAAAATGTTAAATAACCGTAAATTTTAAATGGAGCCTCCTGCATTTTAGTGTGATAATAAAAAGAGCAATTCATTCTGGACCTAAAAGCATAAAATACCAAAATAGGTAGTATTTTGAGCTGTTCTGGAGTTAAAGTCAATTCCAGAATAAAATATAATCGATTGTATATAATATATTGTATAATTTATATTAGAAAGATTTATTACATGTACTTTTGATCCAAAGAACCAAAGGACGGTAACCTTTTACTTAGTGTCGTCTTTTTGACGTCACTGCAAACAGCGAAATACATTTCGATTTATTGATCTCGTCGTTTTAAATAAGAAAAATATCGACATTTCAAATCAATTATCTGCATTACTAACTATTCTGAATACATCTCTGTTCAAAGAAAAAGTAATATTCATTCCGGACATTCGCGTGCTGTCTACTTCTTTCTCGGTGCCATGAAGTAAAAAAAGATAGCAAATCAGACCTATCCACGTGATATAATTTTGTTCTGGAAAAGTAGGGAAACGTCAATAGAATTTTCTATCACACGGGTAGATTTACGTAACGAGTAATTCTGCGAATTTTTCAAAACAGTGGTGAATTTTTAAGCCTTAAATCTATTTGCTATTCCATACGAACTAGAACAAAATGCCAAGACGTGGACGTTCACCATCGCCTTCAAGGTAATAGATTACTGTGCTAGGTTAGAATGCAATATTGTCGGATTTTAAATGCCGTAGTAGTATGAAAGTTCAGAGATGAGAAAGCTAATTGGTTCGATGAGGCGTTCAGTTCCTATTTTCAATATGAAATAATAGAAACTGTGATCTATTAAAACTTTTAGGGGAAGCAATTTGCCGGCTAGGGCTCCACCAGCACCTGCTCCAGCCCCAGTGCAAGCGGCCCCAGCTCCAGCACCATCTCAAGGACCTGGTTTATTTGGCCAGATGGCCGCAACTGCTGGTGGTGTTGCTGTCGGTTCAGCTATAGGGCACACTGTTGGACATGCTGTTACAGGTACCTAAAAAACTTCTTATGAAATGCGACTACTATTTAGATGTTATTTAGGATTGTTCAGTGGCGGATCCACTGAATCAGCTCCCCAACCCCAACAGGCAGCGATGACTCCTCCACCACAGCAGTATGGGGGGCAACAAAGCTCTGAACCAACAGGGCCTTGTGCTTGGGAAATTAAACAGTTTTTACAATGTGCTTCTACCCAGTCTGATTTAACATTGTGCCAGGGTTTTAATGAAGCCATTCAGCAATGCAAAGTTAGAAACAGTAAGTTGTCCTATTAGGAGTGTGTTTGAAAAAATTTAAGTTTAACTTTTTGTTTTAGATTTGGCATAAATTTGGAAAGTCTTGGATAAATTCATGTGATTAGAAATACCTTAGTCTGAGCTAAATTTATAGACAATTTTATTTTAAAATATTCCATGTGATACCAATTATTATTTGGGGGTATTTTCTGTCCTGAATAATAAATCCATAAAAAGTAGAGGTGTCTAGTTTGCCTTGCATTTCTGTTGATTGTGTTTTGTTCACAATAAAAATTTCTTGAGAATTGCTGATTTTTATTCAATGGTTTTGTGTGTTAAGATTATGGGTTCAATTTATCAATGAACTATTGAGTCTACCTCAACTTGCCTAACTTATAGCTGGTCTAGCTAGCTTCTAATTAATGTTACTATTATGTTTAGTAACATTAGAAAGTCCTATTTAAGGTTCCTTGAGAAAGGCTAGTACCAATATTTAATTTAAATTGACCAAGTAAATATACATATATGATTTAAAGCAACTGGAGATACGGGTTAGTAAAAATAGAAAAACCACAAATTGATCTGATTGTTTAGGAACGCACAGACAACATAGAAGTCATTTGTACTATACAATCTGACCCTTCTGGTTCAAGGACTATGGATGTTACAATTGCAATGTTGAAATAGAATGGATAACAACAAACATGCTGAATTCTTCTAATGTGATAGAAATTGACATCTTGCAATGTTGTGGGGCAGTAAAGCCCATTAATGAACCATTGCACATGGCGGGTGTTTGTTCCGGTCTGATTCCAAGAAAGTGAGAAATTGGTTGAAAAATTGTGTTGTTGGAAAAAAATTTTGTTCAGCACATCTTCTAATTGAATTGTTAGAGGCGTAGTGCCGCCTATATTTTGTGAATTAGTTCTTGTTGTGTGTGGATATCTATGGATTTATAGGGTGTATTGCTGGGTTTCCGGATTTCTTATATTCACGCTAATATACAGGCCACATAAGACCGGATAACCCGTATGAGATAATTGCCGGAGCCGTTAGATACATTGGCCGTCATTTTATGACGAATTATTTATTCCACTGTATCAATATGCTAACAAACCTGAAGGATGATGGAATAGTCCAAACCCTTCTTTACGAAGGCATCCCTTAGGAATTTTGAATTATATTTACCTATACACTAAAAAAAAACATGCCAGAGAGGACTGTATATTCCTCCATTTTTATACAACTTTACTCGGGCCATGTATAGAACCCTAAATACAATTAATTTAGGTATTAAAGATTTTTGCCTAGTAGGGTAATTGTAAATAGTTTCAGTTGAGTCTGGTAATACTTGTTTATCAGGCGGTTGTATTGAGTAAACCGGAAAGGGTCATCTTTTCTTTTAATCGCGAATATTAGTACACGTAGATTACTCTGTAAGTTTTGCCGATTTGCGCTAGCTATCTAAAGAAAAGAAGAGATCATTTGTATAGGTTATGTAAGTTTTCATTAAACAGTTTTTGTTTGAAGAGTTGGATTTTTCTGATTAATAAAGTGACGCGAGCTACGTTAATTTGTTTTGAATATGGAGTCAGCTAAGCAAAGCAAGCAATTTAAAATTATGTATAATAATAAATAATGACGGAGAAAAATTAGTAATATTCCGCCTTTTAGATGCACTGATTATCCTTTAGAGTTCGATTCTGACAAGTTGTTATGCAAATCTTATTTTAAACAATTCGGAAAAATACGGAAAATTGTTGTAAAACATAAGCAGAGAGCACTGTTAGTCGAATATGCAAACGAAAATGGTTGTCAAAATGCTCTCCAAAATGCAGGAGAATTTAAAGGACACTTTTTCAATGTTTCAAGAAGCGAATCTGTTCCAACGAGAAAAAAAGTTGTTAAGAAACACAGCTTGTCATATATTGATTCCGATGAAATTCAAGCAGAATTGGCTGCTATGGGAGGAACATCTAATCAAATGGGTAAGGTAACTGATGATCCATTATAAATGTTACTTCCCTCAAACCTTTTTAGTTTTCATTTTAGAAAAGAAAGTTTAGTACAAAAGTTTTAGGGTTTGATTTCTAGATCTAATAGTACACCTAGTTATATTCAAACAACAAAAAAGTATCCCACAAACCATCCAATATTCTGTCACTGAAGCAACATGAGAAGGGGGCATTGATTCTAATATTTTTTAAAATATTTTCTGTATCTTGAATGTTAATTTCAATGATATCCGCCTATTTTTGCTGTGTATTTCCAGTGTAGACGGCTAGCCCTATTTCCATTTTCATCATTTTTTATATACAATGACAATATTACAAATTTTTCGTCAAGTGAAAATATTCTATTATCGAATTTTGAATAAGAATAACATTCATGATATACTACAACCGGCATAATTAAACAAAATTGTGATGTGGGAGTGAAGCCATGATGATGCATGGCCGGCTAAGTGAACATTTTATTTTTGGCTAATTTTTGACTTCCAATTTTCCAATATAACTGATATACCATTTTTTGCACACCCTGTATATAAATGAGCATATAATGTCAAATCAAACCCTATAACTTCTGCATTAAGCTTCATTTTCTAAAATGTGAAATAAAAAAAAAGTTTTGTTTCATTTGTTTCATGTAGATTGAGATAGTGTAAAGGACATTTGATATGGCGCAATAAAGCTTACAAGTAATTGCAGCAATAAATTGCAAGGTCAAAATATGTAATGAAACTAACTCTCTGTGTAAACAGACCAAAAACACACATTGGGAAACTTCCTCAAAAGGAGAGGAAAGTGATTACTATGGACTGCAAGAACAGATGTGGAAGCTAAGTAGAAATTAAAGGAAGGAAACGAGTGAGCTTGTTAGCACAAGTCTTATACAAAACGAAACCTGCATAGAATATTTATTTAAAAAAGCTATACCACAAAGAAAATGATAAAAACAAAGAAGTACACCCAGCATAGTTACTAATGATGAAACAATTATAGAAGAATGGGACATAGAAATTGCACTTCAAAAACTAAAAAACTGAATGAACTACTCAAATACGGTGGAATAAAACTAACACAACAATTACAAACTTTAATAAAGAAAATCATGTTTTATCATAAAATGTCAGACGAATGGCATGTTAGCTGTTAGCACAACAATTTTACCTTTCAAAAAAGTACTATGACATATACCGCCGAAACGCGCCCCGAAATATCTAAGACCAAAAGAATGCTAGAGTACACAGAAATGTAAATAATCCACAGAATAGCAAACAACAATAATGGACAGGGAAAGGAGTGACGATATAAGAGAAACATCAATGATTGGGTGCTCAACAGGAAAATAGAATAGAGAGACGATCGAATCTCCGCAGAAAGAATGGTCAAAGTAAGTCAAAGAAGCAGAAGAAGAAAATATTGTCTGCAATAAATCAGACTACTTGACATCGTGCAAGAGTATGGTTAATCTCAAATTAAACATCAAATATATCCCCTACTCTGTTGTTAAAATAATTTTTCAACTTGTATCTATTGATCTTGAGAATTACAAAAAAAGAAGCAAGCCTCTTGCAAGGATCCATCTCTTAATTAACAACTTTACATGCCTCTGGACAATATTTCCTTGCATTGGACTCCAAGCTTTATTACGCCATGTCAAATATTCTAAAAGGCGTTACCAATATCAATATACTGTTTTCAAAATAAAAAAATTGTTAGTTGCAGAAGTAACTTTTCATAGTCCTAAATCAAAAGTTAGGACTCCCAAACTAAACCGAGTTTGGCAGAAAGAATCGGTAAGAAAAAGCCAAGCAGCTGGTCTCAGGAAGAAAGTTGGTACGCGGGCTATTAAGAAAAAACAGAAAGAAAAAATTGAGGAGTAAACACTTATTTTTTTCTAGTAAATGCAGTGAGTAATCCAATAATTGCAGTTACTCTGTTGAACAAGTCCAATTGATCAAAATCGTTAAATCAGCAGCCCACACAAATGAAGAAAAATTCCGAGTACTTGATGCAAGGGATAAGCTGCTCAGGATTGAGATGAAAAAGAACACCCAGAGAAAGGTAGGGCCAACAATTGGGACTTGTCCTGACATGTGCCCAGAAAAAGAACGATTGATGAGAGAAATTCAACATCAAATAGCTTTATATGAACAAGATGATAATGATAAAAGAGTGATGAACGCAAGCAAGGCTGTCAAACAATATAGTCGGAGCTCTGCAGATCAAGAAGCACCATTGCCTCATGAACTTAGACCTGTTACTGTGTTACAAATGACTATGGCATATTTGATGCACAATATTATGGACTTATGTGAGAATGAGGCTGATGTGAGTTTTATAACTTTTTTTTGGATTGTTTCAACTGTATGGCACTTTTTAAGGTAAACATAGCCGAATGGTTCCATTTTTTGTGGGATAGAACACGTAGTATAAGAAAGGACATAACACAGCAAGCTCTCTGTTGTCTGGGATCTGTAGAGTTGGTAGAACAATGTGCAAGGTTTCATATACACTGTTCGGCCAGGTATAACATGTTTTTCAAAGTTGGAGGTAAATTATGAAAAAAATTTTTTAGATTAATGGGGGAAGATCCATCAGTGTTCGATCAAAAAATTAACACAGAAAATTTAACCAAATGCCTTCAAACATTAAAGTATATGTACAATGATTTACACCTAAAAGGAGTTTACTGTGTGAACGAAGCTGAATTTAGGGCCTATATAATACTACTGAACTTAAATGACGGCAACTTTATGTGGGAAGTTCAAGGGCTTAGACAAGATATACAAAAGTCTCCTGCCGTTAAATTTGCTTTAAATGTGTATTCAGCCTTTGAGAAAAAGAATTATGTAAAATTTTTCAAGCTTGTTAGGTCCACTGATTATTTCAATAGTTGCCTTTTAATGAGATATTTTGTACAAGTTCGAATAATGGCCCTAAGAACTTTAATTAAATGCTTTGCTCCACCAAAGTCTACATCCCTTTATCCTATTACGGAATTAACAGAACTTCTGCATTTTGATGACCCTGACGATACAATTGACTTCATGAGAACCTACGGATTGGAAATAAATCTGGAAAAAAGTCATTTCTTAATTGAGAGACACTCATTTAGAATGCCAGAATACTCATATATGCTAGAAAGGTCTTCATTGGTAGAAGACAAAAGACAGAAAAGTGTGGGCAGTGTTGTGTGTGGTCAAGATTTATCTCCAGAGATGTACTTGGCCCTCTCGACTCATAAAACTCGCAATAGTTTTGATGATAATGGATACCTCATTCATGATGAGTTATTCTCAAAGATAGAATCAACATTAGAAGAATCTGCTTCTTCTGAAATGGAAGAATCTTCACCAGAATCTAAAAGTCCTGACAATATATTTGAATCAAAAATGGGAGAAGCATTAGTTCCTTCAAAATCCAGACAAGAAAATCTATTCATTAGACCCAAACAAATTTTCGCGCCTCCTGTACCAAGCGAGATTGTCAAAAATGAACCAATCAACATATTTGCACAGAAGCACCAAGATAAACTTCCAGTGTCTGGGAGTATTTTCGGATCTAGTACTCTAGCAAAACCTGCGTTAGATCAACATGATGGCATTTTTACCAAAAACATTTTCAGTGAGCCTGCAAAAAATAATATTGAACCAACGAAATTTAATATTTTTACACAAAAAGACACTCCTACTGAAAAGTCAAAAAGTGGGGGGTTTAATTTTACTTTAGTGAAGAAAACTCCTACAAATGACGGAAAAAGTTTATTTCCATTTAGTTTTACCCCTCCTGTCGGATTAGTTGAAAAGCGTAAAAGGAAAATAGAGGAAATGGAAAGGACTCAGAATGAGGAAGATATAAAGGTTTTGGAACTGCAGAGGCAGAGGCTGAAGGAGGAAATACTGAAAGAAACTGAAAAGGAAGAAGAGGAACGCAAGAGGCAAGAAGAGAAGCGCAAAAAGATCGAGGAGGCCGCTGAGAAAATAAAATTGGAAATGGAACTGAAAAAGAAACAAGAAATGAAAGAGATTGAGGAACAAAACAGAAAAAAGCGTGAGGAGGAACAAAAACTAAAGGAACTACAAAAAAAATTAGAGGAAGAATTAGTACGTAAGAAACAGCAGATTCAGTTACAAGAACGCCAAAAAAACTTAGAAATCCAAAACACTGTAAATTTGTTGGTTAAAGAGATGTTGAAAAAGGTTGATGAACAAATGCGCGAGGAAAAATTGTCCAAAATAAAGCGCAGCATACATAACCGGTTTTTATTAACTCTATGTCACAGATGGAGAAACGCTGCTATTAGAAAAATTAAGAAGCGGAAAGCGTTAGATTGTGGCCCAGTTTGGTTAAACTCGCGAGATGCTACAGAATGTGCGCGGGAATTACATATGGAGTCCCAGGAGTTGACTTTAAGTTTAGCAAAGCGATATAAACAGGGACGACCTGTGGATATTCATATAGCGCAAGAACCTATAGTTGGTACACTAAATTTATTTAATTTAACTTATGCTGCGTTGAGGAGAAGGCTTTTTGAGCTTAAAGAGAAGTGGCATCAGCACATTTACTGGAAAGTAACAGTGTCTCTACCTGGACAAGAAGAGCTTGATGCTCAATTGCATAAATTAGAAACCATGTTGCAAAACCATATTAACTGGAAGGAAAATAATAAGACCTTATATATTGAGGATCATAAAACCGTAACATATTGTGTGGAAAAACAACAGGGACATTTAGTAAAGTATTGGGATGCAAATGGATTTATTTTTATAGCGAAAAAATTGGACTCTTCAGCAAAAAAACGGATATACGAAAACTTGAGGAATTTCGGTGTCTACTCTAAACTGCCTCTGGTGGTTATTTTGCAGGATGCCACAGAATCTGACGATTATTTGAGAAATCTAAAGGAGACGGGGATCATTTCCGATTACATCACTTACAGTTGTAATTTATGTTCCGAAGTAATACCAGACATAATAGACAATGGTCTGGTGTTTTTGTCAAAGAGAGTCGAAAAGTATCCTCCATTGGAACTGGAAACTTTGGCTTCGTTTTTAACAAAACATTTGTACATAGAACCTTGGAAGAAAGCCGCTTCATTCGCTAAATGGAATCATGCTTACAAAATATGTCTGAGAGATCCCAATGTTGTCATAGGCTTATACAACCAGGGATTGGGTTTATTGCAGGAGATAATAATGGACAAGCATTGTAAGGAGTTTGCCCAATTTCCTGAAATTTTCGGAGAGTATCTTCCAAGTCCAGTACCTGACTTTTTTCCTTGTGATTATAGGTGAGTAACTTGAATTTTTACCATTTCTGCTAATGCAATCTAAGCAGTTTAACATTAACAAAAAAAAATAATTTTGGAGAAACCTCTGTTATTAATGACAAACATAAAAAGAAACTAATAGGAACATGCTATCTAAGGTTTAATAAAGTGTCTGTAGCGTCGCAGCTCCTGGTGTTGTTCACTTTTATTTTGGACGGCATGTATAAAGTGAACCTTCATTATTTTCAGGTACTTCCCACCGTTTTGGTCAAAACCATTTTACTTGTACAAATTAGAAAAAATGTTGAGAAAATTAGTGTTGCCGAAATTTTTAGAAAAATGGCCGCCAGCCGATGAATCAGATTTGCTGGTGAGCATTTCTAAATACTGCACTGAAGTATTTGAAAATGCAAAGGATTCGTTTATCGCCGTATTCAGTGTTTTAAAGGAAAGCAGAGAAAACGAAGACTATGCATCAATTTCGTGGATTCAGGCAATTGAGGTGTTGTCCAAACAAAAATTAAAAGAAGTTAATCTAACGCTGGACGATAACGAATTTCAAAATTCAGTCTTTAAAACATTTGTTGTTGTGTACATTACTCAGAAGCTAAACGAGTTCAGTAATAGCGACTGGTTTTACAGAAATAACCCAATAATTGAAGAATACAAGAGTGTTAATGAGATTTCAGATAACCGCACGAAAAAAAGGGTGCTGGATTTAGGCTTGGATGAAGATGTTTTTGAAGTTATAGAGAAGGCAGAGAAAATATTGAGAAAATCTTCGACACAAACACATGTCTGTGAACGAAAGAAACAAATCGAGATTCTGAATGAGAGCATTGAAGACTTGGAAGATTCAATCAGGGTTGCGAAGAAAATTAATAAAATTACTCAAAACTTTTTTTAAACTCAAATGTGAATAGATTTTTTTTTGTATTTTTTGGGTTTTCATCAAATTATATTTTAAAAAATTTAATAAAAAGTATATTTATTCCATGTAACGTCGGAATCCATTTTTGTGTGATTTTACTATTATATATATTTGCATACGTTTCGCTAAAATCACATCCATACAAGACAATAGGCCTACTAATCATTGTTTTGTTACTTTTTTTGAGATTCCTTGACACTCCCTTGCTCTTAATATTTGATGTAATGCCCCTATTTTCATGCTTTTCCTCCAATTTTCCTCCCTAAATAATTAGTTTTTTCTACTTTTTGAAAATAATATTCACTATTCTCCGTTACGATTTTTAAGTGCCTATTCTGTCCACTAAACTCTTTTTTAACTAGTGTCATATATTAAGTTTTTAGTTCATTAATTTTCAAACCTGTTACAATTCATTTCTGTTAGTCATGTTTGTTAAATTAACAATTTTATTTGATACTCCCAATTCCGCCATCGATTTATACAATTTTTCTCTTTTAAATGTATCATAAGCTTTTTCAAAGTCAATAAACAGCATACATATAGGAAGTTTCTGGTCCAGACTATTATCTAAAATTTGTTTTAGTATGAAAATTGATCCATTTTCGACCAGTTACCTCGGAGGCCACACTGATACTGGCCAATTTCTTTCTCTATTTCCTCATTTAATCTATTGTTTATGGCTATTCCCATAACTTTGTTTACAGTATCCATTAGTATGCCCATGAAATTATCGCATATAGTAATATCTCCTATTTTATATATTGGGCAGATAATTGATTCTCTATATCTCAAGGACATTTTTTATTCCGTCCGTTCAATTCAATTACGTTATATAGATTGTCCTCAAGCTTATTTCCACCAACCTTTAACATTTCAGTTGTGATCCCATTCTCCCCGGGAGTTTTATTATTTTTAAAAGTCTTGATAATTAAAATAATTTCTTACTTGGAGATTCAATATTGTTTCTACTATCATTCATTATTGTCACAACTCGATCTTTAACATCCTGCTGAATGCTCCTTCGTCTCGAATACCTCTTGAAAATATCCTGCCCACATTCGGAGACAGTCATCAATGCCACTTACCAACTGCCCTTGCTGGTCTTTGCAGAATAATTTTCCCTGGCTTCTTTCTATCTTGATGAATTTTGTTTCCAATTCTTCAATTCCCTTTATTTTTTAATACAATGAAAAAATTGAAATTGCAGAAGTTATTGACATAACAAGGTGTGACTAATCTGGAAACATCACATGAAGGTGTTTGAAGATAACTCCATGAAGCGCTGTTGTGTGCTTGAGTGCAATAAATTTTTCGCTACCTGTATAATAAAAATCAGAAATTGATCCGTCAAATTTTATTTATTTTATTTGGTTTTTTGAACATCGTATAAAGGTTAAAAAATGTAGATCCGTTTACAATTTGTAGAAGTCTGTGCAATATAAGGAAACAATTTAGTATATATTTATGTCTACAGGTATGTAATTTCCCCTTTTAAAATCATAATAAGGTTCACCAGAAAATGTAGAATTTACATAAATGCACCTTAAACTTGATATTTTGAGTAATTCATTTTAAAAATTCTTTACTAGTTTTTGTTAGCAAAGGTCTTAGATGCAATAGGCCTTAGCAAATGTGCGTCCAATTTGTAAGAATTTGGGTGCCTTTTTAGTTCAACTTTAACGATTGTAAACATTTCCACTATCAGTGTCTGTGCCGCTAGACCTGCACTTTTTGGAAAAGTCAGTGTCAATTTCAATATTTTTTTTGCTGATTCCAATTTTTGTTGCTCGGGGTCGTTACTTACGGGTACAGCTTCAACTTTCCATGATGGCGAATCCTGACAGGCCTGAAACAAAAACTTTCCGTTATTATTTAATTATACAAAATTTTACAACAGCTTTAAAGTGACGTCATCGAAAATCATTTTTGACCAACCCAATATCATTTGTATTGCTGTAAAATAATATAGCGAGGCTTACAAGTTAAATTTCACATCAGTACAACCAATCAAAATTGATTTTTTTGACAGAAATTTCACTACCCTACCTGCAAGATTAATAACTGAAAATTTTCCGGGTTTTTTGGCTAAAGGGTATTCTAATACGTGGTTTCGAATGTTGGTAACGAATATATTAAAAGTTTCATAACATACTTAAATGTAATTTATGGCGTAAGTGTATAGTGTACGTGGAACACAGTATCTGCACATAATTCTTTTGTTGAACTTTTCCATTACCGCTGAACACATTTCTTGAGGTATGTCAAGAATTTTCGCCCAATTTTTTGCTTTTCACATAGCCCAACAGAAAATAATAAGCCTCCCTCCAAACCCTGTAAATTTACTATTTCTCCTGCTGTAGGACATGCCACACCATCTTGTTGGAAGCACATATTTTCTGTATCCATGTCCATTATTTCATCCCATAAAAAACATCGATCATCGTTAGGTATTGTTATCCATTTACTGTAACAGTTTGTTAGCCTTCATCTTCAAAAAACTACGGCGCAATGATACCCTCAGCCCAAAAACCGCACCAAACTATGACACGTTGACCATGCATGGGAATTACACGGATTTGTCTAGGATTGCCCTTGCCCAAAATACGACAATTTTGCTTATTTACGTAACTGTTTAAGTGAAAATGAGTCTCGTCAATGAAAATGATTTAATTGCAAAAAAAATTGTCATTTGCCTCCATCTGTAGGATCCAAATTTGAAAATGCAAGACGTTGCCCATGATTGGTTGGCTTTAGCTCCTGTGTTGGTTGAATTTTGTAAGGATGTAGACGTAAATCTTTTTTCTAAATTGTTGAAGTTCGGTTAATATTCAAATGTTGTGTGCGACTTTTAACAGACATTTGTCAAGTTTCACCCACACTGCCACGCCTGAATTCAAATTCAAAAGACTCATAAATTGTATTATTTGAGAATGATCGTTTAACATCTGTATCTTTTAGACATTTTTCTATTTAAGGGTTGCTGTTACTTTTATGCTTTATTGGTATTTCTGAATAATATCGGCCACATGGATCTATGATGCACTTTTTAGGGCAGGTTGTAGATAGTTCCTTAAGAACTCGCAAAGAAGCAAGTGTTGATCTGCATTGAGTTTACCGTATTATATTTTTCGCTTATTTTATTTTAATAAACTGCAGTAAGATTTTTTTCTTTATTCTAAACAATACAAACTTCAACAATTCTAAACCGAACGAGCAAGGCGTTCCCAGTTGTTTGTTTGGATATCTTGCACAGATTCAGATTTTGAAAAAAGGTTTTAACAATGTAAGCACGTTATTCTACTGTGTAGCGCCGCATTGCTAAAATTGTACTGAATTCCACAATAAAATAAAAACAGAATAACAATGTCTGAAATAAGAATAGTAGCAAAAAAACACATTCGAAACCTCTTATTGGAACACCCATTATAAGTAGTTTCATTTTTCAAATAGTTTTGCCATGAATTTTTTTTTATTAATTAAACTTAATGAATTTAAAGTTCAAGTTCTTTGATAGATGATAGACTTTACATACATTGATTGTAGGGTTAGTAGCCCTCCCGATTTAGGCTCTTTTACTTTTTTACTAAACCTCCCGGCACCCGCGCACTTAAACAAACCTCCCGCTTTTTGACAAATAAAACCTTTCAGCTCCATTAAGCGGATACAACAAATTAACTTTATAAATTTTTGATATAAAATCATACTACGATCGTATTATAAAATTTCCTATCGCTTTTCAAATTTAAAAATCTGGCAACCCTAAATACCATTTTGAATTGTTCCTACCTTTTGATAAATTCTAACAATGCTGCCAGTGTTAAGGACGATGGCATCAAACGATCGATCCTTCACGTCTATAACTACACAGTCTTGAATGTAAGGTTGATGCTGCTCTATAAAATGACACAAGTAGAGGTCGCTGCTCGCCTCGCCAGCTCTTTTGGCGTTGTATTTTTGTTTATTGCAATTGGCGGCTATGGCGCAGACGTCGTCCGCCTTCCATCCTGGCTTTTTCGCATAACCTGATCAAAATTTTTAAAATGACCAAAATTATACAATGCCCTTGAGAAATTTAGTATCATATGGAAAAATCTTTGATATTTTTGAAATGTTACTTTCAATTCAAAAAATATTGCCGTTGCCGTCAAGTTATTTTTAAATTAACATTCACCTAAAATAAAGTCACTTCATCCGTATTTTCGCGACAAACAATTTTTGATATGTCCTAAAATATTTTTCGTAGCTTGACATCATTCTTCTGCTTCTAGTGCCTTATCCTTATCTGTCAACGTTGACGATTATATCGGCCCATCTAACTTTGTCTACTGCCGCCCTGAACAGTTCGACAGATGTTTTTCCTGTCCATTGCCTAAGGTTGTGTAACCATGAGATTCTGTGCCTACCAGGACCTGTTCTACCCTCTAGTTTTCCCTGTGTTATAAGTTGAAGTATTTGATATTTTTCATTTCTCATAATGTGCCCGAAGTATGCAAGTTTTCTCTCCATGATCGTCTTTGAGAGTTCTTTATTTTCATTCTTTCTTTGCAACATAGTGTCGTCAGTTACATGATGTATCCATGAGACGTGCATCATTCTACGATAGCACCTCATCTGAAATGCCCCAACTGGAGTCTCGGCCTCCACACCATAGAGCATTACAAAGAACACGTAACATTTGAGGAATCGCAGTCGTATCTGGAGATATTTCTGAAGCGGTTGCTCACCGTGCTGTTTCTATTCGAGTAATAATTTCCCAAGAAGAATCCCATCTTTTGTTCAAGCTGCAAACAAGATACGGAAATGTTTCTACTTTTGCTCTTGGCCTTCTTTGTGTCATATTCTTAGCACATATTTACGATTCTGTTGATTAATCTCTGTAATCCTTCTGCGCTGTTTGATATTAGGACTGTATCATCCCTATATCTAACCGGTATTCCATCTTGAATACTTGAATTCCAAATAATGCTTCTCTGTGTATTCTATTGCAGATTATATACAGAAAAACTTAGAGAACATGACCCATCAAACTAATTGTGCGGTGTTCTTCGTATTTTTTGGCCTTTCTTAGGAATTGGGATGAAGGTTGATAGAAGCCATTCTCTTGGCATGTTGCCTGTTTGATATATTTTGTTGAACAACTTTGTTAGAAGTTCCGATCTGATTTCATCAGGTCCTGGCGCTTTTTTGGTTTTTAGTCGTTTGATTGCTGCGAAACAGTTCAGACATATAATCCTCCCATCTTTTACTTTTTCGATCCTTTTTCCAATTTGCCTTCCCATTTTGATCAGTGATGATATTTAATTTTTTTGCCTTTTGACATGTATGTTGCTTCTTTTATTTCCTTGTGATCTTTTGCAATATAGTTTTATTTATTTGTTTATACTTCTCTTGGTTTTTGGTTTTTATATTTTGACATCATTACGAATTTGAAAATGACTCCTTCCAACTTGTATGTATTATGTATAATCTCACTTTTGTGCAGAATTGTAATTAATGTAACGATTATATTTACCAGAAAAAATAATATAAATATAAAAAAGTTTATCTTATGGTTGCTATTGAACTTGTTGATGAAGCAGTTTTTGACGTTACACCCAAAATATGGTTTTATATTCCTTGTTGTCCAGAAAAAGACAAAGATTAATTACAATTTTTGTCACTTTTAAAACCAGTAGCGTGCACGAATAAGCTTCAGCCATTTTAATCGGGTGGTGTTTCAACGTCCATGGTGTCATTAGTTTATCGCTAAAATCCATTTAAAACAAAAACAGTTCCTTGCGAAAATACGGCATTGTTTAATTTTCCTAAATTTTAAATTAACTTATTCCTCTTGTTTTAAGCTAGATTTTAAATTTGAAACTAACATGTGCCTTCCAAATTTGACCAAGTTAATAATACCTAACTAGGGTAAATAAAAACATATTCCTTTGCTTCCAACATAATGAAATTATTAGGCACATTTCGTTCTCTTGAAGAAATAAATCACAATAAATATTTTTGTAATTAAAAGTGGCATGATATGAAATGGTATCCCAAAATTGATTCTAAATCTTCCAGAAATTTGGCAGATACTATAACAAAAATTAAAAAAAAAAAGTTGAAATAGAATATTCAAAATTTTAGATATGTAAAATTGAAAAGGGAAAAAAAATCCTTAAATAAAATTTAAATTAATTTAAGCTAACGCATTTTCACCATTTCACTTCCAAGTTAGCTTACCCAAACTAGCTGCCAATAACCTATGGACCATTATGTCCGCATATCTTCTAATTGGCGATGTAAAGTGTGTATAAATAGGTAAACTTAGAGCGTAGTGAGCAAAATTCTCTTCAGACTCCATTGCCCCGGCACAAAAGTACCTCGCCCGGGTCATCGGTTTTGTGAAGATATGGTGCAAGACAATACCGCGACAGTATCCTGTGAAATCGTTTGTTATGTATTTTTTAAGGGACGCGTGTATACTGCCCGAGGATGAGACGTTAATGTGAATGCCGCACGTTTCTAATGTCCTTTGGGCCTCGAGCAACATGGTGTTCTTTGGCGGTTCGTGGCATCTCAAAAAAGCAATGTCGGGAAAAGTCTGGTGGATTTTTTTCGCTACTGAAATGTTCGCCAAAAGCATAAACTCTTCTATCATCCTATGGGATTCCTTGTTTTCATATATTTTAAAGTCCAACGGCTCGCCCGTTTTCGGATTTAGGCTGAACAATAGCTTGACTTGATCTATTCGAAGTGATCCATTCCTTATTCTAGCCTCGCGTAACTCGACGGCGATCTTCTGCAAAATATTCACTTTGGCTGAGATATCTTTTGACGTAAATCCGTTGTAAATATCGGGAAATTCGTCGTCCTCGCACTTTCTATTAAAAAAAAAAAACATTGCTATCACAATGCGCTAAAAGTGAGCGTGTTATGATCGTTTTACCTATCGGGAAATTCAATCATGCACTGGGCATGCTCGTATGCTAACTGGGTACACGAATTCACCACTGTCCTAGCAAACCTATCATAAGAGAATAAAACTATTTTATGAACAAATTAGATAATAGATAATATAGCGCCGCACGTTTTACCATAGTACAGTAAGCAGTGACAATAAAAATTGCCTCCGGCTGTTATATTTTCGTAGATATCGATGTACCTATATAACTACGCATCTGAAAGTATTGGTCGTAGATAATTTCCAAATTAAAGTTAACAATTCAAATTATTTTCAAAAACTACCCAGGTACACTATAGTAAAATTTTTAAAAATGGATCAATAAGAATATTTGCCTTTCAACTTGTGGTGATACTTATCAGTTACAAGAGTTTATAATTTAATAAATTTGGATCAGGGTGCTAGAAGTGATGCGATTTATTTGACTTTTCTTTAAAAAATGTGGCTAAATATCATTTCCATGATAATTGAGAAGAACATAAAAGTTGCTAAATTCCAATAAATACTAAATTCTCATATAGTTCATTTTTCGAGTTCCATCTAAATTTTTCCAATGATTTTGCCTAGAAGACATTGTAGGTAAATAAACTTATAAAAACCATTAAAGATTTGTTATTTGAACACCTTTTTTCTATGCAAATAAAATTATTAAAATGTGCCAGGCGCCTGTAATGCATTACGTCAAGGGCTGCCCAACCAATGACATTGTAAAGGAAGGCTCGGTAAATTATTAGCAAAATGATTTGAGACCTGTAACCATTTTTGAAATGTTTTTTTTTCACCTAAACAAATCTTAACACGTTGAGACTCGCGTGCCTACCGATGGGAATTTCTATATTACTCCTCAGGATCAAAGTTACATTTTGTTTTATTGTTTGTGATAAATGACTTTAATAAATGTGTTAGTGACTTTTATTTATATTTTTCCCCTTTTTTCCATTTTTTTGTCGTGACCCACCTGTGAGCACGCGGTCCCAGAATGTAAAATCACATCCTGGGACCGCGTGTTCACTTCGAGGGCACTACATTATTTATTTAATTTTTGGTGTAGATTTGAACAAATATGACTTCTAAAAAGTTTTTAACAGAAGAAGAGCTAATTAGGGAGCTAGGTAATATTTCGGACTATGAATTCGCTGTTGAAAATGATGATGGATCAAGCTCGTCCAGTGCATCGTGCTCTGAAGAAGATCCTGATGACAATATACCTCTCGCACAATTATTCATAAGAATGTGGGATCGCGTTCAAGGAAACCGCCTATCATTTAATGTAAAGCCTCAGAACGTTGGTCTTGATCCCAATGTCAGGACTAAACTTACAGGAAAGAGTCCTGTAGATTTTTTTAACCATTTTATTGATGATGAAATCATAGATTTATTTGTGCTTGAGACAAACAGATTTGCTGCTCAACGAATTGCTGCTGCAGCAGCAAACCCAAGGCAGAGGAACAAGGTTCCAAAAAGCGTGGATACTAATCCTACAGAAATGCGAAGATTTGCCACAGATGAGAGACTATTGGTCCACTAAATTGATTTATCAAAGCCGTATACCTCAAATTATGAGCAGAAATAGATACGAAAGTCTTTGAGCGATAATGAAGAGCCAAGATCCAAGATGATCGTCTTCACAAAATCTCAAACTTCCTAAATCTGTTTGAAAATAAGTTCAAATCGTCTTACACCCCTGAAGAAGACGTATGTATTGATGAAAGCAATGTTCCGTTTCGGGGAAGAACCTATTTTCGACAGTAAATTCCGAATAAGCGACACCGTTACGGCACAAAATTGTTCAAGTTATGCTACAATTGGGCTTTTAAGGAAAGGAAAGGAAAAAATATATGGTGTATCCATATACTGAATAACTGGTATACAAATGTATCATTATCTAAGACTTATTAACAGGGAAACCCACTTAGTGGGAACATTAAGGCTAAGTTGAAAAAAGGAGAAACTCTAGGAAAGCAGCATGAAGATAAAACTTTATTACTTAAGTGGAAAGACAAGAGAGAAGTTACGATGCTAAGTATAAAGTATGATGATACTTCAATAAGTTTCATGAAAAAGGGCAAAGAGATAACAAAACCCAATGTATGTACAATAAGGGAAAGCTTTTATAGATCTTTCCAATCAGATGACTGCTTATGCCCCATTTGTAAGAAGGACTCTAAAATGGTATAAGCGTCTTCTGTTTCACCTAATAACTGGTCCTACTATAGTTAATGCCCTACATCTTTTGCAAAAAATTAACAATAAAAAGATTAATATTAAGAAATTCAAAAAAGCAGTGGTCATGGACCTTATTGAAACTCCAGAGTTGCTTGATACCTCTCGTCCATCCACCTCATGAGAACCAAAGGCGCATTGCATCCTAAAAGAAGTAGAAGCTTCGAAAAGAGTAACACGAAAACGCTGAATTAAATACTACAACAAGTCAGTAACACAAGGTGCTGCATACCGCCAGAAAAAGGCTAAAAAAGTAAATACCATATGTGTCACATGCGGGGTTCCCTTATGCATTAATTGCTTCCAGAAGCATGTAGTTTAGAGATAAAAGTTATACTGTGAAGTAAACTTTTTAATGTTTGTTGTTAGCAAAGTATTAGCTTATTTTTTTACTTCCTATAGAGGAAAGTTCCTATGTTTTTTGTAATTAGTATTTGTATAAAAAGCTTCTGCAGGTAGGTAGTTTTTGAATTTTTAAGAAAAAACCTTTTTTTTTGTTCAAATTGTTCAACCAAATGTTTATTTTTTAAGTAAAACCATTTGTTTTGTTTGTATTTCAAGAATATAAATATGTAATCTCAAAGTAATATCAATTTTAAAATATTTTACTAAAAAAATTACCTAAACGTCTTAAACTGCCCAACCCAATATTTTTCTCTTTACTTTCTGGAACCAAGCAATCATTTTGTATATGCGATTCCTATATAATACATGCTCACGGATGGCCACGAGCATTTGAATTTACTGCTGCTGTGTGACCACCCAAAAAGTAAAACACAAATACCCGCACGTGGGCACGCGAGTCTCAACGTGTTAAACCATTTAAAAAAGATGTTTTTTGTGGTTGCCTTTACAGTGGTACTCCTTTGAAAATTAAATTTTTGAACACATTATTTATTAACAAAACTAAACTAATTTTTAATATTGTTTACCCTAAATAACAATTAATTATTGTTTAAACCTATAATCTTGACATAGTATCTAATATTAAAATAGAGGATAGTTTTTCAGACTCCACTGCACTGGCATAAAAGTACTTTGCGCAGGTCTTCGGTTTTGTGAAGATATGGTGCAAGACAATACAGCGACAGTATCCCTTGTAATCTTTTGTGATGTATTTTTTAAAGGAGGCGTGTATACTGCCCAACTATGTTTTTCTGTAACTTGTATTTCATTTATTTTTGCCCTTTTGTACTTACCTGGTGTTAAAAACTTCACCTTCTTCGCTCATCTCCCAGAAAACTGAAAAGGCTAATTTATCTTCCCCAGGCAATAATGAACAGTGCAAACATAATTCAACTGGTAACATGTGATAGACATTGTCCACTAAGTAAATAGTGGTACCCTTTGCCCCTACAATTTTGTCCAGTTCTGTGCCTGAAATAAAATTAAGGTAGCTAGGACTAACATTATAAGATGGACTTCAACCTTCTGGCAAATAGTAAGATGCATCAGATATGTGAACCCCCACTTCATAATGACCATTATCCAGTTTTTTTACTGACAAAGCATCATCCAAGTCTTTAGCAGTGAATGGATCTATTGTAAACACACATTCCTTTCTAAGATCTTCTCGGCAACTTAATTCACTTTGAGGAATATCCTGGAATTACAATTACAACAGCAAATTGTAAAGTTAACTACCAATCACCCATACTTTTGACTTTGGAATAAATTGCACCATATCTGGGTGAAATTGTGCAGTATCCAAACAAAACTCTTTAAGTATAGCCTGTGTTTCACATTTTAGCTCTCCAATCATACCAATTGATTCAATAATTATTCCTAAAATTAAAAAAAAAGTTATTCCCATAAGCAGATATTATTCAAATTCACCTTTTGCATTAGAAGGCTGGGGCCAATCCACCAATTTGGCTACAAACAGGATATTCTCATATAACTTGGGGTTTGTTTTAAACCCATCGGGCCAAGAAATCATTGGTATCGACATAAATGGCAATCTTTTATCCCTAGGTTGAAACAAAGCAAATTCATTGTTCTTGCCTTCAGCTAGGCTTAAGCTTCCTACTCCTGTCCTAGGATGTACCTATAACATCAATAATACATATAAAATACAGCTATATTTCCAACTTTAATCACCATTTGTAATATATAAACTACAACAGCAGTTTTTTTACCATCCAACCACTCTGTTTCAGATTTCAAGGCTAAGACAACTTCATCCCCATCCAAAGCCCTATTTCGATCAGCTACAGATGTTATATAATAATCCTGCAATGAACTATTTTCATTGCTCACATAGGAATCACGTGAACATTTTGGATTTATTCTTAAATATCCCTTGATAAATTTGCCCAATTTTAAACCTTGTATTGCTTCAACCTCAGAGATATATTCTGGAAACTTAGTGGTTGTAGTAGGTTTTTTCAGGATCTTTCTCTCCACACGCCTTGTCCCCTTATTTAATTTTTTCTTTTTTTCAGAAGAATTGTCCTTCACTTTTAACATGGATAAACTGTTTTTTAATGATGACATTGTCTTAATCAATTCATTACCATTCAAATGTTTATTTTTAATGGATTCTGAATTATAACTTACATTGCTGACATCTCTAACACATCTTATCTTTTTGCTCACTTCTTTATGCATATTTTCCACACCCAACTTATCCAAATTGTTTCCTAAATGAAGAATATTAGATTCAAATATATATGTTTTGCAGCTAACTGCAAAAGACTTCAAATTTATGTATTTATGTTTTGTATTTCTTTTTCTGAACATACAAAATTTTGGCCTCCTAACAGGGTGTATATGAAAAGTGCATTTAGATATCTCAGAAAGTGTTTCTTTTGAACCTGTACTCTGATTTTCATTTGAACATTCAATTTTCATTTTTATTCCTTTTGGCACCCTTTCTTTTCTTCTGTTTTTCTTGACCTTTTGATCTAAGCAACAATTACTAAATATTGTTATTTGTAAATAAAAATGCAATACATATTTCATTTATACAAAACCCACCTTACCTCTACAAAAATTACTTGTTCCAGGGTTGTTTTTAATAATTATGTTTGACTGTTTTGATGTAGCGAATAAAGAATTGCGGTAAGGAAAGTTCGTATGATCTGTTGTAGTTCTGCATTTTGGAAGCACTTCACTTATTAAGCATTCATTCCTGGATTGATCACTACTTTTCTTCATTGTGTGTAGAACTCCACAGATCGCTTCTTGTAATCACTAGCAAAACGATAAAATAAATTATCGTAATATTGGTTGTTAGCCCTAAATATAACAAAATAATATAAATAAATAAGAGTCTATGCATACACTGATCAATTTTTTTATAACCAAAAACCAATGACGTCTTATCCTAACCCATATAGCCTTAAAAAAAATTGGAGTGGCAGATCCATAGATGTGAACTGAGTAAATCCTAAGAACGGTAAGTAAAACTATCTCGTTGCCAGACCGTGAACTTGGCTCCCGAAGTCATTAATCAATAATCATCCACATCTGTGTTGCGGTGCATTTCATAAATGTGCATACTGAAAAGTAATTTAGCCTTGGTATTGTTAACAATAAGTTTGACTATTTTTGAAGCAAAATCCATTTTCTTTGGTGGAACTGAAACTTGTAGAGTGATGTAAACTCATTATCATGCCATGCCATAGAATAATACGTTAACCATTTCCTCATGTTGACATCTCCCGGTAGAAAGGTCAAACAGATTTTTTTTACAACTAGTTGAATTATATGATAGATGTCGCAAATGTCGGCATCCATTGTTTTTACACCATAAAAAAAAAAAATTGTTTTTTACCAAGCATCAAGCAATCAGTTAAATATTGGCCCCCATCTTGCCATTAGTATTTAAATCTGTGCTTAAAAAAATGGATATGGCGAAAAGCAAATTTGAAAATTTTTATCGAAATGTTGTAAAAGTGTACGAAGAACATTTAAAAAATGCAGTGAGTGACGTTCAGTAGAATTATACCGGCAATATTCAAGCCATCTAACTTTTCAAATCAATGTTTAATTACCTTTAATCTTAATTTGTTTTATATTGTAAATCCGCTTTTTTAGAATCCTAAACTATAATGTTTTCAGGGCAAAGTACCCATCAAATTGGCGGATATAATGCGTTTGACAAATGAAGTAATCAATTTGTCTCGTGATACAATTGGCAAAGAGAGTGTAAATCCACAAAATTTAATAAAACATGTTTTAAAATATTTTGAAATAGTTATGGAGTTTATTAACCAAACTAGCAACAAAAAACGTCAACATAAATACGCTGGAATATGTTGCGATGCGCTGCCGGTATACCTAAATAATTACCCATCCAAAGTAAAGTCACGGTAACAAACTTATTTGTAGGAACTGTTCAACACGAAAAAACTAGCAAATTGTTTTATTGAATTTGCTTCACTTGACATTTTTGACGCGTTTTTATATACAAATTATGATAGTATGTGTAAAAAAATCCTTCTTGAAACCTACAACGAGATAGCTTGTTACTCAGATAAGGTCATCCGAACCAAAGTTGCAGAAAGTCTGATCCGTTGTTTGTGAGTTTATAGATTAACTTGTAAACTTGCTTTTTTATTATTTTACATATAAAATGTGATTTAATGAACATGTTATTTTACTTAGATCTAATTTAATCGATTCCATAAGCACATTTGGCGATTATGAGCTACAATCAGACGTTGTGGAAACGCTGTTCCGTGTTTTTGGCTCCCAGATAAAGCAGAACACCAAGTGTTTTCAATTCCAATTAGTGGCAGGATCTGAAGAATTAAGTAACAGTTTAATGAATGATATTGATCTGAAAGATTTCGAAGGTAGTGTGAGGAAATGGCTAAACAAATTCAACAAGAATTCAAATAACATTTTCTCAATTGCCTGCAAAAAAATACTGTTTGGTGATGACCAATGTTATTCAGAAGTAAGGATTTTTTTTTGTGGTATGCTTGTAAAAATTATGTACCCTTTGTCTTTTTGTATTGTTTATTTAATTTATTCTGCCTTGTTCTGAATTTTATTTCTTATATTGGCGGAGGAAGACGTGTGGATAGACTTTAATATGCAAGAAAAAATTGTGAGTTGGTATTGTCGAAATTTATGGGAGGAACCCAGAGAAGAGCATGATCACCAATGGGTTCGGATATCATTACTTGCCACCCAAGTTAAGAAAATCAAAGTTTTGAGGTAATTTCTGTCATTATTTGAAAAATTTGAATAATTACGTAAAAATTTGTATTTTAGATCTCTGAGAAGTGATAATGTACCATTAGAAATTCAATTAAATGGGTCTTGCCTGTGTAATAATATCCATGTTCAACGTTTCTTGGATTCTGCAAGTGGTACATTAAAACTTATTTTCAACGCTTCCGACAAGGATTCAATAAATAAAATGATCTTAAATGTTTTACCAAATGTGTTTAAAAATCAATTTTCGGTATGTTATTTGGGATTATATTAATAGCTCAAATCATTTTTCATTTCTTTTTAGCATACATCTGAAAGAATTTCCAAAAAAAGTAAGTGCTGGTGTAATTATTTATTCGTATGCTGAAAAAAAAACAATAATGAAACTATTTAACAAATTATGAACTAAACTTAAACTGTAGATCGTCTGAAACGCGGCAAATAGTTCCAGAGACATGGATAAAAATATTGTAGGGAATACGCTTTAAAAAAAAACTATGACTTCAGCAGAGAAACCCTTCTAAAATTACTTTTGTATTTTTTGATTTGTATCGTTAATAGCCAAAAGTATTTAGTATAATAATTTAAGTCTTTGAAAATCATACTCCTTCCTCACTCATCCCAACTTGATCAGGCTCGTTGTGCCCAATAGTAACGTTAATGTCTCATAGTAAGGGACTCGAAAAAGCTTACACAATTTTATTGTTTATTTTTCAGAGCCCGCCTATAAACAGTTAAAAATCAAAGTGTCTCAGTTAAAAAAGTCAATTTCCTCTGACGCAACTGTAAGTAGTAGTAGCACTTGGTATCAACTAACGCCTTCACCGTGGAGCAGATTAATCACCTCACCTAATAATTCAACAGGGGTAAGAGCAAAATTTTACTTTTAGGAATTTTTGTATATAAGGTTAAAATAAATTCAGTATTGAGGGGGAATTTCGAGCATTCAATGAAAATATGTGGGGTCTGTATATATATATATATATATATATATATATATATATATATATATATATATATATATATATATATATATATATATATATTTTTTTTTTCACATATTGATTCACGGATGGAAAAATGTGTTGACACTATATTCTGGGATATCATCCGTTCGCTCGTTGGACTCCGACTGGAATCCTGCAGACGTTTCGCCAAAATCTCACTTGGCATCTTCAATGCTCGCGCTCCGAAAACACTTCGATGATATCCCGGAATATATAGTCATCAGTGAGATATCTATATAGGAATTACAGCAAAATGTTACTCGATTTTTTTAGTTGTGGTGTAGAGGATGTAAACTGGTTGTTGTTTAGAATTGGTGGAGTGCCAAATTTCAATTTTTTTTTTGTATTTTGATTTTTTTGTTTGTTTTTATATTATCGCAATCGGAGAGACACATGAACCTAAATTAGTGTTTAAGTGCGTCGACCGTCCCAATTCAATACAATCAAAAACAAACTTAGTTTACCGGTCTATTAGACATTTTTTTGCTATAGCAAGTTTTTACTTTGACAGGCACATTTGTGCGGAGATTTTCGGGGAAGTTCGAAAAAAAAAAGGTATTTTTCCAGGCTTTGGATCAACCGAGAAGTAAACGTTCGGGCAGCACGGCCAGTAAGTCAAGCGAAAAAACAGACGAGCGGGGTGCAGAAAACGCGGAAGACGTAAAGATATCGCAAAGAGACAAAGACAAAGAGAAGGTCACCCATTCATGGTGGAGCAGATTAATCATGTCACCAGATAATTCAACAGTGGTAAGTGCAAAATTTCACCTTTACCAAATCACTGGGGTAGTTTAGTGTATAATGGTAAAGGAATGCTGACGTCTGTAGGCAATGTGCCAGAAGAAGTAGGAGAAAATTTTTAAATTAAGTTTTTAAATACAATTATGAAAATTGACAAAACCTATTTTTATGAATATTTATTTTTTGATCCGTGCGATACACGTAGTTCTAAAAGATTAACACTAAAAAAATTTATGAAAATCACAACCATCAGCTCCATTACAGGAACAAAGCGTTTTTTAAAATATTTAAGACTTGGAAACTATAAGCATTTCCGGACTTACTTTGTATGATTGTTTTTTAAATGACAAATCTCCAATGGAGCATTCTGCTATTTGATGATTTTGCATTCTTTAAAAGCAAACTTTTTTCTCTTGCTGATATGTTATACACATATAAGAGCATTGCAGTCAATTTGTTACTTGTTTATTCCGGTTGGGATATATAAATTTTTTATCGTTAACTCACAAGAAAGGACGTTTTTGTAATAATGTTGTTTAGTGCCAAATTTTGATATTATCCCAATTGCACACATGAACCTAAATTGATTTTTAAAGCGCATTAGGCAGCCCAATTTAGTTCACCTGTTTGTAGATATATATTTTTTGCAAAAGAATATTTTTACTTTGAGAGGCACATTTGCGCGAGGAATTTCGGGGAAGCTTGAAAAAAAAAAGTATTCTTCCAGGCTTTAAATCAACTGAGAAGTAATCATTCTGACAGCACGGCCAGTAAGTTAAGCGAAAGAACAGGCCGCGCGACTGTTGAAGACGAGCTGGAAAACGCAAAGATTTCGTACGGCTTGAACCAAGGGAATGTCACGCAAGAAATGGAATTTAATCAGTCTGAAATTTTGTCATCTACTCCCGTTAAAGTATCCTATTTCATTGATACTTACCGAGAAAACGACCACTTTACTGACGCCAAAGATGACTCGAAGGAGGAGTTTGAGACTGCTCAAGCCTTTTTCGAATCAGAGGGCGATGCTAGGGGAGCAAGCACTGTCGCGTCGAAAATCCATATTCAAAGTAATATCGTAATAAAACCCAGCGATGCTGTAAAATCAGTAATGGAAGTGGAAGAAATTGGTGACGCAAATTTGGACGGAAATGAGCGCGATACGCTAATTAAACAGCAATCAGTCAAAGATGGAGCAGAAAACAAAGGCGTTGGTCAATTGCTTGACAATATGAATGTCACATCCGCGGTTGATAAAGAATCTCTGGTTCAGAATATTGTTAAACCAAATCCGACAAAATTAATAGGGAAAACGGTGGCTTCGAGCACCTCACCAGGAAGTTCCATAAATGATGAGATAGTGCCAGAAGAATGCACCAACGAACCCGTGCAAGAACAGTTTAATAGGGAACGTGAAGATAAATCTGACAGTGAAACACGAAAACGGGCAGGGGATGTAGTAGCGATAACGTCGGAAATTAATGAAACCGCAGATTCTAGTGTTGAACTCCATTCTAGAATAGGTAAAATCAGCCATTTTCAGCAGGGGGAGCAGAACAATACCACCAAACAACCTAGCAAACAAAAATCGATACGAATTAAAAGCGCTCAAACTGAAATACCATACATAACACGCAAGGTCAAAAAAGCATTGAGCGAATTACATCTCGACCCATCTCAATTATCAGAGGACGTTTTCAACATTAAAAAACCCGCCGCACCTGACCACACTATCCCAGAAAATAATTTAGACCTCGGCGTGAATGTGAACGTCGAGGAAGGAAACTTATTGATAACTGCCCAATTAATTGAACCAGAATCTGAAAACATGAAATCCTTGGAGGTTGAATTGCTTAGGAACTTCAAAAGGACACCAGAAGATAACTGTAAAAGTGCGACCGTTTCTACAAGCGCCAGTGTGAAGTCAGTCGTTCACCTACACAATAATAACGTTAATTCATCACCGGAAGTCGCACTAGAATCAGAAATGATCGGTAATGAAAACACTATTGCGAAGCAACGACCAGGCAGCGTGGAGGATATATTTGAACAAATCACTCAAGAAGTCAAATTACATCCGACAGAAGAAAAGGAACGCAAGCTAATTACAACGCCCGAATTATGCGAAATTTTGGAAAGTGGAAGTAAGGAACTACTAAATAGCCAGACTGAACAAAAAAATATTAGTCAAGTGAGGATTTGTCCTGATCAAGAGGACGTTCAAAACATAGAAACAAAGAAAAAGCAACAATCAAAGGCAATCAACAAAAAAAATAGTTCAAATAAGGATAGCATAAGGGAAGCAAAAGAGGATAGAAAAATTGAGGTCGTAAAGGGCATTATTCATGCGGAACCTTCCACTTTGATAGGTAAAAGCGGTTTTGCTGAGGTTCCAAAAAATATTAGAAAAAAACAGAAAAGTAAAGCGGAAGTGCTAAAAATAGAAACAAAACCAAAGCAACAATCAAAGGCATATAACAACAGTGAAAATAATTCAAATGTTTCTAGCGTAGTGGAAGCAAAAGAGGCTAAAGACATAGAGAACGTTGAGGACACGATTGATGCGGAACCTAACAATCTGAGAGAAAAAGGGGATTCTGCAGATCTTCCAGTCACTGACGTAAGAAAGAAACATGTGAAAACTATTCGCAAACAGCAGAACAGTATTGATCAAGCGAGTATCTCGCCTGAGAAAGACGAAATGCTGCAAAAATCAAAAACTTATATTATAAGCAAATATAATTCAAATGATAATATTGCAGAGGAAGGAGAAGGGGTTAAAAACACCGAGATTGTTGAAGTCATGATTCATGCGGAACCTTCTAGTTTAATGGAGAAAAAGGGTTCTGCAGATGTTCCAGTCACTGGCGTTCGAAAAAAAATGAAAAAAAATATTAGCAAAAAGCAGACAAATAGTGGTCAAGCGAGCATATCGTCTGAGAAAGAGGGAGTTCTAAAAATAGAAACAAAACAAAAGAAAAAATCAAAAACCTATATCAATAGCGAAACTGATTCACATGATAATATTGCAGAGGAAGGAGAAGGGGTTAAAAACACTGAGGTCGTTGAGGTCATGATTCATGCGGATCCTTCCAGTTTGATAGAGAAAAGGGGTTCTGCAGATGTTCCAGTCACTGGCATTCGAAAAAAAAATATTTGCAAAAAACAGACAAATAGTTCTCAAGCGAGAGTTTCGCTTGAGAAAGTTGAAGTGCTAAAAATAGAAACAAATCAAAAGCATCAATCAAAGGCATATAACAATAGCAGTAATAATTCAAGTGATAATAGTGCAGAGGAAGGAGAAGGGGTTAAAAACACTGAGGTCGTTGAGGTCATGATTCATGTGGAACCTTCCCGTTTGATAGAGAAAAGAGGTTCCGCAGATGTTCCAGTAACTGGCGTTCAAAGAAAACTTACAAAAAATATCAGCAAAAAACAGACAAATAGTGGTCAAGCGAGCATATCGTCTGAGAAAGAGGACGTTCTAAAAATAGAGACAAAACAAAAGCAAAAATCAAAGACTTACACTGATAGCAAAAATAATTCAAATGATAATGACGTAGGGGCAGCAGAAAGGGCTAAAAAAAACGAGGTCGTTGAGGTTATGACTCATGCGCAACCTTCCACTTTGATAGAAAAAAGGGTTTTTGCAAATGTTCCAGTGACTGGCGTACAAAAGAAACATACAGAGGATATTAGAAAAGAACCAGAATATTATGAGTTATTTAGAGAGGAATTTGAACGATTGCGGGAGCAACGGGCAAATATTGGTCAAGAGTTTAGGAAATTAGAGGAGCATCCACATGCTGCAGCTAATGTTTGCAGTTCGACTGCTTGTGCTGCTGAAAAATTCGCCGATTTGTCCAAATCGACATTGCACGAAAGCATTTACAAAACTGTGAGCGAAGAATTTGAAGAGTTATCCAAATCCAAACCCGGACGCGGTAAAGAACACCGTTCGGTGATGGCTAATAGAAAATTTCGGCAACTATATAACCCCAACGACCCTAAAATGTTAGAAACGCTCGAAGAGAGCGTACGCAACAACGAATACAACACAACTCAGATGCCGAGGCTATTTACACCGGAACGAAGTCTGCGTCATATCAAGAAACCATCAAAGGAAAGCAGAAGATCCAAACCGGTCAAAAAGGCCCGGGGACCATCTAGAAGCAAAGCAAATAGGAAAGGGAAAAACAAACGTTCGGGTTTTTCTAAAAATCGCTTTCTAGACAAAATGTTTGAGGATATGGATATAATAGTCCGTGGTGGATGTAGGTCACCTGATAGCTCCTCAAACGATCTTCCAAAATATCCACGTTTCACCAATAATGTCACACCCCCAGAATCCTTTTTCCCGGATATGGAAATCGAGGGACCCATACCAACATTCCTAGAAAAGTCAAGTAGCCGCATTAACATGTTACAACACCACGCGGTTCCAGCCACAAAAAGAAAGTCTGAAGAAAATTTAGATAAAGCCTCGAAGAAAATGAAATTTTTTGGTGAAATTAACGACAACGCACGACCGGCCGTTTCAACAGAACCAATCGCGAGAGAACCATGTGCCGATGGTGAGTTAATAGTTTTACGATTTCGCGATATGTTTTACTGGAATTTTCAGAAGAGTCATTGCAAAATACCAAGTCGGTGCTTAATATGTTGGGCGTTTTAATTAATTTATTGCTGGGTTTGCCCCTCGACCCCGACGGTAATCAAAGATTGCAAAAAATGCGCGACCTCTGCCATAATTAATTTTGTTAATTCGTTTTAATGTTAAGTTTATATAGTATTTTTAAGTGTTACTGTTTTATAGAAATTACAGAATAAATCCTAATTGCTTTATTGCACGGTTTTTGTTTAATTGTATAAGTAAACAACTATTTACTACTATTATTATTATACTATTTACAAATCTGGATTCCGTCGGTTGTTGTTGAATTGAAATTGCTGACATTTCGCCAACCATCCTACTGGCTTCTTCAGAGCTTAACGGAAACTATTTTGCAGTCTACTTTGGACCTGCTTATATACTGTTTGGGGAAGGTGGGACATGAACATTGTCTAGTATGACTGATTCCCATGTTGCTGAGTCACGCTTGTTTGGTTGTTTTCTTAGGTAGAAGAATTGAATGAAGAGTTGAATGCAAACTAGTTTCAGTTAAACTCTGAACAAGTTTACAGGATGACTGGTGAATCGTCAGTTTGATTTTTCAACCGATGCAGGAAGAATCTACATGTTTTTAATGTAATGTCAAATGCTTCCTTTTATTATAAACAGATTCTATACCTATCTGTCGTAGTTTTGGTTAAAATAAAATAAAAAAATTATGAATTAGGAACTTTTGGGATTTGCAATGCTATAATGGAACGCATCAGACAAACATAATCTCTATCTGATCTATGGTGACGCGTTGTCTCGCGCCAGCCAAGCCGAACTCGTCCGACTTCGCTCGACCGAGTCCGAGTCCAAAAGCGAGAAAGATGTCCGCCCATAATTTTTTTTTCATTGTCAACCAACATAAATTGTCAAACACAAGAGATTGCTTACGAATAATTTTATTTATTGTAATCATCGGCTTATTATTCCAATGTTATCATGGAGTTTTTTGTTTAAAGTACGTGCTTAACGTGACGCAAACCTTTATAATAAAAGTTTTCTTTTCCTTCTTAATTTTGTTTGAATTATTGTCCTTCAATCTTCGTTGTTTCCTTAAAGTAAATAAAAAAATAATAAAGGGATAAAAGTATCGATATGAGTAAGTATCGATACTTTAGGAGTATTTATTTGAGTAGTATCGAAAAAAGATTTGAGTACTATCGAAATACCTACTCATTTCGATCGATACTTTAATGCATAATAACATACTAACCGTGGATGTAGATGTAATATCGCACTATTTTACAATGTAAATAAAATAAGGATTAAAGAATACGTACCCATTCATTTCACATATATATAATTGGAAACGTTGACGGGATATCGGTCGTAATAAAACAATAAATAGAATGACATAAAACTAGATATATATATATATATATATATATATATATATATATATATATATATATATATATATATATATATATATATATATATATATATATATACTTTTGTAACCATTTTTTTAATAAAAACATATTAACATCAAACAATATTAATGTGACGGCTGTGATTGTTTATTTTTACACAAATTAATTAAATCTAGGCTCAATTTGAGTTAGTGCAGATCGTAATAAATTTTCAACGTTTATTAAAGTTGAACGGTATTTTGATTTTATTTAAATTAATGTGGAAAAGGCTGATTCACATAAATATGTTGTACAAAATGGCAGTAATTTGTTCATTGCCATTTCCGATAGTAGGGGTTATTCTGATTTGATTTCTATCCAAAAGTCATGCACAGGCACTTGAGAAAATCTGAGTCGCAAGGTAGTATCTCTTGTTAATTCGGCAAATTCTTCTTGTGCTTTTAAGTTTAAAAAATTAATTACTTGCATTTCAATTGAAAATGGATTGCGAATCCATTGTTGTGTATCGATATCATTGGGAAAATACCTATGCATGTAAACTTCCATATCCTTCAAATGATAATTATCATTTTTGTTATAGGAGTATCTTTTTTTGAAATATTGTTACTAATTATATACTCGTCAGTAAATGGAAACATTTCGGGCGATCCACTTTCCACTCGGTTCTTCCATATAAGAATTTTTTTAACAAAGGCCTCAAGTTTATTTTTTAACATAAACATATTAACGCAGACTCCCTGCATTGATAAATTCATATCATTGATTTGATCAAAAATAGCTTGAGAAGCCATAAATTATCGTGAAAATAATCGGCCAAATTAGAATTTTACTCTGTTAGAAATATAAGAACTTCATCTTTTAAAGTTAATAATCGTTTCAAACTTCGACCTCTTGATGGCCACCTAACTTCAGCATGTAGCAATAAACTTGTATAATCCGAATCCATATCAATGCACAAATTTTTAAACAATCGACTATTAGGTGCTCGACTTTTAATAAAGTTAATGATTTTGACTGCATCAAAAAACACAGTGTTTAATTCTGGTGCAATTTTTTTAACAAGTTCCTCTCGGTGAATCATACAATGTGTAAAAATGCTGTAAAACCAAGATCTTGTCCGGTCATTGCTGCAGCACCGTCCGTGCACACACCAACACAATTTTTCCAATTTAATCCTTCTTTTTCAAAAAACTCATTTACTTTTTTATATATATCTTTTCCACGAGTATGATCTTCCAGAGGACGACAAAACAGTATATCTTCATGAATGCTTCCCTCATAAATATATCTTACAAAAAATAACAGCTGTGCCATTTTTGAAATGTCTGTCGACTTGTCCAGTTGTATTGCAAACTTTGAGTTGTCTTTAAGCCTCATAAGAAGCTGTTGAAATTGATCATTGCTAATGTCTGAAATTCTTTTGGACACAGTGTCATTTGATAATGGAATTTTACTAATTTCAGAAGCATACTGTTTTCCATGAACAATTTCAGACATTCTTATAGCTGCAGGTAGTAAAAGTTGCTCTCCAATAGTAAAAGGCTTTTTCGTTTTTGCTATCAAATACGAAACTTCATACGATGCCAATAGATATTTGTCATTCAAAGTAACATACTTCTCCAAAGTGTTCTTTTCTTTATTTGATGTTTGCAAAATACGCTCAAAATATTCTATTGGCTTTTTTGATAACGTTGCATGTTTAGTATTCAAATGTTGAATTTCATGCTTTATGCAGCCAAAACTTCTTTGCAAATTAAGCACACTGGTTGTTCTTCATTGTTGTGAGAAGAGCATGTGAAGCCATATTGCAAATATGATTCGTCATATTTTCTTTTTTTTGTTTTGCTAGAAGTCGGATTTGAAGCACTGCAACTTGGTTGTGACGGCGTGGCAGACTTATTAGTTGGAATTTTAATTAGCCATTTATCCATGATGGTTAAATAATAATAAATAATTAAACAAAATGTAGTTGAACTTTAACGTAATAATTAAAAACACCAACTGAAAATTACATAGTAAATACACACGTCACTACGAAGACAAAGCTGAGTCCCAACTGAAGTACAAACAGAAAAATAACTACACTCGAATCTTTACCAGTGCAATGACAACAAATTACGATCAGATCAACCCCGACGCATGGCGTGTTCAAAGTGTGCAGCGCACAAAGGCACCGTATCACAAAGACGCCGAAAAAGAAGCTTTCATTTAATCTTTTTTATTATTCTTTTATAAAAATAATATGCCGATTCGCCTAGCCTAGCTTGATTATGCTTCCGTAGTGTATGTGTAAGCTGTAAGGCGACGCGGCGTCTGGGTACTTATAATCACTAAGTTATTTTGCAAACACTGACGCCGGCGGCCAGACGTCAATGTCGAACGTTCAGTTGAAAATCGAGGAGCGCGTTGTATTTATTATTTTAAATGCTAATTCCATATTTTCATTTATAGGCCATACGTAACAGTTTTGCATTGCCACTTTTTTCAAAAAATTGTTATAATTAAACTACAATAGTATTTTGTATGATTTTTATTTGTATTTATATTTGTTCGTAGTGTGTATACTAATTTTAAAATTTTATTTCTAATGATTGAAAAGTATCAGATCTTTGCGACCCCCTTTCAGTAGTCTCGTGACTCCGCTGGGGGTCGCGACCCACAGTTTAAGAAGCCCTGCTAAATATTTACATTAAATAATTTACGAGGTTTTTGCTAGTTTACTTAAACCCTAATGATCACAAAAATGAAAACCGAATTATTTTATTTATTTATTTAATTACGAATTTACTTGTATTCAAGTTTCAAATCATTTTACAGGTAAACAAGAGAGACGTCATTACATTAATTTAACTATCCTCTTTGAATTGAATCTGAACCACAGCGGAAAATAATTAGTTTTCTCTATGGTCTGAACTTTCCAACCGTAACTTGGACATGTACAGCAAGTGTCAACGATATCCAATCAACGTTTTTTAATTTTTTCAGCTGCTAATAAATCAAATTGATATCGCATTAGACAGCTTTACTGTTATTTTGCACTCACTAATAACTCGTAGTAGTCGTACACAAAGTACATGTACAAAAACGTCTCTGTTCTAATCTTGCTTGAGGGGATTAATAATGGGCGTATGATCCTAGTGAATATCCCACCATTCGAAGAATTGTAAACGACGAAGAACGATCTATCTATGCATGGCTTTTAAACTTAAAGTTTGAGTGTGTAACGGCTGAGGGAATTGATGGTAGTTTTCCCGCTGTGCTAGTCGCAGTTAAAATGGATTTTGTTGATAATTCCTTCATGTTGTCGAAAGAGGTGTCTTACTTAAAAGCTAGAGACCCGAGTGTTTTTTTATCTTGGAACAGGTACGGGATACAAAATGTACGATCTAACTTAGAGGACCGCTTTAACCAATGCAGTGACCTTGTTCAGCCCAGTAAAAAAGTAAGTTCAGTTTTTGGTTTTGCTATTTTTTCGAATTTTTTTCTTTATTCGCAGTTCACATTTTGCTATTGTTGTGCATGTTGTTTTATATAATGGCGGAGATATCTAACATTATTCTTGTATTTTTTTCTGTACTGGCAAAACTATAGTATTGATTACGGAATATTTTTTAGGATGATTGTGTGGAGGTGTATCTTCGAATTAAAAAAGGCATATCTTTTGCACACCTCTATAGTTTTACAGACAACACGTTAATATGTAAAGTGGCGGCCAAAGGCGAAACTGTTAATAAAAAATATACTTTCACAAAAATATTCGGGCCCGATGTAACTCAAGAAGAATTATTCAATGACGTTATCAAATCCAAAGTATTACATTTTATTAATGGGAGGAATGCAACTGTATTTGCATACGGTGCCTCGGGATCTGGTTAGGTTTGATCGGAGAAACTCTTTTCGAACTGAGGGTCTTTTATTCCAGGTAAAACATTTACAATGGTTGGGACCGAAAATGCGCCTGGTGTAATACCTAGAGCATTTGAATATCTGTTTCGTAGTTTGCCCATATTACGTGAAGATCCCAAAGCAAAACCTTTGCCAAATGGGACAGTAATGGAGCTTAGCGCTTTGCAGAGCGAAGAAGAGAAGAGGAATACCCAAAATCTGCTTCACATATATGGTCAGCGACCTGACAAGTTGCTCCACTTGAAAACTTACAGGTGAAGTCAATGTGCCCATTTTAACTAATAACTAACAAATAGGCGAGCGATTAACCACCATTGTAAAAATTAGAATAGTATTTCGCGGGTTTTCGACTATTTTCACATGATTGCGCAGTTACATTTAATTACCTAGCTACTAAGACCCACAAATTAAAATTCTGTCGTGGGAGTAGGACTGAGGAAGAAGCTATCGCTTTTATTACAGCTGATAATCACTTTTATCATGATTAAAAATGATAATGTTACTCACAAAAGGTTTAATTAAATTATATGATAATAGATCGACCTGGCATGATGGACAATTTTCTTTGATCTTAATTTTTTTAAATGTAAGTAAAATTTTAAGTTTGGCATTTTCATCTGTAAGTGGCTTTGTCAAAAATCGATGCGTTTTCGGGAATCTTCTTTATTTTAATTGTATAATTTTTGACCCCGTCGCAATTCGTTTTCCTCTTATAATGTAAAATAAATTACGTCTGCAGGACTATGCAAGCGAGACTCAGCGATTGCCCGGTCGCCACAATAACCGGCAACGCGGATCTCGTGGAGATATGGGTGTCTTTCGCCGAGATCTACAACGAGCACATCTACGATTTGCTGCAACCGCACTCCGGGCATTCGAGACCGAAATTAAAACTGGGCGGTCTACACGAGCACACCTACATCAGAGACTTGAAATACTATCACGTCAAGTCAGGCCTGGAGGCCTACCAGTTATTGCAATTCGGCTTGCAAAATATCAACTACGCGGAGACAAAAGTGAACTCTCATTCGAGCAGGTCGCACGCCATTTTCACGATAAGGCTCGTCCAAGGGTTCCGGGCGGAAAAATGTTATTCGTCATTGAATTTCTGCGACCTGGCGGGGTCGGAGAAACTGAAGAAAACCTTGAACACCGGCGATAGATTAAAAGAATCTAACACCATCAATAAGTCGCTTCTAGTTCTGGGAAGGTAAGTTTATCGGTTCATGAAATGTTACAAACTACGGTTGGTCTATTAAATGAAAATGTAGCAATTGCGAAAGCTTAAAAAGTAAATATTTTAGGTTGCTTGGAGTTGTTAAGAATAAAAAATTTAAGAAAGATATAATTTGCATTGGCATTAGTGGAAAGTCCTCTCTCTGGAGGGACTCAAGAAGCCAAGCAATTAATTTTCGCCAAAAAAAAAAAGACGCAGAGTACTTTTCGATAAGTCGCAAGTTCCCGAAACAAAAAAACGGAAAAGGAAGAGGCGTTTTAAACTATAGTTTTGTCCCCTTATCAGAGGTGCATGAAAAAAAAACAACATAAATCATAAATACGTATTACCTTTATTTCTTTAAAAACATACAAAAAACTATGGAAAAAATATAGGTACTTAAATGTTCAAAATTCGGGAGAACGTTTTTAAAAACATTTATTACACGGAAAGCGAAATAAAGTATTATTCGAACTGGCCGTTACAAAGGTTGGAATAATTAAGAGCGTATTTTACAATATTACAATCGAATAAATAGGGCTTTTGATGTGGTGTCAGCGATGCGTTATCTTCGCTTAGCTTTGGGCTTCGTCTGCAGTTTGGGACATATAACTAGGTGTATGAACTTAAATTCTAAGATACTAGTCTGACGCATATTTAATATTTTTTGTTTTAACAAGCTTGACTGAAAATTATCTAATAAATTTTTAAAGGTGTTGAAATGAAATAGCAAAAACTTATAGATCGGTAATTATTTTTAAGGCTTCATTATAGCTGTTAATTTCGCTAGCTTCTCCATTATCATATTCTTGATCGCTGTCTTGTTTTCGATTGCGTATTCAATGTTCAAACTAGTCTCCTCAGTCGCTCTAATATTGTCGATCGCAACATAGTTTCCAAGAGTTTCTTGCGTTATGTTCATTTCTTTAAAACATCGTTCCATTTGAATATCGTAGATAGTGGGATATTATCTTCTGGATCCCATTCCATTGATTTAGAAAAATTATAATTTTTTTGAAAACCAGCTTTGTTGAAACAATTTGCTATGGTTCTAAAATATTTACTAAATTGCTAAATCTGACGCGGACGTTACTTGATCCGTCTTTGATAAAATGTGCTCCAGTATGAGTCGACGATAATACAATTTTTCATTCTGTATGATACACTGATGTAGAGGTTAACATACTGATGTATTAGGCAAGAAGACAATTTTTATGTTTTGTAATTTAACCTCACGGGGGTGCGATGCGGAGTTATCCAAGAATAATAAATTTTTTCGCCATTTTAGGTCTGTCAAATTGTAACAACCAGTCATTCATAATGTCTCGTGTCATCCATGCTTTCTTGTAAAATTTCCATATTGACGGTAAATTTTTAATTGCTACATTTTTGAATGGTCGCGCAGCATTTCCAATCACGAGCAAATCTTCTTTTTGTCATGCCATATTAGCACAAAATAAAATTGTAAGCCTCTCCTTGGAAAGCTTTTCACCACTAAGTTTTTCGAATGTCAAAGCAAGTATTTTGTTAGGTAAGACTCGGAAGAAAAGGCCAATCTCTTCGGCATTATAACATCGTGTCGCCGATATCCGAGGAGTAGTGTGGGCAACTTATCTTTAGACTGATTTACGTCTTCTTGACTCACATCTGCTGATTCTCCAGAGATAGAAGCTTTAAAATTTGGAACATTAAGTTTTTCGGCTATTTCTTGAGCCTTGGCCTTTACTAAGTGCGATATTGGAATGTATTTTCTGTGCAATAGTAGATCACCGTGTTCCTTAATGGTATGCGGATATTTAATTTGAATGACAAAAATATGATCATTTGTTAAATAAACCATTTTCCTAAAACTCAGCCCGAGGGACATCATCTTTTAACATGCAATATTTGCTTCAACTTTTTCCTGCTGATATACGGAATCTACTTTTTAAAACCCTAAAACATCTAACTATTGGCCTTCTTGTTCTAAATTGCACGTCGTTTTATAGATCTTCTACGGCGTTCGTGGAAGCCTTTTTAGTTAACTTTTTTTATAGAATTATAGCAATAGGTTTTATTCGTATATCTAGAGTATTATATCTTTAAAAGAAGTAGTATCATGTCTAATATTGCCAACAAGTGACTTAATGTGGGCAGCTTTAAATTCAACAAGAATTTGTCTGCGTGTTATCTTAAACCTCGATTATCTCAAAAAGTAACATTTAAATATAAAAAAAAAACGTAACCTCAATTTCTCCCTAAATCATGCAAAATTCGAATAGGATTTTTTTTATAAAGTGACATTTATTTTGACCGGGCAGGTCAAGGATTCAAAAAATGTCGAAATATAGGGGGTATTTTATTTAAAATAACAAAGATTATGTCGAGGAGGGGGGGGACACTTTTGAGACACCCTGTATCAACAGAATTATAATATTTTAAATCTTCAGGAGAATCCAAGAAACTTTTGTACGAAACTTTTTTTCATATCTCACATGGTGTACATATTATTATTAATAAAAAAGTTGAAGAATTTTAATAGGAATTCGAAACATTTTTATAAACGTATGTTTTATTCGTCTTTCTTTTGTATTTGTCATTTTCTTTATTTTCCTCTATTGTTGACCCGCCCTATACAAAGTGGAATGAGTTCTGAACGAGCCAACAAGATGATCCAGAAGAGTTAGCTTGTGGAAGTTGGTTTGAAAAATCTACATAAACGTAAGAAAACTTCTGGATTCCTCATGCGTCGGTTTTTGCTGACTCGAACCAGCTAACGTTTCGCAAATCATCCTGTTGGCTGCTTCAGAGCTTGACTGAAACTGCTTCGCATTTTACTCTGTAGTTGCTTTTATATTGTTTGAGAGGGGCGGAGCTAAATGAGGGACATAAACACCGTCTCCGATGACTGATTCAAATATTGGTGAAGAAACCTGAGTCGCGGTTAAGATTTTAATTTTATCTAAATTCTTGCATGTAATGTAGAATTGATTCTTCTACCAACGAAAAATCCGAGAGTCTATAGAAATCTATAAGCAACCTAATAATCTTAACCGCGACTCAGGTCTCTAGCTGTCACCAATATGGGAATCGGTGTTTATGCCCCTCATTTAGCTTCGCCCCTCTCAAACAATATAAAAGCAGGTACAGAGTAAAATGCGAGCCAGTTTAGGTCAAGCTATGACCAACGCAGGAGGAATCCAGAAGCTTTATAAAAAGTATTGAAGTAAACTGTGGAAGTTTCTTTAAAAAATACATAAAATACTGTTTATACGACAACCGCCACATTTTTTTTTGTAGTTTAACAGTGAACCACAGAGTTTAGTGCATCCGGATAGAGTTTATTTGTAAGTTATTTGTGTTATCTTCTTTAATCTGCAGGTGCATACACCAGATCCGGTCGATCCAGCAAACGAAAGATAACCTACTGCCGCCGTTTAGAGAATCGAAACTAACGCAGCTCTTCCAGAGGGCGCTCTCGGGCAAGGAAGAGACCGCCATGATGGTAACCGTCAATCCGGCCGGTACCATGATTGACGACACGCACCACGTTTTAAATTTTTCCGCCATAGCCAGAGAGGTCGAGCAGGCCAGAAAATCAACGTTTATGGAATACATGGCGAAATTCTGCTCTACCGTCGTGGAGGACGACAAACACCAGGACGAGTTGCGGAGTTTGAGAGATCAAGTCGCTATCTTGACTTTGGAACTCAGCGAAGCGCGCCTGCAGATGGAGGACGTGTGTGAGATGGAAAGGAATCACCTGACGAGGGTATGAAAATTGCTACGGTGCAAAATCCGAGTATTCTAGGGAGGCAAAATTAGGAAGGCAATAGAAATATACTCTTTACAAAACTTCTGGATTTCTCCTGCGTCGGTTTTTGCTGACTCGAACTTGCTGACGTTTCGCCAATCATCCTGTTGGTTTCTTCGGAGCTTAACTGAAACTGCCTCGCATTTTACTCTGCATCTGCTTGTATATTGGTTGAGGGGGGCGGAGCTAAACACTGTCTTGGATGACTGATTCCCATATTGGTGATAGATAAAGACCTGAGTCGCGGTTAAGATTGTTAGGTTGTTTATAGATTTCTATAGACTTTCCAATTTTTCGTTGGTAGAAGAATTGATTACATGCAAGAATTTTAGTTTTATCGAATAAAATTTTATGTCCGGTTTCGTGATTGTGTCTTAGTCGTAATTCTCTTTCGTGTTCTTCGAGCTTAGTTGATATTTTTCGTCCGGTCTCTCCAATATATTCTTTGCCGCATATGCATGGAATGCTGTAAACTCCTGGCATCTTAATTAAAATTTTGTCTTTGAAGGACCGAAGATGTTGACAGATTTTCGGAGAAGTGTTAAATCTGGTTTTGACGTTATATTTCTTTAGAACTTTTGATATGTGGTCAGTGATGTTTTGATTGTAAGGAAGGATAGTGCCAAGTGTAGGATTGCTTTCGTCCTCATTGCTATTGGAAGGTTGTGATGAAGTGTATTTTTTCATGGAAGGATTAATATCGTTAAACACAATGACCCAATGTTAGGTCTGATTTTCTATTGATAAGAATATCTAAGAATGGAAGGTTATATTATTAGTTTCCAACTCAAAACGTATGTTATAGAGTTTAAATATCTAAGAAAATCTACTACTACTGACTTTGACGCTAAGTATCAAAAGTAAAAAAAAAAAACGAAGTTTTTAAGATCCCTCCACAAAGTTGGGCAAATTCTGTTAAACATATAGAAAAAGCAGAACAATCGTATATCCATATTGCAAATAATATAGAACAAATAATAATTAGAACAGGCGATGATAGCGATAATGTATCAGTATATACATTATGTGAATAATTTTAAATAATTTAAGTAGGCAATAAAAATAATTTGTAATTTTATTTTAGATTTAAACATAAATACATACATAAATAAATAAATATTGTTTAGTATCTTTCCTAACAAGTCCCCAAATAATTAAATTCTAAGCAAAGTGGGGACCTGTTCGGCCATATTTCATTCTTACAGCTTGCCCGGGTCTTTCCTTAATTCGCATCAGTTGGTCACTTTCTTATACTTATGAACAGACTTTACACAGTACAATGCAAAATTAATATTAAACTGTTTCGTTTAAGCAATACGAAAACATAATAGAGCTTAAGAATAAGCAGTTCGCCCGTCTGAGAACCAGGTGCGAACAGCTGGAGCAAGAGCTGCGCGATGTGCGGCAGAAACAAAACGTGATAGTGATCGGGGACAGTGACGAGGAAGACTACGAGCCGTGTAAAGCGAACGAGATGGCGCTGAAAACCGAGAACCTGGAAGCAATCGTGCGGCAAAAGGAAGACGAAAACCTGGCGCTGCGCCAACGGGCCGGACGTCTGGAGGCGGACAACGAGATGCTGAGGAAGGCGATCCAAGAGAAGGACAAAATGCTGGCGGACGCGGTCTTCGATTTCAAGCGGCTCGAGCTGCGCTGCGAAGAGCTGGAAATGAAGAATTCGCTGTACGAAGGAAGTAGAAACGAAACCGATAGCAGCTCGGAGAGCTGCAGTGGAGATAGCACCGACCGGGTAAGCACCAAATTAGGTCGACGTTTCGGAATTACGCCTTTTCTGAAAGCAGTGTTGCCAATTTTATGTAACATCTTTTTTTTATTTTGAAAACATGTACAGAGTAGTCCGTTTATGAGGCGCCACTTCATTATCTCGCGAACTAGAAGAGATTGAACAATGTTAGAGATGTTAGAGACAAAAGTTGCTTGGATTAATCTGAAGTTTTCATTTGCGTACACTATCAACTCTTTTTTATCTCAAATGAAACACCCTGCATATTAAGGGGTTTAAACCCGGAATTATCGACTTTCATCTTAATCTTGTTTCAAATCCTCTTTGCGTATAAAAAAAGGTCTCTTCTCGTTTATTTATTTCGTAAAACTTGAATTTTTAAATGAAAAAAATCTTCTAGTGTCGCCACACTTCGCGTATCGTCAGTTTCTCTTTTTCAAACCCCCGCTACGTCCAGATAGACCACCGACATGCGAATTTGTTTATTCCTTCCACGCTTACCTTACGGTAACTTAAACTAGGATATAATAACAAAAAGAATATAATAAACTATGGACAGTAAAAGAACTGCACATCATTCAAATGGCACACTATTTGAAACTCCATTAGTTAACGTATTGATAAAACACAATCTCGGCGCTACATATCAATTTAACAAAATTTAATTACTTTAATTTGTTGGTATTGTGTTGATTTGTAAAGCACACCAGCCTATTCAAAGGCATATTCTATTAATCACTACAGGAGACAAAAGGTGACTTCCTCTCAATTCTCTAGAACGGACGTGACAATTAAAACTTGACAGAACACAAGGAGAATTAATAGCCGCAGTGATAGAATGGTAAAACATAAATCCAGAAATTTTCCTCGAGAGTAGCCAGTCCATGAAGGTCACTTCAATGATATCCACTTGTAAACTAATCTGGCCCATCCTATATCTTTCTCTGCACAGCCTCAATTCGGTTTTTATGAATTTCATAAAATGGAGACCAGATTGTTGACCCAAGATAGTACGGACATATGAACTGAACATCCCAAATTCTCATACATTCATACGTAACACTACTAACTTTGCGTGACCTTGAAAACAGATTCCTCCTCGAATCATTATTGAATCACCTCCAAAATTTCTATCAAATCCTAAGCCCAGTCGTTAATTAACATGTTTTCTTGTGAACCTTAACCATAACCTGGTTAACAATGGGCAGTACCAGGCATTATGGACCTTATTCCAAATTCATCTAAACATTACGGTCTCTGGAGAGACCGATTTGCAGGTGCCTGGATGTAACATGACCTATACGCAAAGTCAGCTGATGCATGTTAAAAATGAAAGTCGTCTTTTTTTTGTCCTGAACACAAAAGCTGCATATCTAGAATTGAAGCTAAAAGGAGATCATAGGTCACAGATTCAGCAGACCTTGCGAAACCTTCCAGAACCTGTCTTTTATCATGCGCCTAGGCGCAAAGCCGACATTGGAAGAAATTCCTATAAATACTCTCGTGAAGTTTTCACTCAATTAAATTTGACTCAAACATAATATAAATAAATAAATAATGTTCTGCTAAAAAATATATTTAGTTTAAAAATTAATAAAACCAACCTAAACAGTAACCTGTTAGTGTTCAGTTCTAATGTTAAAATAAAAGAGGAAATACCAACTGAATGTATAAAAAAATTGGCAACAATGTATCGAGGTGATTTCGTTCGTTTCGTTTCCAAATTCTTTGCAAAGAATTGAACATTTTCACGGTTTTACATTCACACCCTGTATAATGGGAAGGGGTTATTTTATCCCGATTAACAAGTTGTTTACATTAGGAAGAAGCAACGCTATTTGTTCCAGTCCGCAAATTGCCAGATGGAGATGGAGATGATTCGCAAAGTATTGAAGGTACTTTAATTAATATACGTACAGTTGTTTAATAAGGGTTCGATATTTTACAGGGTTGTATGTAAATATTTTGTGTGTCAAAGTTTCATTTCATTAAATTGGTATCTGTGACTTTTGTAACATGAGAAACTTGAATTTGTTCTCCGTCAAAATTGAATTTATTCATTAAGTATATGTGATACATTTATATTGTACATATGTTCTGTAAAATAAATTTAAGGAGTCAATGTTTACTATCAAATATCAAGCTTCTATTAAATAACACCATTTATATTTATTTAGGGTATTTCTGTTTCAGAGCAACCAACGAGCAATAGTGATTTGAAGCTTGAACTTCCTGAACAATTGTCAAGTTTTAAATTAAGTTAAGTTAATTAAATCCTTATATCTTTGAGAATTGGAAATTTTACTTAACATTTGCCGTTTTCCAGTCGGGCTTACAGTAGTGGGGCACCTGTATTATCTAATAGCTATATGGTCAATCCCCTAAATATCCAAATAAGTTTGAAATGAGAGAATGGTGACGACATGTTCGACCGGAAGAATTAATAATTATCTAGGAATGCTCTGGTACCACAACAAATTTAACAATAGATTTTGACAACTTGGTTATGAAAATTGGTATTTTATCCAATGACATAACTGTTTTACAATACAAAAAAATTATTTGAGGTTTTGCGATTGTGGCGTCGTCATATATAATGAATCTTCTTTCTTTAATAGACGTGTATGGTCGGTTACATTAGGCAGTACAGTAGAGACTTGATAATCCGGACCAATTAAAGCAAGGGCTAACTCAAACTATAATATACAAATACATGATGAAAAACAGTAAACGGGTAAACTTCATTCTCAAAGTCTCATCAAAACAAATATAATGTAGGTAAGAATAACTATATCAAATGTTACAATATTACATTATTTAAATTATTTAAATATTTTACTTTGTCTTTTAAGTGAAATAATTGAAGAATGCTTAACTATACCTTTTTGTTATAATATTTTAATTTAGAGATTATTTTCTCCAGCAATTCTAATGTAAATCTCTGAAGCTTCATGTTCAAGATCGCCATTCTCTAAGACATTCTCTGCATTTTCCAACCACAGTCAATTTGTGTCAGCAGTTTAGAGGAATTAATTTTAGTCATAATCAGGTAAATTGCCGGTTTGTGGTCACTTTCTGCTATGGCATATAGAGTAAACTGCATCAATAAGATTTATCCTCTTAATGCAGACCTTTCTGATAATACAGCTAGAATAATCTGATAGCATTTTGATCCAGACATAGAGCAAAATCGACTTACTTAACATGGCCGAGATATAGGGCGCTTTCCAATTTTCGGCCCTTCAGAAAATTGCCCATAACTTTTTTATTTATGAAAATTTTGAAATGGGATAAAAACATTATTAAGGCATTCTTTAAGGCAAATGCAGTAGCGTACTCAGATTATGTCTACATTCCTCCGTTTTCTTATAAATAAAAACAATTTTCTTATTTTATATGATAATCATAGTTGACTGTAGGCTTAAATTAGTGTTCGTGGCGAGCCTTTTCAGCTATAGCAACCTTTAAAAACACGAAACTTACGAACCATTCAATATTTTAATTCTAATTTTAGATATTTTTAATATTTTAATATTTCAGATTATTTAGAAAACAAAATTATATTTATTTTAATCTAATAAACACAACAGTAAATATTAGAATACAAAATCTTAAAATTTATCCTTTTGCATTAATTATATTGAAATATTTTAAAGCAAATGTTCAAATTGGGCGCCGCTCTCTTCAATACACTTGGCGCACCTTTTTCGTACTGACTGGCAACTATTTACTAACTTTGTATATGATTGATGGAAGCAGACGCTTTGGTTTGGAAAATTCTGTCTTTAAAGATAAAATCTTTTATTCTTACCCATAAAAAAATCTAGACGAGTTAGATCAGGGCTTCTTAAACTTTTTTATATAGCGACCCCCTTCAAGCTTAGGAAATTTTAAACGACCCCCTCCTCCATATAATGAAATATATACTAACCGTGGATGTAGATGTAATATCGCACTATTTTACAATGTAAATAAAATAAGGATTAAAGAATACGTACCCATTCATTTCACATATATATATGTTATATCCGGAAATCCTATTGTCCACATGGGTTAAATGCCACCGACCTGCAAGAGTGCAACGATTGCGAAAACGTCGTGTCAACGATATGTCGCAACATCAGCATAAATTTTTATTGTAAAACATGGTCTGATAACATTATCTCATCGCGAGGTTATTATGTCCATTTTTAGTTTGATTTTAACGGTCTAATAACATTCTCTCGTCACAAGGTTATTATGTCCAATATCATTTTGATTATAATTTTAATTTTAGTTAATAAATATATTTTTTAAAAAGTTATTTTTGAAAAGTGAAATATAAAAATTGGCGCAGTCGGTAGGATCCGTTCACGTTGCTAGAACACGAGTATTCTAACTAGTGACGGCGGATTCCAATCCCTTAGACGGAAAGAAGAACCATCGCAGCCCAGTCGTGCCGGAACAAGGAACCGTCCATCACCGTTTCGAGAGGCAAGAATTCGGAGTAGGATCTGTTCACGTTGCTAGAACACGAATATTATAACTAGTGCCGGCAGATTCCGACCCCTAAATCTAGGGAACAACGAAGACAGCCCATCGTACCGGAACAAGGATAAACCCATCAACCGTCTCGAAAGGCAGCAATGAAAATAGTACTGTAAGTGTTAAGAATCGTTACGAATAATTTTATTTTTAATTTGCAACATTGTTGAATTTATTACGTTCGATTACCTAAGGTTGAAAATTACCTATTTATTGAATTTCCCAACGTAGAATCGTTTCGCGATAATTATTTTGATTAAATTTTAGTCTCCAAGTTTAACTTGGCAATATTTAAAACAAAAAATAATTGTGTTTGAACTTCTTATAAATTTATTTGCTTTTTCTTAAAACCTAAAATAATGGCAACTCAATCAGACGAACCTAGTACAATGTTGGAAGTTGAATCATATAAACTTTCGGAAATTTTCTGTATCGTACCTGAATTTGAGGGCGACCAAATCTTTTTAGGAAATTTTATAAACGCGTGTGATTGTGCTTATAATATGGCAACAACGCAACAAAAAATTCTTTTAGTGATTCACATTAAAAATAAGCTCCGCGGTAAAGCAGCTCAATTAATTAATTCTAGGAATCCTGATTCATATCTAGAAATAAAGAAACTATTAACTCTACACTTTGGTGATTCTAGAGATTTACCTTCCCTAATTCATGACCTTCAACGTCTTAAACAATTGCCAAATGAATCAGCATTAACATTTTTCAATCGTCTTCAAGTCCTAAATGCGAAAATGCATTCATGTGTTCAAAAATCCACCACATTAGGATCCAAAGAGCAAAAGGATGCTCAGATATCTTTAATTGAGACTATGACCCTTAATACACTTCTTACAGGTTTAGAACCTAGATTAGGTCAACTCATTCGTGCTAGTAATCCCACTTCACTTTTAGAAGCCCAAGCAAGGATTCGTCGAGAACTCCAACTCTCATATTTTGAAAATCAAAAATCTGTCAAATTAAATTCTCCTAAATCGCATTCTGCGAATATTCGAACCCCTCTTCAGCAACCCAAATGCACTTTGTGTAATAAAATTGGCCATACTTCAAATCAATGTAGAAGTACGCATCAGCATGTCAAACCAAATTTTTCGCAATATCCACAGCGACCTTCTAATTGGTTCCAACAAAGCAACACTAGCAACAACTCGAATCAAATACCGATGAAATCTTCAAACTCTTATCCTAAGCCACATTTTATGAATCCAAACCCGCAGCGAACTCATCATGTAAACTCAAACCCGATCTACATCGACGGTTATTCCGGAAATTCCCAGGAATTTTCACATGAAAATTACACTCTTCAAGAAGATAATGAACTTCAAAATCATTATTCTAACCATCCAGAAAACTGCGAACCAGAGCAGGATTTTCAAGAAAGCCCTTACGATATCCCACCAGACGAAATGTCTCCAGACCCGATTTTCGAAATCAATTTCCAAATTCAAACCCTGAATTTAGACAACATGAATCCCAATCTAAACTTTCCAGAACAGAACTTCTGTTAAACCCTCTTCTTACGGTAAATTCTAAAAATTTGTACTATATTTTTGATGCTACGCAAAAATTCAAAATATTAATAGATACAGTCGCAGGTATTTCTATCTTTAAATATAAAACCGCTGAAAATTACAGAACACGAGTTAAGGAAAATATTACCATCCAAGGTATAACAAATCAAACACTTTTTATTAAAGAATCCACACTTATTCCATTCACCGATAACGACAAACATAAAGTCTATCTTTACGATCTTGATATCGAATTTGACGGAATTCTCGGTTTAGATTTTCTTGATCACTACCAATGTATAATCGATTTAAAGTCCAAAAAACTTATAACGAATTTCAAAACAATGCCTTTACATAAAGTAGGACACGAATCTGTTCTTCCCAAAATTTGTAAAAAACCTGAACAAAATATTCAAAATCGAATTTCAATCGAACCTAGGACCGAAAGAATTTTCAAAATAAAATGTAGTTTAACAAACACAGACGCTATTCTCCACTCTCAAGAATGCGAAAAAGTTAGGTTACCTAATGCTTTAGTTAAAGTAAATAACAAAGGTGAATTTTTTACTACTGTTATTAACGCTAATGCTATCCCAAAAACTATAGATTTTTCAAATTTATCTATCGAACCTTTTAATACAAATCTTAACGAAAAAGAAATAAATAATATTTTCAATCTAAACTGTCAACCTGTTGATAGGCGCGGTATAATTCAATCGAAGAAGAAAAAGAATTAATAACACAACTATGTCTTGATTTTTCTGATATATTTTATTTAGAAGGAGATCATTTAAGTTTTACCAATGAAATTAAACATACTATTGAAACGAATAGCGCCAGACCGATTTTTACAAAATCATATAGGTACCCACATGTCCACAAAAAAGAAGTAAAGTCACAAATCAACAAAATGCTCGAACAAGGAATCATTCGACCTTCCACTTCTCCATGGTCTTCCCCTGTTTGGGTTGTCCCAAAAAAATTAGACGCTTCTATGAAACAAAAATGGCGCGTAATCATCGACTATCGCAAACTAAATGAAGTCTCTGTCGACGATAGATACCCTCTTCCCAATATTTCCGATCTCTTAGACCAGTTAGGCAGATGTCAATATTTCACTACTTTGGACCTAGCCTCTGGGTGTCACCAAATTGAAATTGATCCCAAGGACGTTGCTAAAACTGCATTTTCAGTTGAAAATGGTCATTTTGAATTTCTCCGTTTACCCTTCGGACTAAAAAATTCTCCATCCACTTTCCAATGTGTCATGGACAACATTCTCTTAGGTCTTCAAAACGAACGATGTCTCGTTTACATGGACGATATTATCGTTTATTCCGCTACCATACACGAACATATACAAAGGTTAACTGATGTCTTCAAACGCCTTCGCGGTGCAAACCTCAAACTCCAACCTGACAAGTGTGAATTTCTTCGAAAGGAAGTAGCTTATTTAGGGCATCACGTGACCCCAGATGGAGTCAAACCCAACCCTGAGAAAATAGACGCTATTCAAAAAATTTCAGAACCAAAATCACCAAAAGGCATTAAATCCTTTCTTGGTTTAGCCGGTTACTACCGACGTTTTATCCCCAATTTCGCTAAGATCTCAAAACCTTTAACTAGACTTCTCCAAAAAGACACACCCTTCGTATTCAATTCAGAATGCAAAAATTCATTTAATGAGCTTAAAAACGCTCTAATACGTGACCCAATACTCATTTATCCAAATTTCGAGGAAACTTTTGTCCTAACCACCGATGCCAGTGCATTTGCCATTGGTGCAGATCTTTCACAAGGTCCAATTGGAAAAGACCTTCCCATAGCATATGCCTCTAGAACTCTATGTAGTGCAGAGACGAAATATTCAACTATAGAACGGGAACTTCTCGCCATAGTATGGGCAGTTAAACACTTCCGCCCTTATCTGTTCGGAAGAAAATTTACTCTCGTTACTGATCATCGTCCTTTAACTTGGCTATTTTCGATAAATGATCCTGGTAGTCGTTTAGCTCGATGGCGTCTTAAGCTTGAAGAATACGACTATACCATTGTGTATAAGCCCGGTAAAATAAATAAAAACGCAGACGCTTTATCCCGTGTTAAAATTAACCATATTCAAGATTGTGTCGATCTCCAAAAGAAAATTTTTATCCTTGCACCTAATAACGATGACATTCACAACCGACCATCCACAAGTAAAGAAGGAATCGTTCACGATGACAATTCCAATAATTCAGATATCGAAGACGACACAGCGGAAGTTACAGAAGAATACAACAACTTCGCATACCTTCACAAAACCACATCCCTTATAGATTATTCCAAAATAAAAACCTCTAATTCGCAACTTCTCGACAAAAACCACAAAGATATTGTCACTTTCTTTTGCCAATCAAAACTTGATGATTTGCATAACAAAATAATGGACGATATTTTTGAAGAAGATATAAATTTTACGTTTAACAAAATTAACATTTTTTCTAGCAAAACCATCAAAGGCAGGAAATATTATATAATCCCTCTTCCATATGACAATGAAACTGTAGTTCAACATTTATTCTATATTTTATTCACAGCTAAAAATGACTTTGATCTTTCAAAACTGTATTGTATTGAAAATAATTTACAACTTCCAATATTAGAAGTATTCTCCTTTATATTTTCCGAAAAGGATATAAAACTAAGAATCTGCCAAGATATAGTTCGAACTCCCGATCAAGACGAAATCCCTATCATTTTAGACCAATACCATTCAGGAAAAAATAATTTACATCGCGGAATCAACGGAACAGTTAAGCGCATAAAGCAAAAATACAATTGGCCAACCTTGACCAAAGATGTCGAAAACTATATTAGAAAGTGCGAAATATGTCAAAAAGTCAAGATCTATCGTAAAAACCTCAACACACCATTAGTTATCACAGAAACTCCTAAAACTCCTTTTGAGCGCATTAGCATCGATATTTTCGAATTCCCAGTTCGTAATTACGCCCTTACCATAAGAGACGAACTCACAAAATTCACCCAGGCATATCCAATAAAAGACAAAAAAGCTTCTACAATCGTTACTACCCTTCTTCTCTACTTCCAACATTTTGGAACTCCTCTTAGAATACATTGTGACCATGGCCGGGAATTTGATAACTCCCTCGTCAAAGATCTTTGTCTTTTGTACGATATAAAGTTAACTTTCTCCAGCGTTAGCCACCCACAATCTAATGGATCACTAGAAAGATTCCATGCTACGCTCACAGAAATGATCCGAGCTCATAAAGCCGAAAATCCAAAAGAACACCTCTTTCATGCTCTTCCATACGCAATAATCTGCTACAACAACACAAAGAACGCATGGTTTTTCCCCTTATGAACTAATATTTGGGCACACTTCTAGTAGGCCTCCAGAAATTCTGTATAATGAAGGACAACTCATCACCAAATACATCCGAGACCTAAATAATCGCATGAAGCATTATTACAGAGTCGCGCGTACCCGCACTGATCAACAAAAACAAAAATCCAAAGTAAGATTTGATCAAGCAATCTCTAGAAATATGACTAAATATAATGTAGGAGATAAAGTTTATGTTAAGGAAACTCAAATTAGCGATAAAGCTCAGAATAAATTTAACGGTCCATATGAAATTCTTGAAGTATTTGAAACTTCAGCCACTGTCAAAAATTTAACTACCGAACAAGTTTCAAAATTCAATTTTGACAAGTTTAAACCTTATTACGATTAGATTAAATTTCTTTCAGGATCTTGGGACTGATCTCTACAGTCGCACCCCAATTCCACATTACTCCAGTAAATAATACAGTAGGCATCTTCTACCATGAAGAAAGTAGTTTAAGAATATCCAACAACAAATGGACGCTGCTAGTATATAAGGAACTAGAACCTCTGCGAGAAGCCATACGACATAATAATAAAATACTTTCCTCTCTCACAGAAATGTTAGACGATTCTTCTCCTCGTATGACAGCCTTCAAAACAAGTATCCAAACTCATTTTAGTCTTCTAACCAGAATTGCTGACTCAGTCGAAGAAAAATTTTCAGAAATTACTATCGACACTGAAAATTTTAATTTTAGAACTAAACGCGGTTTAATTAACGGTGTGCGAACTATTTTTAAATCAATTACCGGAAACCTAGACTCTACAGACGGCGAATACTTTAGTGAATGCATAGATAAAGTAACTAAAGACGAACACGAAATCGAAAAGCTGTTAAAAAATCAAATATCGGTTACATCATCTGTTATAAAATCTTTTAATTCTACAATTAAAAGTCTCCGAATCGACGAAGAAACTTTCAATCAGGATCTAACTCAAATTCAAAAATCTCTCTATGATATTTCGGACACCGTAGCATTTTACGAAAGTCAAATTAAAACACTTAATCTTTGCGAAAGCCTTATGGAAAGTTATGTATACCTACAGTCTTACCTCAGCGATATATTAAACGCAATCACGTTCGCACGAATCAAAGTTTTACATAGTTCTATTATTTACCCACGAGATTTAGTCATTTCTCTTCAGGAAATTTCAAAATCCTTGACAAAAAATAATTTACTACTACCACCCTATACTTCGAGCATTGCAAGGTACGTAGATATTATGGAGCTAGAAGCATTTCAAACTGAAAATAAAGTTGTTTTTGTACTAAGAATACCCTTAATTGAGCCTGAAATATACACATTGTATCGTGTTTTACCTATTCCAATTTTGGACAATCGAACACGATTATTTCATAAAATTCCATCAACAATAAAATATATTGCGCGTGATGACGATTCTTTACTCTATGTACTACCTGAAGATCTAAAAAGCTGCAAACAAATTCGCGGTAAAGAAAGAATCTGTTTTTACTTAATGCAATATCCCATCGATAGAGAAGCCCTTTGCGAAGCGCAGTTGCTTAGACATTCCGATCGTGTTCCTGTTACATGTCAATCTTCAATCGTCTTGGCCTCCGATTACAATGTTATAGAAGTCGACTTTAATTATTGGCTAATTACCGTATCCGAACCACTACCAATCTCCATTAAATGTGGAAAAAGAGACCTCGTAGCCGAAATGTTAAAAACTAATTCTTTACTTAAACTACAACCAGATTGCAGTGCATTTATTGGAAGCTCCAGAGTACGAGCTAAAAACTTTGTCGAAGAATATAAGAACGTGACCTACAAGAGCCACGCCGTGGAGATTCCATATGATTGCTGTTCTCACATTCCAGAGAAGTTTCAACCCCCAGAGTTGAAACCCCTGAAGCTAAGTAAGATCGACACCGACGACCTTAACGTGGCCCAACACAAGCTGCACGAATATTCGGAAAAATTAGAAAACCTACTTCATCAACCAACCCTTCAGAAACATTCTCACTGGCTGACAATTATTTCGATTATTTTAATGACTGTTTTAGTACTTTGCTATCTCGTTTGCAAATGCCGGAGAAAGAAACCGACAACACTCAGCATCGCCGATGGTAACGATCCTCAACAACCTCCGAAGCCAAGTCGAAGATCCCTGATCCCTATGCAACTCAAATCACTAACTCCGAAAAGACGGACTAGCATCCATCCAGAAGTAACTACCCGAGAACCTACGCTTTAATTAGTCTACGAAAAGCTGCAGCAAGGCTCCACCTTTTCACTTAATGGGGGAGCTGTTATATCCGGAAATCCTATTGTCCACATGGGTTAAATGCCACCGACCTGCAAGAGTGCAACGATTGCGAAAACGTCGTGTCAACGATATGTCGCAACATCCGCAGCCGTCGACCCCGACAACGTCAGCATAATTTTATTATAAATACTAATTTTTATTGTAAAACATGGTCTGATAACATTATCTCATCGCGAGGTTATTATGTCCATTTTTAGTTTGATTTTAACGGTCTGACAACATTCTCTCGTCACGAGGTTATTATGTCCAATATCATTTTGATTATAATTTTAATTTAAAGTTAATAAATATATTTTTTTAAAAAGTTATTTTTGAAAAGTGAAATATAATATATATATATATATATATATATATATATATATATATATATATATATATATATATATTATTTTTACACAAATAATTAAATCTAGGCTCAATTTGAGTTAGTGCAGATCGTAATAAATTTTCAATGTTTATTAAAGTTGAACGGTATTTTGATTTTATGTAAATTAATGTGGAAAAGGCTGATTCACATAAATATGTTGTACAAAATGGCAGCAATTTGTTCATTGCCATTTCCGATAGTAGGGGATAATCTGATTTGATTTCTATCCAAAATTCATGCACAGGCACTGAGAAAATTTGAGTCGCAAGGTAGTATCTCTTGTTAATTCGGCAAATTCTTCTTGTGCTCTTAAGTTTAAAAAATTAATTTCTTGCATTTCAATTGAAAATGGATTGCAAATTCATTGTTGTGTATCGATATCATTGGGAAAATACCTATGCATGTAAACTTCCATATCCTTCAAATGATAACTATCATTTTTGTTATAGGAGTATCTTTTTTTGAAATATTGTTACTAATTATATACTCGTCAGTAAATGGAAACATTTCGGGCGATCCACTTTCCACTCTGTTCTTCCATATAAGAATTTTTTTAACAAAGGCCTCAAGTTTATTTTTTAACATAAACATATTAACGCAGACTCCGTGCATTGATAAATTCATATCATTGATTTTATCAAAAATAGCTTGATAAGCCATAAATTATCGTGAAAATAATCGGCCAAATTAGAATTTTGCTCTGTTAGAAATATAAGAACTTCATCTTTTATCTGGATAGCCACCTAACTTCAGCATGTAGCAATAAACTTGTATAATCCGAATCCATATCAATGCACAAATTTTTAAACAATCGACTATTAAGTGCTCGACTTTTAATAAAGTTAATGGTTTTGACTGCATCAAAAAACACAGTGTTTAATTCTGGTGCAATTTTTTTAACAAGTTCCTCTCGGTGAATCATACAATGTGTAAAAATGCTGTAAAACCAAGATCTTGTCCGGTCATTGCTGCAGCACCGTCCGTGCACACACCAACACAATTTTTCCAATTTAATCCTTCTTTTTCAAAAAACTCATTTACTTTTTTATATATATCTTTTCCACGAGTATGATCTTCCAGAGGACGACAAAACAGTATATCTTCATGAATGCTTCCCTCATAAATATATCTCACAAAAAATAACAGCTGTGCCATTTTTGAAATGTCTGTCGACTTGTCCAGTTGTATTGCAAACTTTGAGTTGTCTTTAAGCCTCATAAGAAGCTGTTGAAATTGATCATTGCTAATGTCTGAAATTCTTTTGGACACAGTGTCATTTGATAATGGAATTTTACTAATTTCAGCAGCATACTGTTTTCCATGAACAATTTCAGACATTCTTATAGCTGCAGGTAGTAAAAGTTGCTCTCCAATAGTAAAAGGCTTTTTCGTTTTTGCTATCAAATACGAAACTTCATACGATGCCAATAGATATTTATCATTCAAAGTAACATACTTCTCCAAAGTGTTCTTTTCTTTATTTGATGTTTGCAAAATACGCTCAAAATATTCTATTGGATTTTTTGATAACGTTGCATGTTTAGTATTTTTTTCATTTTCATTTCATGCTTTATGCAGCCAAAACTTCTTTGCAAATTAAGCACACTGGTTGTTCTTCATTGTTGTGAGAAGAGCATGTGAAGCCATACTGCAAATATGATTCGTCATATTTTCTTTTTTTTGTTTTGCTAGAAGTCGGATTTGAAGCACTGCAACTTGGTTGTGACAGCGTGGCAGACTTATTAGTTGGAATTTTAATTAGCCATTTATCCATGATGGTTAAATAATAATAAATAATTAAACAAAATATAGTTGAACTTTAACGTAATAATTAAAAACACCAACTAAAAATAAATACAGTAAATACACACATGTCACTACGAAGACAAAGCTGAGTCCCAGCTGAAGTACAAACAGAAAAATAACTACACTCGAATTTTTACCAGTGCAATGACAACAAATTACAATCAGATCAACCCCGACGCATGGCGTGTTCAAAGTGTGCAGCGCACAAAGGCACCGTATCACAAAGACGCCGAAAAAGAAGCTTTCATTTAATTTTTTTTATTATTCTTTTATAAAAATAATATGCCGATTCGCCTAGCCTAGCTTGATTATGCTTCCGTATTGTATGTGTAAGCTGTAAGGCGACGCTTCGTCTGTGTACTTATAATCACTAAGTTATTTTGCAAACACTGACGCCGGCGGCCAGACATCAATGTCGAACGTTCAGTTGAAAATTGAGGAGCGCGTTGTATTTATTATTTTAAATGCTACTTCCATATTTTCCTTTATAGGCCCTACGTAACAGTTTTGAATTGCCACTTTTTTCAAAAAATAGATATAATTAAACTACAATAGTATTTTGTATGATTTTTATTTGTATTTATATTTGTACGTAGTGTGTATACTAATTTTAAAATTTTATTTATAGTGATTGAAAAGTATCAGATCTTTGCGACCCCCTTTCAGTAGTCTCGTGACCCCCTGGGGGTCGCGACCCACAGTTTAATAAGCCCTGCTTTAATGGTATCGGAACATCCCTATTCTAAAATGTTTTGTTTGCTTTTTGCGTTTATATAACAAACTGCCTTTTGTTTTGCACAAGGAATAATCCCCTAAGTTTTTCGCAATTGTTTTGAAACACTCTGTATATTTGATAACCTCTAAAAACTCCCGCATTTTTTGAAGTCACTAATGTCACCTAGTTTTCAAATTTACTTTAAGTGTTGCATTTTATAAATATTTCCTATGCACTTATCTCTACCTAAGATTACATTCTGTAAGGTAACCTCTTTCAATGATGAAACGCAGGAGAAAATCCTCGTTTTTCGGTGTGAATTGTGAGGATTCCATGAAACAGCTGACTATTACAGAAAGTTTCAAATACAGCAAAAAAGTTAAGGCAACTATTAAAAAAAAAAGTAATAATATAGCTGTTTCAGTTGCTATGGTGAATAAGGAAAGCGCAAGTAGGTTATAATTTAATCATTAAATACTTAAGTGAAATTACCATTTTACTCACCCTAGGTTTGCCTTCTTGCATTGAAAATCCTATAAACTCACCAACAGTTCAAGACATTTCCTATTGCTGTGCACAAGGTGCAGTGAATTTAACACCAAGTACTGTCTTTGATAAATCATTTTTTACAAATGCAGACACCAAGGTTGACAGTGGTACACGAGAATCGGCCACAAGAAAAAGAGATTGCAACAACACTCTAATAGGTGGTACAAAGCAGTCTGTATCCCGCAAACTAAGTTTCGAATCATCAAGAAAACCAGCACAAAAACTTAAAAAAAAGCAAGGAGTGTGTTTAGAACATGATACTGAGAAGGTTTGTGAACCCCAAGTCATTGCCCAAGAAAATATTTTGAGAGGATTTGATGTGGTGACATCAAAGAAGAGTACTGACCAGCCATCATGTTCAACTTCATTAAATAGCTCTGGAGTTACAACAACACCTTCTAAATGTGGATCCAAATCTCCTGCTAAAAACAATTCTCCAACTAAAAATAGTCCCCAGAAAGTGTTCAAATCAAAAGAAGGCAAGCAATTGCAAATTAAACATGTGGACCTGTTAGTTGATTTAATTGAAGATGTTTGTGGAAGATTACACTTTAAATCATATTTAAATGAAGAAGCTGCATTGTTAGGCACATTTTTAAAGATGAATTTTAAACAGAAATATGTTGTAATGAAATTATTTGTTTGGAAAAAGATGTGGTACAATGTATTTGAGTTTTGTAAAAAGGCTCACATAGAGATGGGCGATGACCATGACATTTTGCATAATATATTTAAATATTTGAGTCAAGAGGGAATTGTTGATACAAGTAAGTATTCATATATTTTTATTGATATTAATATTCATGATATATGTTAAATTTTATTATTTTTAAGCGGGTTACCTAAAAAACTAAAAATGTTCTGCTGAGAGCCTTTTCGTGTAGTTGACTAGGCAAATTTTAAATTACCTAATTCCCAAAGGATCTAAAAACTGCTAATATTCAGATAGGAACACTTGTTTGACTTGTGTAAATACTATATGTAAAGTGTTTATTGTATAAAAATTAAATTCATTATTTTTTTTATGTTAGATTACAAAGAAAGCACACAGGTTCCAGAACTTTTAAACTCTCTAAATAGGCAAAGTGTTAAGGATATTGCTAAACAAGTAGTAAGAAAGAATGGTAACAATAAGGAGGAAGATATTGGTATCATTTTGAGACATTGTTCCACTCAACAAACATTTGGTCTATCTTCCAAAGACATTGTTTTAAAATATATTGAAAAAGTAAGTTTCACACAACATAGATTTGTACATTATATATATTTTTCTTTGATTTTGATAGAAAATGGGCTTTTGCATTAAACTTACCCACAATATGTATCAAGCACTGAGCCATGCCTATATTTTGGCCACATTCTCTAATTCCGAACTTGAAAATATTCAAGACTACTTTCGAAATCAGTTACATTTGAGGTTAGTCTTTCCTGATTATGACATGGAAGATTATGTAGTGTTCATTTCTAGAGAGGAGTTTCTCAGGTAACGAATATTATTTTATAGGATTCTGCCCAAGTACTACTTTATATATATATATATATATATATATATATATATATATATATATATATTTGTAATATATTTATAAATTAATTGAGATATATTTGAAATTTTAATTAGCTACTGTGAAGCAAAAGAACTTCAAAAATCGCTGGATGAGTGTATTGCTGCAAGAAATAAAACAGGCATATCTGCTATTGGCCACAAAGCTTTGGAACAACTTAAAAAAGTTAAGAGTGTTTCTGAAAGTGTTTCGTAAGTAATCAGATGAAATTATTCAATCATTATACTATCTAGTTACTAAATATTTAGACTAGCCAATCAACAATTTTTGGAAGATGCCCCTCATCTCAAAATGTTTACAGCTGTTTATGTGTACAGTTCTGTACTGTCGACCTGTGTCGAGCATTTATTTACAGAGAAGAATGGCGATCCAAAACTGGTAAAAGGCTGGTTAGACTATCTCACAAGGGAATTTCCCAGATCTAGGAAAATCGGCAAGTGGTTTTACAGGTTAATTCAGATACATATAAAACACCTCAAGCCACCAAATTATGAAGAGGTAAGTCTTATTTAATTTGTTATGTGTTTTAAATAACACTGCATAATTCTTGTTAGGCCGCAAATATTTTAATTGATGTATTAAGCAATAAAACAGAAGAATTAAGTGACGTCGACAAACATGAATTGGGAAAGTTAGGAAAGGCACTAAAGTCAACCAAAGCCTATAAATTAGAGAGAATTTACTGTGACCAATTAACTGAAGTAATTCCGAGTGAAATAGACCTAAGTAACATTTACCAGAGAACATTTGATGCTCAATGTAAAAGAACGTAAGTAAATTGTTTCAGTCGTATATTATGCATTTCAGAGGTACAATAGTGTCGAGAAATAGGTTAATAATGGGCAACATATAAAATAGCAACGTAGCGTTTCCTTAGCGTTAAGAACAGAAGAAGAAGCGGAAAGAGTTGGTAAAATGGTGGCAGAAATAAAAAGCAAGTTTCGTTGTGTTTTCTTAAAAACATGTTTATTCCCATAAAAACATCAATAGTTGACCACGACAACTCTCAACAAATAGTAGTTAGTTAGTTTATTTAAAAAATGCCTAATCTACTATTTTACTAGACGCCTTTGTTCTATAATAATAATATCTTTATTATCCCACATATTTAGAATACAATCAGTGTATTATAGATTTCTTCAAGTAGGTCAAAATTAGGTACACAATATAGATCGCATTAAAAATTCATATAATAAAAATATGTGACAGCAATAACAACAAAAATGTGTTAACATACATGAATAAGTAAAATATTTCTTTAAATTATAAAAACGGTTTTGTAGGAGAAGAAAATTTTGTTTGGATTTAAAAATATTTATATTACTACTGCTTTTTAGGTGTGGGGAAAATTTGTTGTAGACTGTAATAGGCTGTTTGTAAAATATTTTTTAGAAAATTCTAGTCTATTTTTTTTTAATACAGAAACAGTCTTTGTTACGTGTATTATAGTCGTGAAAATCTGTGTTTTTTTGTAAGTTATTTTTGTTTTTATCCGCCCATAAACAAACTTCTAATATGTATATACACACTAAAGGCAGTATTTTAAACTCCCTGAAGAGGGGCATGCACAAATTATCCTATAAGCTATACTATGTTAAAATATCAGTCTATCTATCCCATCTATGTTTTTAGCAATCAGTTAGGTAAGAAAAGAAAATATGTCGCTCAACACGGGGATGATAATATTGTCATGGCTGTTGAAGACTACGCCCTTGCTTGCTACAGGTAAGAAAAATACTTTTGGCAATAGAAAAGAAATGTTAATGATTATTTTAGAGATGAGTATCCAGGTGGGATGCATTGTGAGGGAAGTTTACTGAGGTCTCTCCTTGTTTTGTTTTTTTGGGACATAATTTATAAACCTAAAAACCACATACCTGGGGTCTTCATTACCAAAATACAAACAGCGCCGTTGGATATGTTCACCAAATATTTTCTCAAAAATCGAATGGCGGCCATTAAAAAGAGGCTGCATGAAATTCAAAGTGTGTGGTCTCAAGAGGAACTCGTAAAATTCGCTCAAGAAAATTATAAATCACATGCCCATGAAAAATCTGTATTTGGACTGGTATGTATTCTGAAATATTGATTCATAGGCATAGCTGTTATGTTTCGCATCTTAGGTAAATCATGTAATAGAAAATGCAGATATGGTCGACGTCCTTCTTAAAGTTATTGATAGGCGACTGCTAGCCTGCATCTTCCTCAGGATTCTTTCAGATCTTCGACAATTCAGAAGCGGGATGCCCGATTTGTTTCTATGGAATGTCAACGAAGGAAAGGTAAAGTTTTGTGTAAAAGTCAATATTTTTGTATATAAAAAAATACTTCCTTCAAATTTGTGTGTATTTTTTTTATTTTCTTGATATTTAGTGTAAGTTTGTGGAAGTCAAAGGTGAAGGGGATAAGCTTTCCACTACGCAGGAGTTGTGGCTCCAATATTTGAAAGAAAAAGGGGCCGATGTAGAAATTTGCTACATTCATTGTAAGCAGCTGGCTAAACTAGCTTGATAAAGAGTTTATTTTGTTTTTGTTTAGCAAAAGGTAGTAAAAGAAGAAAATTAAATAGACAAAGGGACTGCACAAAAAAAGAGCAGAAGGAAAAGGGCAATGTAATAGAAGCAGAAGTTAACAATCTAGCTTCTCATTGTTAAAAAGCCACAATATATTTTATAGCATTACATACATATTCCAATTTTTCTATTAATAATATATAAAATGTTTTATTGTAGATTGAAGTTTTTTGTTGTGAAAAACGTATCATATTTTAAAGGATCCTGTGATATTTTCCAAATAAAAATTACTGGCAGAAATGAGTTTAATTTCGCTGATTAATTGGCCATTGATTATTCCAGTCTTGTCTATCAAGTGTGGACCAAAGTGTATTTGGCTCAACTGAACATAACATGGTCAATAAGAAACTATATTGATCAGAACCCCCATAATATGCAACTAATCACCAGATATAGGACAGTCCCTTGAATGATGTGTTGTGCAAGTATTCAATGTGGAAAGAATATTTGATCATAGTAAAAAAAAAAACAGCCAAAAAAATGTGATCTAACATTAAGTCAATTAGAAACCTAGAACCGCACACTAAGGGCCTCTGCTGGAAATAACCAAAACTAAGCCCATCTGAATTACGATTGAAATCTTAGCAGAATCTTGTATAAACCATTTTATATAGCTTTACCTAACAAAAGTCAATTTTTATTCCTAAACCTTTACAGAAAGTCCTACACAACATTGCATGTATAAGTGAAATAAACTGTTTGTAGTGTACACATTTTATTTAAAAAAGCAAACATGCCTATCATAGCTTAAGAAAAATAATGGTTTCTAATACTAAATGTTCCAATAAACTCTTATAATAATGAACTCAAATGAGCAATTAACTTAATTCCAATCTAGATATTGCGACCAACTCTGGCTAGGGGTAAAATTGGGTAGAACCCAACCCACAGGAATTTTAGACCCAGATTCATTTTTGGGTGGAACCAAAAATGTATCCCAACTTTTTCTAATCGCTACAAAAGTTTCCATATCTCGTTCGGCCGCTGTTAATGCCCAGTATGTTGGGTTGGTCGATGAAATTGAGTGAGATGATCCAAATAAAACAGTTTTCCATTCTTCTACTAGTTTCCGTTCTTTAGCCAATCTAGCCGCTTTAGAATCTTCTGTTGCGTTTTTCTCTAAAGGCAAAAGTAAACATTCATGTGGAGATTTATTGTAAACACACTCATAAATGTTTTTTTCTTACCTAACATTAACTTAAGTCCCTGCTCTTCTGTGGAGTATGTTTTGAGAGATGCTTCCCACATTTTCACCAATTTTTCTGTAGTAATATTAAAAGCTTTCTTGTCCTCTAAGGAGGGCCTTTCACCTCTCTGAATAGCCACATTCTCGCGTACTGTTCTTAATTTAACTAGACCTATAATTAATGACAATTGCTTTCGGGCATCAGATTTTTTCTTTGTAACTTCTGACAAAACCAAATCTGCTTCTTTTTGCATGTTTTCTTCCATTTTAATCTTTTCCAGTTCATCATGCATACTTAAAAGCCAATGATCAATCTCTTTGTGCAGTTTATTCCGGTCTTCAAGTTCTTTTGTGTGTTGTAATCTTCTCAATGTTTTTTGCTTCTTGTGGCTTTGTCTCTTCTTTTTTCTTGTGAGGACTGATGTTTTAAGATACCTCATGACCTCGGGATTATCAAATTTGCACATCAGTTTTGTAAATTCGTCTTTTAAAACACCAATTTCTACTGTTCGCTGTTTCCATTCTATGGAGGACATAGTGCTAACATTTGCTTCAAGTTCACTATGAACTTTGGATAGTTTTTCTAGAAGCAAAAGACAATCCCTTAATGAGGTCTTAGCGTTATGAATGGAGATAGCATTCAAGGGTACATTAATCCTTTTTAATTTTGGAATTGCTGTATAAATGTTGTTCTGTTGCAACCAAGATTCAATCCACAAGTCATCGCTGCTTTTGTTGTAAATATTTTCCAGAACATTGGATTTGTGTTCAGCACTTTTTCTTTCAAATATCTGAGCTGCCACGTCAGAGGCATGGCGACTAGTACTTGGAAATGTGTGATAGTTAAAAAAATTCATATTAAATAAAAGCTACCTAAATATTAAAATACGTCCTTTATTAAGATATGTTGCACTTAGCACTTGTGTGGAATTCCTTAGGAACTTGGTAATTGCAGCTTGGCTTCCTCCAATACCACTTGAGCAGTCAAATACTCCTCAGTTTCCTTTAAATCTTGCTCAGAATTTAATATACCATCGAGTTCAATGTAAGCCTTTGCTAATCGTCTTTGACAATCAGGTACCATCATAAGTGATTCCTGCAAGACCTCTTCCTGTTTATGGATGTCGTGCTCATCTTTACCTTCAGCTTTAAATTTTTCAACTCGCGTTCTTTGCTGATCCGCTTCTTTTTCGTAAACCGTTTTTTCCTTGGCTAACCTTTTTACAACACCTGTTTTTATTTTCAAGGTTTTTATTCTCGGATCAGCCATGATACCTTCAAATCGGTTGTTTTAAACCTTTTCAAGTAAGCTTCCCATAAACCAATATAAGAGCATATAAGATAATGACTCATTCAAAATGAAACAAAAAAAAACAAAAGCACTTAAAATTAATCACAAAACAAACATGAATAAAGGACTCATAGAATAAAACAAAAAATGGTGGGCTAGAGAGATTACTTTTTTTTTGCTCTTTATTGGGCTCGTCACAAATTAGGATATTTACTCATTTTCCGGCATTTTTCACTCACACAACACCCAAGGGAATCGAACCTACAACCTCCAGCGCAAAGAGTATAAGATAGAGGTGAAGGTCGCATATACTGTAGTACTAAAGTACAGTCAATGCGGTTTAAAGTAATGCGTCACACTGAAAACACTACAGTAGCTTGCAACGGATAACAGCACTTTATTTAAATTTTATTAAAAAAAAATAAAACTATTTCGACAAAATTTTTAACATTGCCACTAACGGGAGCCTTCCTTTCTATCTTATACTCTTTGCTCTAGCGTAAGAGAATTTGTAGGGATAGACCGTTGTGGTAATCGTGGCCATAGAAGTAAAGAAGAGAGAAGAATGGACGTTACAAAAAAAAAACAAACCATCCAGTAAGCGCACGCTGCACATGTTTGTTTTTATAGTACGTATGCATTAAAATCATTAAATCATAAGCAAATAAAATACGTGTTATATGATCCATAGCAAGAGATTAAGAAAGAAATGAATATACATGAATCGGCGCAGCGATTTCGATAGATAATAAATATATTGATAAAGATTCTGACCAGAGTTTCCATGAGAATGAGAATGCGTTAACGATCATTCCTTATTCTAGGAATGGTTATTTCCCACCAGAAAGATTAATGCCCGTATCATTACCCCTTAAAACTAGAAGATTATATGTGCATTTTTGCCATAATGTTTTTCTATATTTTTGCATCAATTTCCCCTCCGACAGAATGTCTTATGTGATTTTATTGACAAAAAATTTTGTGTGTTCAATAGCACATAGTCCTCAAGTTTTTAAAAATGGAAAATTTTCACATACAACCTTTTGGTTTTAAGAAGACGAAATAAATAAGGGTGCATGGTCAGAAAAGCACAGGACGTAGCTCTTGGGGCTGTGTGGCAGTCCTTTCTGACCCCTATTGATTTCTATTGAAACTACATACTAGCTATAATTTTTAAGTAGACTATGTACTGTGTTATTTTTTTAGTAACAACCCATTATCACCAATAAATTATTGACCATAAATTTCTACATTTCAAATGGTCACCAAATATCCAAAGGAGATTTCATGGGATGTGGTCCAGAATCCTGCTTCATGAAGATTTATATGACGAATCACATCAGGACTCAGAACTCAGAAATTTTTTATGAAAAATATTGAATGTTTTTTTTTAAGATTCAATAAAAGCTTCAATTATTTTTAAAAATAGCTTTATTCTAATCTCACATCTCACATTGTTACTTACCATTATGCAAAACAACAAAATATTATTTTTTGAACAAGTAAATACATATTTATTTTACACACACAAAATTGATCCACTTTTTACTGACGGCTTGATAAATATAACATTAAACTAGTAAAATATAATGAATCTGTCATAGCTTAAAAATAGTTTTAATGAAAAAAAGGTTCTTTTCTACTCCCGTCTGTAAAATATCTAATTACACAGATCTAGCGTGCGGAAAGCGTCACTTTACCACGTCAGTTTCGTTGGGACATTGGGATTTTACTGCTGGGATTTGGGAGGTATCGGATGTTTTCGGTGATATTTTGTACGACTTGAATTTTGACGTTTGTCAATTCTTACGGTCATGTCAGTGAATGTATTTGTGTTGTTTTGCGAAAATGTACCCAAAAACTAACGGTCGTAGAAAAAATATAGTAAGCAACAGGTTCGGTAAACTTTTTAACTCACTCGTTTATTAAAAACTCGCTCCGCTTGTGTCAAACTCGTGAGTCAAATGCCGTTTACCGCACTTGTTTCATAATATACTATTGCCGACTCCATGCTAGGAATTCCATATCCTCATATCGAATAAATATTCTGGGAAAATTAAGATTCGCTTATGAATCTTCTACAATTGCTTTAAACGCTACTAACATAGTCCGGCCGTTGCCGACTTTCGCGGAGAAAGTATCTGACGTTGACCCATACACAGAAATACCACAGTTAAGAAGTGCAAACGATGTTTAAAAACTAGGAAATGCAGACACAAAAAAAATGGCGCCATACTCGTAGCCTGGAACTCTTTTCAGATGGGAGATCAAGGTGGGGTATATCGATAAAAAGGAATTCCTGTAATACCGGTTAAATTCAAATGGTATACCTATTATAAATTATGTTTAAATTGAATTGAAATTAAAGTCTAATCTACATTTTATAAAATTTAATTTCAATTCAATTTTAACATAATTTTCCGTTTAGCGCACTTGTTGCGTAATATACTCCATTTACAATATAAATCATTTTATTTGAGTTAGGGAACTTAGGAAAGGGTTTATTAATTTTCCCCTCCTGAAATAATTGAAGAAAAATATTAAAATATCCTGTAAATTTGCAAGAATATTCTACTTTCCTCACACTCTTACTAAAAAAATTAGAATTTGATAAGGGTGCTGATAATAATCCAAATATTAACTTAGCACCCAATACAACCATGCAGTTTTCTACCCATACCTAGATTTTATTATAAGCAAAAATCTTCCCTTAACAATAGGTACATGTAATCCTTTAATTATTTTTATTAAAAAAAAATAAAACCACCATGTCAACAATAACAGTTTAATAGAGAAACACTAGAAAAATCTTATCCTACTGAACAAGCTTTTATTTTGGAAGAACCAAATATTTCGGTTAAACAGTTTAAATCCTCAAAATAAAGACCTAAATTTTTGTGCACATCTGAACACTGCCAGGGGAAAACCATTTTTTCGTTAAAAGTTAAATCGATAAACAAAAACACCTTGACTGCAGCTGGAGTCGTGAGCATTTGTGATAGGTATAAATTAAGATCAATACACAGGCAGCAATTAAATGTTTCAACTAAAAATGGTTTCCCAGTGATTGTTCCTCTAACCAAACGCATTGAGATTTACCAATCAAAATTCCAATAAATAGCTTAAGAGAGTGTAAACAAAAACGAAAAAAAATTTGAGAAATATTAATGCTAATACATAATAAAAAAAGTAACATAAATAAATTAATACTATATTTATTTAAAAAATTGGAATGGACTACTAAATAACAGCACCTCTAGCCTTCTTACTGAGCGTGTCACGGAAAGTGCTCAAAGATGAAGAAAGGGATAACCTAAGTCCTTTGCTTACCGGCAGCAGGGGAAAATCCGGTTTCAGCGGGTCCTAAAAACAAATTACTTGTCCGAAATATATAATCGGTAACTGGAACATACCTTATCCCTACAAAACCTTTCTAGCCTTTGGCACAGCTTTTCTCCATTTTGAGCAAAGTGATTTAGAATCTCTTTCTTGAACAATTCTGGGGGATTAGACAATAATTCCGTCATACTTTGAACTAGTTTTAGTATGACTAACTCGTTGTATGTCCTCGAGTTTTCGTATCCCTACGGTAACACATATGTTGCGTTCAAAAGAATGCAATCAAGGACAAGGACCTAAACGACGGACTTGTTTTGATTTCTTTTTACAAAGATTCTAGGATTCCCACATTTGCAAATCGAAAATGAGGTCAAAACCAAGCTAAAGAACAATTTAGACGTAACGTTTTGCACATAGTATTATATGCTTAGTTCAATAACAATTTTGAGAAACGGAGATTGCACTTTTTCATGAAATTTGCTAATGTTGCATTTTTAGACATCCTTTTCAGTTTGATTATGCGTTGACTTATCAAAAACACGAATATTGTCCTGCCTAGGATTTTTTTACATAGGATGGAACACTTTGTATGTCTTTTTATAATTTCAATGTTTTTGTTAGCTTTTAAAAACTGTTAAACATGTACATATATTTAATTTACTTTTTCTGAGTGGCCCATAGAAAATACATATTGTTTTTTACATAAAGCCTCTAATTTATTAGAAAAAGCTAGTTACCTCCTGTACGAAAGTCTGAGTGGACTGTATTTGGGCTGGTTGCTATTTTTTGATTTTCCCTTTAATAAAGTTTCGAGAGCGACGGTATAATGACGACTCCGAAAGGGTGCGGCCTACTTGATCCCTTGAAGGGGGTTGCTGGTTCTCTGCACCCGCGGGTTTTACACGTACCGGCACTTTTTAACTGTTTTACACTTGGAATTGCCCGTGATGCGTTCGGTTCGACGGTCGGTCAGAGAGAGAGAGAGTCTGTGTCGATCGATTTAAAGTTTTGACCTTCGTCTTCGGCCGCAAGGAAAAAGAGTAATTTTAAAAAGGAGTTTGCATAATCCATAAATCACCTTATCGGGACGATACACCTCCCAAAATAATACACCTCTATTATTATCCAATTTCTGATATTTTTTTTTGCAGAATGAGGAGGAGGAAGAAAAGTATATTGGGAAAATGGCCACTCTTTGTAAAAAAAATTAAAGATATATGTGTATATGCATACAGAGAGTTCGATTTAAAAAAAAACAAGTATATCCTGCTATAACCCGATAAGGTAACGCATAATTGAACAACAATGATTAATAACTCTGTTATAAAAATATTTCTATTTAATACTTTTTATTAAGTAGGTACCGAATTCGATTTGTTATTTCAAGTTCCTTTCAAGATAAACATTTTCGCGATTTAGGCAAAAATACACAGTGAACACATCAAAATAAAAGATTCTTTTAAAAATTGAACTGAGGAGGCTTTTACTTGATGAAAATCCATTTATCAAAATAAATAAGAACTAAAAGTTCAGATTTTCACGAAATTATATATTTTGACATGACAATTGTTTCGACAACACCGTGTCTTTATCACATTTGATAAAGACACGGTGTTGTCGAAACAATTGTCATGTCAAAATATATAATTTCGTGAAAATCTGAACTTTTAGTTGTGATTTATTTTGATTCTTTTAAAGCAGACAGTCTGTAAGGTCATGTAATACCTCTAACAATCGTAACATCTTTTAACATCGCTTTTAATGTAAGACCACTTCTGAATTTACCAACGGAATCGTGAAGATTCGAAACACAAGCTTACATTTACAAGCGGTACATTTAGTGACGAGTGTTTTCGGTAGATTTTAGCTTTTGACGTTTCGGAAATTCTGATGGTCATGTCAGTGAACGTACTCGTGTTGTTTTGCAAAAAATGAACTCAAAAAATAAACGAATGCTAGTAGAAAAAGTATAGTACGTAACACGTCGATAGACTTCTACAGTCACTAGTTTATGGCTGGCGCGACTGAATGGCGTTTATCAAAGTTGTTCTACTTTTTTTTTTTAATGCAGAAGCAACAATTTCTGATATTGACATGTAATTAGATACAGTAAGTTAAAATACGGTATTTTAATTAAATAAACCAAATTAGCCAAAGATGTACGGTTTGTTATAATTACAATGCAACTTTGATATATCAGCATCCCAAAGTAACAAGAATACACCACTACATGTTCCAAAACTATTCTTTAACCTACCTTTTGTTCCTCAATATATCCTATGACATAGCATGCACATGATTAAATTTTTATCGATGCAGAATGCATTTGAAGGGCAGTAATAACTTTGATATTTAAATGTTTGTATAAGATGTATAATACGCAAAAATTCATTAATATTTTTGGGGGTAGAGTAGAAGTCTAGGTTTGTTTAGTCTATGGTACAATTTATAGAAAATTGTGGGTATACCTGTTGAGTATCTGTTTGCTTTTCATACCCTGCCTCATTATAATATGGTTCAGCGACTAGAATTAGGCCTTGAATGGAAACTATGAGCTGAAGCAGTGTACTATTGGGGCCCCACACTTCTGTTCCTTTCCCCATCCAGGTTCCCAATAACGAAACACACACTTTACCTGGACAAAATCAATGTTTAAAGGCGGACAGTTAACCAACGTATAGTAAAACCGCAGCTAATATACACTCTCGGTTACTCTAACGCGCCCGTGCCTTTTGCTAAAGTTTGTGTGGAACATGATTGTGCTGTTAGCTGCCGCAGAAATCCATGTAATTCATAGAGATCTTGCGCTTTTATAAACAGAGAGATGGATACAATTTTTTATTGTGTAGGAAATATGAAACATTTTGGCTCATTAGCGGCTGCAAATGTTTTTATAAGATTTTTTAAAACGCAAAAAAAATTATTATTAGTATAACTTCAGTACCACCCGGTGAATTTACATTCTAAAATTTGTTTAACATATATTAATAAAAACAAATTAATTATATGGAGAAACCGATAAAATGTCTTTTTAATTTAATTAATTAAAAATGAAATGTTTTGTTTCTTTTTTTAATATAATAACAAGAATAAATGGTTCAATTTGAGTACCACTCAGTGTATTTATATTGTAAAACTCTAAAATGTACTTAATATATATTAATAAAAACAAATTAATTCTATGGAGAAACTGATAAAATGACTTTTTAATTTGTTTTTTCCTTACAAATATTATAATTGTTTTTAAAAAATTAATAAATTCACAATTTGAGACTTGTATTTCTGAAATGGTTACTACAGTTCTTTGTCGACAATCGTTTTTCTGTTAAGTAACATTTTATGTGGACCATTAAAATATAACATATCATTTTTCACCAAATTAAAAATTAAATGTTTCGTTTTTTTTTTTAATATCATAACAAGCGTAAAGGTTCAATTTTATAATGATAGATAACACTTAAAAGTACTAAATGGCTTAATTTTCAGCTATATAAAAAAAACTAATGTTCAACAACCCACAGATTATGTTTTATATACTGAGTAAAAAATTTAGATTCCTGAAGAAATTTCAAATAATTTGAAAAAAAAAATCACAGAATCGTGAGTCTAGTAGGTAGTGAATTATTTTCTTTTGACAAATGCGGATGGAGATATTTGTTATCTGTCAGTTATTGTCAGCGTAGTTTCCACTTTTCATGAAATAACGCAACTTCAGCCTAATTAAAGATTCGTGCTTTAGGTACTTTCCAGTTTATTGTTCATTTATCCCCATAAAACTTATAATTGTTTGGTATATTTTTAGATCTAAGGTGAATTTAACTGGTCATAATACCTTTGGATCCTATTGTTGTAGCTAGAATTGTAGCATTAATACAGGATGGTCGAGGAAAACGGAAAACTGCAAGCATTGTTGGTAGGGGTCTATGTGCTGTACAAAATGTATACCAACGCTACGAGGAGACTTCTTCTGTTTGGCTTAGAAATCAACTTGTTGGAGGAAGGTTTCGTCCTAATGAATTGTCTTGTCCAAGGATAGCTGCAGAGCCGCCATTACACCGACGGCAACGAATAGCAAGATAGGCTTTTGCTCGAAAACATTTAGACTGGAATGATTATGAATGAAGCAAGGTACTGTTTTCCGATGAATGCTGTTTTCACTGGGTTGTATTGATGAAAGACTTCCACATGGTGGTGGTTCGGTTATGGTTTTTCCGGGAATCCGTTCGGAAGTACGCACAGAGTTCGTGTTTATACAGAATAGCTCTCTGACAACTCACAGGTACAGTAAAGAAATCCTAGTTCATTATGCTATGTCTTTAATGATCACTATTAACGAAGATGACATTGGCACACCGCCGGAATTGTCAGTCAATATCTGGATAAGGGGAGAATGAGGCGATTTGATTGGCCGGCACTCAATCCAGACATGAATCTCATAGAACATGTGTGGAATGAGATTGGACCACGTATTCGAAGACATACGCCAGCTGCAAGAAGAAACGGAACATCAACCAGAACGTAATCCATAATTTAATTAAAAACATGAATCATTGATTGCAAGCAGTCATAAAAGCAGGAGGAGGGAGTGTACGTCATTAATTTTCAGGTTTTGTCAATATTGTCAATTGTTATTCGCTTTTTTTAGTTACAAATAAAAATTTATGTAGACATTTTCTGTTTTCTGACAAAATCATAAAACCAGCATCAGATTTTCCCATTAAATGTTAAATTCAGTTAACCAAATAGAGTAGGATAGATAGATAATTTACCATCTCCTAGATCGACGATTCGGTGATAAACTTTTTTTCCCAAAAAAACTGCAATTTCTTGAGTGAGCTAAACTTTTTGCTCAATAGTATATAAACGCGGATGTCTATTGAGCATCTACCAATAGGCACGACTACCGAATCATGTAAAAAAAAAATTTTTTTTGAGCTACTTATGACGCAATGTGAAAATCTAGATGAATAATAAATAATTACATAACGGTACCTTCGACATAGAGATTAGGATTAAGTCTCTCGGAACTGTAGCTAATATAGTGCACCAGCGGGGGAGAACGGGGATAGTCCGCGCTCAGTTGAATATCGAACAGAAACAGACCGTCTTCATATGGAGTTTTCGCCGGACCCTGGACCATTACGCTAAGCAAATCGATACGATTGCTGAACGATCGAACCCAGACCCCAGGCGGCAGAGATTCCTTCAAAAGTTTGTACTCTTTCATAACGGCTTTCAAAAATCTAAAACACGAAAACGCGTTCGCAATTAAGCGGTGGACACGTCTTCGTGCTCACTTTTGCAAATCGTTTGGTTCGAATTTGCTGGTGAAGTAGTGGTGCGTAATTGGCGCGTCTTCGATCACATTGTACCACTCTGTCTCTCCGCCCGGTGGATTAGCGTCGAGAGGTTGCTCTTTGAGCGCCTTTTTCGGTTTCAAAGGGCTAAGGATTGAAAATGAGTCCTCCGGCGTAGTCGGACAACTCGGCATGGGGGTGGAACTGGCGGGAGTCGTGGTATTTTCGGTAGCCTATTAAATGGGTTGAGAAAAATGCTATTACTTGCTGCGTTTTTAGATATGTGATCCAGAGTAGTCTAAGCAAATAAGCAAGATCAAATGACAACAATGGATCAATCCCTTGTTGGCTTGTATTTAGTTATTGTTTTGTATTCGTTTGTTGTTTAAAAAGTGTGCGTTTTAAGGTGATTTCTGAAGCAAATATCTCTTTTTATCGTTTTGGATAATGTCAATCTCTGAATCAATGTCAGTGTCTATTTATTATCATCAAATGAAATTTGTGTCTTGGTCTTCCTCAATACGCTAGATTTTGGTTGGAAACCGTCTGCGTTATTTCATTATTAGACTGTTTAATGTATTTCGTCATTATTTAGGTATCAAAACTGGCAATGAAACGAGTTACGAGTATTTCATTGAAAACGAAAATATAAGCTATAATCTTGAAAAATTTGTTTTGTTTCCTGCCGATTGTGGTAAGACCAAACCTGAAATATAGGATTCTAATATCCAGACACTCCAATTATGACAACCTCAAATAATCACTTTTGATAATTACTTTCCTCAAAACTTCCTGGGTCTATTAATATTTTATATTGTGATTTTTATTAAAGTACTCTTAACTCCTTGTTTCATTTGCAACTTTAATATTTCCAAAGAAATAATTGAGTAGTAATTAAATATCACATAGAAACTGAAACAACAGTATAAACTTACGTGGGAAATTAGGTATCGGTATAATATATTTCGGAGCATTTTTACAAGAAACAGCAAACAGATTTACGTAGCTTCTCTACATCAAGATCTAATTAACGAACGATCCTAAGCAAAAAGATTCATCGGTCGTAAATAACGAACGAAGTTATTAAATTACGGTACAAGAATTTATAAACAGGGTGTCACAAAGTCGCTGGTCACTATTAGAATTTCAGTAATTGTAGGACAGACGCAATGGCGCATTTCTGAGCTGAACCTAAACCCATTTTAAAATTAAGAATATTTCGCCTAGTTTTTTTCATTTTCCTAACATTAGTTTAAGACTTATTTTCAGTAAATGGCACATTGCGCTATCAATTTGGTTTCCTTTACAAGATACAGCTATTAAATTTGAAATTCAACGATCCTGTGGATCAAAGTTAGGTTCAAGAACTTACTAACATTCTTGAACAAATATCTTAGTACCAATTAATTAAAATTATCATAAGCAATCCTTTCGAATAAGTTTGGATAATATATTAGCTCTACGACGGTAAAAATTGATGCGACACAGACGGGACTGATGTTTTCGTTGAGGTTATTATTTTCCTCGCATGCCTCTACATTTCACCCACTATCCAGGACTTTGCACCATTTTCTTACAGAACACTTAACAAGATCTAGGTATACCTATTTTATGAAAATACTGAAGTAAAAATGCCGCATCCAGACTCTCTGACGATCTGTCAGCGGCCATATTGGTTGTAATGTCATTGGTCAAAAACAAAATTTTAAATCTCGCAGATGCGCGTGTTAAATGAACCTTCTCAAAAATGTTTTCATAGTTTTTTAGTTTATTTTAGTTAATTGTATTATTATTATTATTATTATTATTATTATTATTATTATTATTCAATCTATATAGTTAAATTATAAAAAGAAAGATTCTGTCCAAATTGGTAAATGCAAAAAATAGGTAAGTTTGAAAATGAAGCTTTTAAACTGGAATAAATATTTATGTTTACACCGCATTTATTGGTTTAATCTCGGTCGAGTCGAGAACAGACAATTGCTTGTGCATATCGTTTTTTCACTTTATGTTACTACCAATTTTACTGACAAGTAATTTTATCTAGTTTATTAATTGCATAAAAAACTTTGTTTCCTTGCTTACGTAGAAAAACACTAAATCAAGGCCATTTTGATAGTACTCAAAAAAATACTAAAATAAAATGAAATCGAACTGGGACAGAGACCCTAGATTCAGACCAACCCAAATTAAAAACCGATTGCACAAAAATATGGAAATCCGTAACGGGCTCAATGTAAACTAATAAGACTTGCTTTAAAGATGTTTTTTCAAACACTATAAAGAAAGTAAATACATGCAGGGTGTGGACATTTAATTTTTAACGACTTTGGCATACCTTGGTTAAAACGCTAAGCGCTTGGTTACCGCCAATTCGACTAATAATTTCTGCATAGGCCAGATCCATACGGATCTTCAAAGTAGAGAGCAGTTCGACGCACAGATTTTCATAAGAAATAATACCAACATCATTGCCTGGCGTCAGGGGGATCGCGGGCAACGAAGTTCCGTCCTTTTTCTCGATCTCCGCGTTGATTTTATTCTCTAACTTAATCATTCGCTTAATATTATCGGACTCCGCCACTTTGACCTTGGTCATGGACAGTCCGCCGTCGTTCGTAAATAAGCGCCCTCTGAGTTCAATGTTCAGGGTTTTGGCCTTTTCTTTTACTTGCATTAGTAAAGCCTAAAAAAATTCATTTCTTCAAATTAAAAGAAAGGAAATTTAAAGGCGCGTTTTTCTACCTGAAAGTGTTTGCTTTTTAAGCTAAAAAACGATGTACCCAGCAATTTGTCAAGATAGCTGGCATTTTCATAGACAGACAACAGATCCCTCAAGTTCTAAAAACAATATTAAGTCTACTAAAAAAAGCTAAATGGGAAATTATTTACAGCAAAATTCTCTCGGATGGTGTGTTGCTTGTACGCTTCCTTAATGTATACTATACGAGAACGCACGAAATCTAATCTCGCCGCCATGTTTTGCAAAACGGTTTCGTCTGTTAGATCTCCGCCCGCATATGACTCTATACTTTCTGTTTCCCACGATTCTTTATCGTCGTCGGATGATGCATCGGAATACTCAAAGTCGGGAATGAGTTCAATTTCTTGCGGCCAACAGTTTTCTTGTTTGTTTCCCACCCACTGAACCATCACATATCCCTATTTAATAAAAGTTACAAATAACAAATTAGGAGATTGGCCGAAACAATTATTATAATGGTGTTGGGGTCTTGGGAAAACCATAAAAGAACGAAGATCTAAGCGAGTCCCTAGAATAATACATTGACTTTATCTGACAAAGGCAACACCCTATACTTGAATTATATATAATTTTTAAAAAAATGCCCGTAATGTATGTAGAAAAACGAATATACCATATTATTTGAAAATCACGTTAATCACTTGATATCTTGACATTTATAAAAACGTGAAACATGCTGAGTAAATTTACATAGAAGGCTTTGAAATATCATTTTTTTGAGTACTGTCAAAGAAAGTACTGATATTTTAAAGTCTTGTAGTATAATTTTGTTTGGTATTTTATAAATGATAGCAAGTGCAAAACAATTAGTTTCATTTGTTTAACAAGAAAAAACAGAGTACAACAAACTACCAAAAGTTTTAAATTTAGAAATACTTTTTGATCATAAATTTAACCTTCCTTGATGATTTTTATTGAATCCTATAGGAAAATATATTTAAAAGATTCTGTTGTCAAGAAACTAATTCGTATAACTTATTTCTTAATAAAACTGGCTAAGGGAAAATGAGTATGTAAAATGTATCATTAGTTTAGTAACTAAAATTAGCTTTAATTAAACCGTTATACAAAACGGGCGACGTCGAAAAAATGAAATAAGTCGGCTCAAAAATCTTTGAACTTGCTATGTGCAAAAAATTAACAAATTTTATGAATGAGCGGCACCTACTTCATAGAAATTAACACGGTTTTTAAAGGGAAAATCGACGCAAATGGCTATATAAAAAAATTTTGAATCACTGTGAAAAGGGGGAAGCAGCGGTTGGAATTTTCTTATACTTATCCAAGGATTATGATTGCCTAGACAGAGAGATACTATTATAAATAAAGAGATATGACGTAAGAGGTTCGGCACTAAAATGAATAGAGTTATATCTAAGCCAATGTGCTCAAATCGTTAAAGTCTACAAAAATGGAGAGGGTAAAACATCAAAAGTTTGCTATAATAACTATGGCGTAGCTTAGGGAAGTATATTAGGCTCCATTAACTTTGTTATATTCATCAATGACATATACAGGGTTAAAGAAGGTTCCAGACAAATAATAATAAATTATGCAGATAACACGAATATCCTAATTGGTTACCAGTGTCTGTATAAGAATCTGAATCGTTCCTTAATAAAACTATTGGTTTCTGGAGAACAAATAAACCCTTAACACAAACAAAACAAATGCCACATTCTTAGGAACCAAACAGTCTAATTTAGAAACAATAGGCAACCTCATTATAAACAATAAAAACCTACGCATGTCGGAAAATACAAACTTTTTGGGCTTACATCTGAATGAACATCTGAATTGGTCCTTTCGTACAACTAAATTAAATTCAATCTGCTATTAGGACGGTTGGTGGGTATATGAATGGAAAAACACTAACAGTATTATATTTTGCAAATCAAGAATGAAGTACGGAATAATTTTTTTGGGAAAAAATAATAACATTCACGATTGTTTTATAAGGCAGAAAAAGGTAATCAAAGTAATTAGACAAGTAGAATATAATCAAACCTGCCGAAATGTGTTTAAACAGTACACCCTCACAGAAATAAACATTTATTCCAACGAGTAAATACAGAAAATTATAATACGAGGTCGGAGTATTACACCTATCCCTTGCATTTCTTGCAAATCACTCAAACGCCTCCTGAGTATATGTGTGTAAAATTATTTAACAAACTAGGTCTGAATGTTAGACGAATTAATAATAGGTATGCGTTTAAAAAGGAAATTAAGAAAACTTTTAATTGAACTTGAGTCATTTAACATAAACAATCTTTATGTAACATTAAGAATATAGTATTATGATTGTTCTAGCAATAAGTATCTCTAGTTGTAGCTGACCTACTGCGGGTCTTTGACGTCATTTCATTTATTGTTAAAATGGGTAATAATTATTGGAATAAAAAACTATCCATCTACTACATTTTCCGATACTTTTTGTCAATCGCGCTTTCTTTATATCATACAAAGTAGTGTTTTTTAAACTAAGGTTTGTCGGGTATCATTTGACCGATTTCAATAAAATTTTTACTCAAAAACCCTCTTTTAGTTTTTAATTATTGGGGTCCGAGATTGCCGTTAGTTCAGGATTTTTTTAGTTCTTATTTTGTCCTCAAAAACTAAGAATGTTACAAAAAAATGTCAAGAGACAACAAACTTGTATTTTAATTGTTTTTGCATATAAAAATAACAACAAAAAAGTAAAATAACACAATTAAATTAGAACAAAAAAGGTTCTGATTTTGACAGTTATTTATTAGTTTATGACATCTGTTTCGCTGTCATAAAGTAATAAATAATTGTGAAAATCTGCACATTTTTTTGTTCTAATTTAATTGTGTAAAATGAATTTTCATCAAGTAAAAGCCACCTCAGTTCAAAGTAAAATAACTTTGAAATACTAATACGTTTTTTCTAAATAAAAATCAATTAATTAAGTTATATTGTTTGATACCACAGATTGTTTAATTATATTCTTTGAATGTGATAGTTTTAGACTAACCAGAAATAATAGCACCCTACTTAAGACAAAAATGAGTTCCATTTTCTTTTTGGTTTCATTGTTTTGCTCAGATTTTGAATAAGTATCATATCTTAATTATCAATTAACCTAATAACCATCTAAGATTTTTTTTCCTACTTGTTAACTAAAATCGCTGCAGTTTGCAAACAAGACAGCTTGTTAACCAGATAAATATACTGAACATGTCTTGCAACTTATCTCCATGCTAAATAACTAAGTAATGTGTGACACAATTTATGGATAGGTTAATAAGAAACATTATGGTACTGAATGTCTGTAATAGTTACCACCTCTTTTTTTAATTATAGAAATTGGCAACTATGCATGGTACATTTTAAAAAGTTGGAGAGTGACATGGTAAAGTCTACTAAACAATCAAAAGTGGATATAAAAAAAACGTTGCAATATAATTTTTTTGGTGTACTTAACAAGACATGCGGATCTGCTATATGGATTTTACCTCAATGCAACTATCTATAACCTTGCCCATTTTGCCCTCTTGAGTAGGTTTTGCCTTAACAATGCTGCCTGGCCTAAAAATAAATTTGTTGTGCTTTTTTAGATCATACACGCTGATTTCTTCCAAGCCAGCGACTTCAGGCTTTGCATCACCTTCAGAATATGTGAACCACTAAAGAATAATCAATATACAGCTCAAAAGTAATCAACAAGGGAGAACACACCTTAACTGCAGCGGTTCTCTCACTATAGTTGACGTTCTGAATTACGCCATATCGACTGCTGTCCTCCTTGCCATCTCTGATTATCCACTCGCCAGGGAAAAACTCGTGATCATCCAAGGATATTGAGTAATACAACTGAGTGGAGGGAATGTCTTTTTCTTCTGTTCCGTCTTGCCAGACCACAGTAATTTTAGATTCCACACAAATAACCTGTGCGGACCGAAAAACAATCATCAAAGTAGAAGTAAGCAATTTGAATTAAAAGTTTTAAATAATTTAATGGATTTCTGACAAAAATTCATTTTCTTGAATCTCTGTGGAAAATGCATATATTAGGGATAAAATAACCTCTTCTTTCATATAAGTTACAAATAATTACAGTAGGCATCATTCAAAAAACTTACTATTGAACTATAGTTACGTAGTTAATTGTTTAAAATATATATTGAACTTGCCTCATAAAAAAATATTTTTAAAATTAAGTGAGAGATTGGAGCGTATAATGGAAACTATTTTAATTGTATTTAAAAAAAAATTGGACTTATTTTTTTTTCAAACACTTAAGTAATTTGATTTGTTCAACTGCACAATCAATCATAACAAAGAAGATTTTTTTTTAATGTAAAAATTGAAGTTTAAAATGATTTTGCAAGACCAGGTTTTTGAAACTAAATTTAAAATAAAATATAAAAACTATTATTTACATTGCATTTATTAAGTGAAAAATGACTTTGCAAGCTTTAAACTTACTTCAACAGGCAAAGTGTGACCAGATACCAATTCATTGGGTCTGGGTGGATAATGTTTCTTGCGAGGAATACCCCTGCCAGTTGCAGATAAATCCCGAGATGATGAGCCACTACCATTGGTCTCTCCATCAGATTCTTCTCCTTCTTCTGTCCACCAGTCTTCTTCTGGCTCTTCCGTACTTATATTGTCATTGATTAAAGGATATACTGCATCGGTTTGTATAACCGGCGAAGACCCAACTGAAGGATAAAGCAGCGACGAGCTGCGAATTTTAGGCACCCGAGACATACTGAAAAGAATGTTTTGCAATTATATCAAGTCAACTGAAAAAATCACTACATTAACCTAAACATTTTAACAACACTTCAACTGTGTCAGGAATTGAACAGCTTATGTTGGCATTAACAGTTAAAATGATGGTAGCAATAACAAGTGATTGTAAAGGAAACCTGATAGATTGATACCTACATTTTAGAAATACAATTGACAATGTGTCTAACTTTGGGAACATCTGGACGATACATTAGTGACAGTTTCCTTATCCAGTCCTTTCTTTTATATAATGCATCTTGTGAACCTAGCTTAAGTAATCTTCTTTCAGTTAACTCCAGACAAGTGTCACTTGGATGCTCCAAAACATTCAATCTAAAAAAAAGTTTTTTTATATTATGTTTAAATAAATTCTAATCTAACTTTTCTGCATCTTCCCGAGGCAATTCAATACCATGGGAATATCCATTATTATTATACAAGGACACTTCAATAAGTACATCATTCACTTGTTGGATTGTGAACCTTTGGCGTTGCTGTATATTTCTTTTCATAACTTTTGTTTTCTTGATCCAGTTGGGTTGCTCAAAATTGCTTGGAATGCATACCTGATGATTTTATTATAAGCCCAAATGCTTTCCAAGCCAAATTAGTACTCACAATCTCCTGGCCTGGATAAAAAGTGTCAAATGATATTCGATTCCGTTTTGATAGCCAGTAATCATCCAGATCATTGTTTATGCTGGTCAAAAGCTCCACCACTGAACCATCTTTTGACTGCATCAAAATCATTTGATCAATGCTCTACAATTTGAAAGTCACAGTTTAGAAATAAAATAACTAAGGCCCCCTCAAGATGAAAAATAAATTCAGACCTCAATTCTTCCGAATTTGCTGCCAAAACACACAGCGTCATCAACATCAAATGGTCGTACACTCTGTAATCTATCACTACATACATGTTCAATGACCTTATCAGTACCAACTATTTGCACTGTAGCAATTTGCTTTGTTTCTTTGCAATAACCTCTTTGAGTTTCCTTTCCTTTTTCTAAACGCCTAACAATATCCCCAGGTATTATACTTCTGTTTATTAAGCGAACCTAAAAAAAAATTACTTCCTCTACGTTTCACCTTAAGAAAAAAATTGAAATAATTATAAAATAGCTGAAACTTGTGTCATTGGTGGTAATTTATTTCAGATACATACCTTACTTTGCCTCCAGATTTGTTCTCTAGAGCTATTGCTCCACAAGACTCTAATTTGACCCTTTTGGAGAGCTTGGTGCTCATCTATATCATCGGAAGATGCTTCATAGCTATCCATGACCACTCCAAATATTATTTTTTTATGTTTATCAAACCTGTAAACTATATCGTTGGAATAAAACTCCTTAATTTTTTCAGACATTTTTGAGTTATGATTTTTGATACGTCTTTCACTGCGACTTTTGTACTTTGAAGGCCATCGAAAAAACGGCCGATTTGATGTTTTTTTCGGACTTTCCGATGGCGCATGACATATAGTAAACAAAAAAAGGCACAAAAAGTACAAATCCCAGCTGATTGTTTCCAGTAAGTTTGTCAACGCTGCGAATCGCTTGCTCAGATGACAAAAAAAAGACCATGGTATATTACAGCAGAAAGTGAAGACACCAGAAACCGGAATTTAAATGGTGTTCTGTGGTCCGCTATATAAAAATGGCATTTGTTCGAAAACTGCACTAACGACATGTAATTTGTCGTATCTGGCCAATATCCTACCTATACTACACCAAAACTTTGGGTTCAGTGGGCTATACACGTCAGAGAAATTGTTATTGGGTAACCTTCGGTTCACCATTCTTGAGTATAACTAGCGTGTTACTTATTAAGTGAGAGCAAATATCCCTTCAAGACTTGATTTCCGCTCAAATGTATTTTTATTTCTATGAAGAATTTTATAAGCACTATTTTCTATATAACTGGCCATAGTAGATTCCTTAGTATTCTATACCACCCAAAATATATATAGCACACCAAGCGCAAGGCGGCACTTGTGACGGTTTTAGCGATTTATATCAATTGGTTCCTCTTTGTCGTGTTATATTCACCAAGAAGCATAGCTTTCCAATATACAATGTTTCTCTGTGCAATACATCGCTACAGCAAATTCAAAATCTGATTTTTGATAATAAGAGCCAAAAACAGATATGTCGTATAAAGTCCCTGATTTTACGGAAATGAAAAAGTAGCGAGGCCCAACTTTACTGCATTACCACATTGTAGAGAAGCTGTCTAGAACGTCGGTGCGTAATATTTACATTAAAAAAAAAGTTTAAGTTTATATGCACCATTTTTTTATATGTTTAGTAGCTTAAACAATTCACATAAAAGTTATTGAAAATTGTACATTAGATAAATATTCTGTTTTATCCAATAGATGGAAGCACCATAAAACAAATATTTTCTTTAGACTGTTTCTAAAAAGGTGTTCAGTTGGGACAGCTTCCGTTGTATGGCGCGTACACTGTTGACAACAAACTAGTGTCAGTGTTCCACATAATCACATATTTTTGAATTTTATTTGAACGCAAGAATAAAGTCACTGCATATAAATTTATATTGTTGGTTTTCTGACAAATTATTGATATGTGTGATGAGGAATCGCAAATCCATGACGATTTACTCTTTAATATGTTGCAAGAATGTAAAACGCTACCCTCATTTTTGAGTCATGTTTTTGGATTTCTTCAGAGGAGGTTATATTTTTCTTGATGTTGGAAAAAACGTGGGGAAAAATCAGTTTATTTCTTTCAGAACAGACTTTTATCATATAGCAAAGGAAAAGGACTCACCAGTAGGCTTACCTGAAGGCCTTGCCGAAAATTTGGTAAAACATTCGTTTTATAAATGGAAGCCTAAAGTAGCGCCTAAAGAAGCTGAAGTTCTATGTGAGCAAGATATACCTGTTGCTTCAGAAGTGGTTGTGTCTACAGAAGAAGTTGCTCAAGATTTAAATAATGTTGGCATAAATGAACCGCCAGATAAGCAAAGACATTTGCAAACAGAACCATGTTTTACTGAGTCAGATAGTTATAATGGAAATGTGTTTGAAAATTATTGTTGGTCTCAAACAATAGCTGATATTGATATTTCAATAAAAGTGGCCCAAAATATGAAGGCGAAAGATATTACTGTATCTGTATTAACCAGTCACATATCTGTTGAAGTGAATAACATTCTAATACTTCGGGGTGATCTGTGTCATAATGTCAAACATAAAGAGGCCATATGGTCTTTAGATAAGAGAAAATTGCAAATTCATCTTGATAAATGTCAGCAAATATGGTGGGACTGTCTTCTAATAACTGAAGAGAAAATAGATTTGACAAACATTGACTGTTCAAGACCATTTGAAGATCTAAGTGATGAAGCTCAAGCAAAAATTGAAGAACTAGAATGGAATCAGAGACAGAAAGAGTTGGGCCTACCAACATCTGATGATCTTGCTAAACAAGAATTGCTCCGAAAGGCTTGGAATGTAGAAGGATCCCCATTTTCAGGGCCCTTTGACCCTACAACTGTTGCCTTTCATTAATTTATTTTAAAAATCTAATACACAACTATAAGGCAATTTCAGCAATAAAATTACCTTGGTAATAGAGTCTTATATTATTTTTCACAAAAAAAACTTATTGTGTGACTTTAAGACATCCTAACTTTATACAGGGTTTGTTAACTTAGTTCCAAGTGTATTATTTTTATATCCAACATTATATTTTCAGAAAATATTTTTCCCAGGTTTTAACTTAACATAAATTATAAAATATTTATTTTTGATTTAGCACATTGTGGACTGCGTCTTATTGCAAAATGAAGGTAAAAAATCATATGCGACTGCGATTGGTAATTTTAAAAAATGAAATGGGTGATAATGTATAATAAATGATGGAACCACTGGATTTATGTGCAGCGGGGAACATATGCAATTTAAATATAAAAAAATGGATTTTTTTCAGAACTATTTGAATTTTTTAAGGATTCGAAGTAGGTTTAATATAGAAACGCCGAACTATTTTCTAATTTAACCCACGTTTTATTTTCTTTGTCCAAATCTTGCATGTCCAGGAATGAATGTTAATGTAAAAAAATAAATAGTGTGACTAAGAATGTTAATATATACTTCTAGTAAGCGTTGTTTTATTTTTGTATTAAAGTACGCAATTATTTTGCAAACGTGAGTGAAATGGCACGTTCGATCATCAAATCTTAAAACAAGCATTGCAAATAAATTGGAACTTTGTATTTTAATTGACTCATGACGTGACATGCGATTTTACAACCATCATTCTGTAAGAATCAATCAATCACAATTCATTATTAATTTATGCTGACAAATATGTCACAGTTCATTCCTCAATAATTTTGCACACTGCATTATATAATATTTATACAATTTTTGGTAATGTAATGTGAATTTTAATAAAATAGCAACAACTCCAATTTTAGGATAAGAAGCATGGATGACGTCAAACCCGAAGAGAAATCTCCCTTACTATTATATTTAACTGACAATGAGAGCAATCCTTCTAGCGAGAACAAAAGATACAATTTTGAAAAAGGCAGATTATATGGAATATCATCCGGGGTTACAACAGTATTTACTGAATTTCCAAGTAAGTCTACTAATTTCACAAATACTGCGGCTTATATACCGGGCTAAACAAGAAAATGGGAACGCAAAAAAATATTAAAATGGCGATTTTAAAATTTCAATGGGTTATAGGTTAAATTTTCATTTTTGTATTTGACAGCTTTTTGATTCAAGAAACTGTATTCGTCTCATGAAATCTAATTATTATTATTATCTTCCCAAAACGGCTTTAGAGATGTCACCAAAATGCACAACTTGCCTCCATTAAACTGACTTTGTATCTTGCTCAATTGCCGAGATAGTAATATACAGGGTGTTCGCTTTAAGACATACTGCTGTGTCCGAAACGGCAGAAGCGTATAAATTTGAGGAATGTTGTCTTTTTGGCACACGTTTACAGTGGTGTCCAATTCCTTTTAGTTTTTGAAATGCAGGGTGACGCGAGCTTTTTTGGCCCCCTGGTTTACTGACTGGTTCGGAGATGGCAATGGGTGTTACTTAATACGAAGTCACGTGTCCATTTTATAGTGCACCCTGTTTATCACTTTAATTTTCGGTTTTATTCGTTCAGATAATTATATAGTTTTTATTGTCATCATAATGACTTATTACATGAATGCGGAAGTGTGATTTTATTTATTGTCATGCGTTGCATGAGGCACCTTTTAGTTTATTTCTATATGTATTAAAATATGAACCTTAAAGCGACTACAACGAAAACAATTCAGAAATGTTCAAGTGGGTCATTTCAAATTTTCGTGGTTTCTGTGTTTTAATGTTGCGTTTGTCATTCAATATTTTTTCATAGGCTATTTTGGCACCTGCTGGTTAACAACAGTCGTATCGAGCATTGCAATTTTTTTCCTGATAATGGTGACGATATCCTCAGTAAACAACTACGAAAGTGTAAGGGTGCCACGTTGTGTACACCAGCAAACTAATATTACTAAATTGGACAATAATACTATTCATTTGGTGCGAGAGTTTGCAGAATGGGACGAAAATCAAATTAGCATTTTGGAACAAATACATCGAAATTTTCCTGAATTTAAACTGCATCTGGTTATTCTACAAAAAAACGGAACACAGCTGTAAGCTTAAATAATAATTAAAGTCGAATTGGAAAAACGGAAACCAAACTGTTTTTACAATCTTATCTAATCTAGAATATTTAATTAGAAATTAAGGTAACGTAAATAATGCAATTATTTCAACATTTTCACTTAAATAATCCTCATAGCTTTTACGCTTAATTAATCGATTTTTCAGCAACAAGTCAGTCATCAACGACTTAGACATACTTAGTTCCAAATTTGTTCAAACAACTGTTCCGACTTTTGAAAAAGAGGAAATCACAAAAAATTTAACGATGAATAGTATTTTCAAGAAAATCAGCGTAGTAAACCGGCGTAAGCGCAAGTCCGAAGAATTCGGATACGGTTTAAACGAGGGCGTTAAAAGACTGCTGGATGTGATTTTGCGAAGTAGAGCAAACTTCATCAATAGCAGCGGGATATTAGGTTTAATTTACGCAAAATGAACGTTTCACAAGTTAACTGATATTTTGTTTTAGAATCAAAATTGTCTCGAAAATCTATTACTCCAAGATCCAAAGCAAGAACCATGGACGATATTTTCAATCGGATACCTAATTTGTTAGTAGAAAACGTGACGCAGGAACAAGCGTTTAATAAGACTCCTTTAGAAAAGTCTTGGACTCGGTTGAACGTCCAATTGCAAATCTTTGCTATCAGAATTATTCAGCTTTGGCAATATGGGGGAATTAGTTTTTCTCTCGACAGTCCTATGTCGAGAAACAACGCTGAAAACACTGACGGTACTTAGGAACGGGTTTGCCACAATATGTCGCAGGCCATGCTTAATTTTAAAGAAAATTTGATGAAAAGATTTTTCCGACTTGGGAAAATATCCATGTCGGATAGATCGGAATAAATAAAGATAACCAGCAGATAAGTTTTCAAAGAGTCATATATTTGAAGAATAATCTCATTGGTTTTGCTTATCTTTTGAAATATTTCTTATGATTCTCTAATAAAATTTGTCATTACTTAATTCCCTCTTAAAAATTAAGTATCATAATTGCAATTTTTAAAAAATTGTAATCGCATTTTACCCTATTAGGAAGATTAAACATTAGAAGTTTCGGAAAACGGAAACGTAGAAATTTGATCATGAGTGTGAAGCTGACCAAAAAATAAACTATCGACTTATGTGTTTGGCGTGTCACAGTGTTGACGCTTTTGACAAATTTTAATTTGAGATTTCCTGTACAGGTGGTTTTTAGGAAGGAGTAATGACCATTATAAATAATATAATAATATAAGAATAATATGTCTAAAGGCTCATGTCGGTGTCATTGTTTAATAAAAACAAACGAAAAATCCATTTAAAAAAAATTTTTTTTCATAGCTTTTTTTTTTGGCTGTGATGTTAATTGTGGGAAACCCGGTATACATAATCGGGATAGCGAAAAATATGTATGATTTTTTTTAGCAAGTTCCGCAGCAACTTCATCCAAACTTCTTAGATTCATAACCCGGGGCAAAGAGAGTTTTGACAAGTTACCATATGGTGTGGTGACTGCGGATGATGAAGGCCTTCACATTTTCAGTAAAATGCCGTGCCACGCTTTCTTCGGAGAAATTATACTACAGTTAAAACACGCCAATCTGTTAGAATCTGTAAAGGGAGTTTTAAAAAAATCCTTGCATATATTTTGCAAACACGCTGCTGTCAACAAAAGTTACTGTGATAATTTGAGTCCAAACAATGTGATAAAAATTTAGTTCCATTAAATTGCTTATATCTACATGTATATACAAAATAAACAGTCATATTTGTATTTAAGTTTCTTTATTACTTAAGGTTGGGGACAATGGCAGCCAACTCTTTTCTATTCCTTGCCTGTTAAGTTAATGTTAAGTATCCGCGATTGGGCCGTAGCGTAGGTATTGAATTGCAATATGCAAAATGAATATTTCGCAATACATAAAACTTGCATTACCAAACAGAAAAACTTATATTTCAGCAATTAGATAATACAATCAAAAAAATATATGAAATGCACAATGAATTTGAGAAAATTGAGCGTGCTTTTGTTCAGTCTAACGCAATTTAATTTACTAGTTATGGCTAAGTTCGTATTAATATTCAAATTTGGAAATTAAAAGCAAATTAAATTATAATTAAATTTATATAGAGGATATATTTTCCATACAAGGAAGTGACTTGCATTTATTAATAATTTTGTTTTTCCATTCAACAATTTGTCTAATTTTATTGGTTGCACAGTGGTATTTTCAATTTAAACTGCTATATTAGAGTAGACATTACTATATAAAGGACTATCCGTGTATTTTTATATTTTTCATTCACTAAATTCACTAAACGACTTGGGAATTTAAAATATGTAGACCAAAAGGACAATATGAAAGAACTCAATTTATTCAAAATGTCATAACATGGAATTTATATCAATAACACTATTCAAAAACACTTTGCACACTTTACATTGTTCTAATTCTGTATCTGTATTGTGAATGCCAATATGTAGAACAAAAGTCAATGAATCCTGAACAGTATAAGCATCTGAGACCACTATAGCTTTCCATTTTAAAAATCCAATAGTTTTATCACTTGTTTGTTTAAGATCATAAAAAGTTCGCTTAAAATTAATAGATTTTCCTTTGTTTTCATCATTAGGCAAAAGGGTTAGCACTATAGCTATGCAACAGGGACGACCATCCTCTTTAACCAAATTTGCACTTAAAAAATGTCTTTTAAATACCCTCCTCAAGTATAATCTCCACTGAATGCCGTTAATGACATAACTTGACGAGTAGCATATATTTTCCAAAGTTTTTATATTTCCAAATGTAACTGGCAATGAGCTGTGATTATCTGCAGATTTCGAAAGATGTTTGGGTATTGTCAAAAGAGCACTTTCATTTAATTCAAATGTACAAACAATCACATTTTTGGAATAATCCCTTTCTGTAATGTCATATATGAATCCATTTTCTCGAAATAAATCCCAGCTAGTTAATGGTATTTTACTAGATTTGTAAATAACAGTGTTATCAAGATATCTTAACTGAATACTATAGGTTGTATCTTTCTGGACTGTTGTATTTAAGCAACATATATTTAAAAATAGCTGGCAGTTGCTTGCATCAAATTTACAGAAAATGTGCAATAGGGGACTCTTATTGCTGTAGAAATATGTTAATTCTTTATCAGTTTGATCCATATCAACAAAAAATTCTGTATTGCACAAGTTCTTATCTGGGTGCATTTTTATAATGTGGAGGCGTAGATTATAAGCATTGTCATTAAAATTGCACAAAATGCAGGTGTACTTATCTTCTATACATGATTTCTCATGATGTTTAACAGTATCTATGGTGAAAAGTTCTCGACATCCTTCAAAATTATTGATACAAGGAAATTGAATATTCTCGGCAACCGTTTCGTAAAGATAGGAAACACTTCCCCCGTCATTATCTCTTGCGCACCTCCCGCATTTAACTTTTCTATCGGGGTACACTTTAATAGGTTTTACTGATAGATATTTACTACATTCCCAACATCTTAGAGATTCGAATATAACGCTTGACGTGAACATCACTGTTCACTTACGCCTAAAAATCGGAAAATGAGAATTGGAAAACACCCACTTGGGCATATTTATTCAATTAGCCTATGCAGCCATACAACTAACAATCAACCATCAGCTGATTTTCAGCTGATCAATTCAAGTATTCGTTCACAATATTAATTGGAACACTGGTAGGATCATTCGCCCAACCAGCGGATAGAACGTTGTCTTCCTCTTTTTATATTTTGATGTCCAGTAGGTGTTCTTTCGCTGTTGGTAATAAAAACTTTTGTATAATGTGGACTAGAGTGTTACTTTATTAGTTGCAAATAAGCAAGGTTAGTAGAAGTGAAGTTGTGAGAAACTTTGTCTTCTTCGATGTCCATAAATTGGTCAGAGAAACGGAGCTGTTGCGCCAATTGGCAAAAAATGAATTTTCTACATGGTATTTCAAACTTTTTTTTTTTCAAATAACAACTTATACCTATATTTTGTTCATAAATATTATTTCTTATTACTGCCATATATAATTTACTAAAAACATTTTACTCAGAGGGACTCTGCAACTAAATACGCGTTAGTGTATTTTGGTCACTTGTAAAGAAATTAATTTCTTCACTGCAATTATGATTTGCTCCCTAATTTGGGTCAAATTTAGCATATAGCGATTTTTTGTATAAGTGAGCAAGGTATCGGTTATCTGGTGTGGTCACTTTCCGGACGAGGAAAAAAAATGCGCTTGTGTTTATCTGCTTTTTTCAACTTTTATCAATCACTGACCGTAATTCATATGTCAAACTCAGTTTTTAAGTGAAAACAATACCTCGCAACTTTCAGCTCAGTTGTTATGCTACTTGTCAAACCAAATTATTTAGTTTTCTCTTTCAATTTTTCCAGAAAGTGTATATGAATGTGGGCCATACTATTTATTTATTTATTTATTATTTTTCAATCCAATGGTTTTTTTTTGCGTTTTACATTCAAGAAAAACGTGCATTACAAAATAAAAAAATACAATTTCAAAAGCTAAGCGTCCATTTGATTATTAATTATTATTATTATAAAAACAGCAGCGCGATCTATTTTCTGATTTCTATGTAATATGTTATATTAAAGATCAAGACTTTTTTGTTGCAACAAAGTACGATGCGCTAATTTAGCAAGACCATGAAGAATCTTTTAGAATACGATTGATCAACTCATTCAGCAACTTTGGGTACACAAATTAAATCTCACCCAACCTTTAATTTAATAAATGTTTAATGGAATAAAGTGTAGGGTAATGATATGCAGGTATGCAGGTTGAAAAGGAAGAGCCAGCATGCAAAATAGTTATTCTTTTACCTCTTTTTGATGGCGCGTTTGTTTTACACTTAATAGTTGAGTCAACCCAACCCTTTTCCGGGGTATCATAAGTGTCGAACCCGGATTCATCCCAGTAAATAATTGGCCTTTGTTGTTCTCTGTAAATCCTAATTTTTTCTAGATATTCCAGTCGCCATTTCCGAATTCTAAAAGATTCCATTAAAACCCATGTGTTTAATACACTTACATAAGGTAGTTCTGCCACATATAACACCGGTTTCATCTTTTTCAAGCCTCCTAATTAAGATATCTAATGTAGGCACGATTTGTTCTTCGTATAAAAGGTAAATTTTACTCCGTATTATATCTTGATCACTTTCATCTACACTCGAGAAAATGTCAGCATCGCTTCTTTTTTTTCCTCGCTGAAATGGGATTATTCATAATTTTCCATATAGTTGATGTTGGAATTCCTTAGTCTCAATAGAATAGTGTTTTCTACATTTGGGCGGGAGCATCTCCTGAGATACACTAGATTCGCACATATTTTGCATAATTCGCCCACGATTCAACATACGCTGTATTACACACGAAATAGGAATGATTACTAATAAACTTAAACTATGTAGTATATCAAACCAAAGAATTTTAAACACAGGTAAGTACAAAATTATTTTCTATTACGGACCTCAATTTTAACTGAATTTAAATTCCGAAACTTTTGGTAATAATCTTGTTGCATTGTATGTTAATGATCACCCTTGGATAATCCCATTTAAAAGCAGTTGGCCACTGTCTTGTATCTATGAACAGACCATAATAAAAGTATTATTAATAAAAGTTGATGGCTTGCCATTACAATTTTCCAATTCGTATAAAAACCTGGCTCTGTATCTAGACTATAAACTTAGATTTAGAAGGCATATTGCTTATAAGCCTAGGAGAGGCTATAGTACATTAAAACTAATTTACTGCCATGGACAATAGCTTAAACTCCTTGGCTTTATCTCAGTGAAATCATTGTTGTGCACACTCAAAACGGGGTACGAACTCGTCACAATATTTCATATTACTTACAAATTCCATTATGGCTTAATATGAATCACAGATTTAGATTTTACATTTATTTAACAAAGTTTCAGGGTGAGTGTTTATGGTTTAAATTTACACCACAACGGTTTACTTAGGGTATCGCAACACAATAAGGAACTCTTTAAAAGATCTTCCTTTTATAATATGGTCATTTTGAATAATTCACTAGTTTCGATGACACCTGCTTAGACAAAAACGAGTCTTTCCACAGTCTCAGCAATCTTGGATTTGCTTTTATCTCAAATGAACAAAGATATAATAATTTTTTTAACACTCATATTATTAATGTTTTTTGCTTCCTGCGTCGCTATCACTTTTCTTTCCTCTTCTTTCCTATGTTCATTTAGTTTTGACTCATTCTATACTACAATATCTGGGAAACTCCCAGACTTACATAAAAGTCTTTTGCTACAGTTCTGTCATGCGAATATGTTATTTTGTATGTTAGTTGTATTGTTGTTTATTAATTATTTATTTTTTTGGAACTTAAATGGTTTAAAATCAACTCCAACGGAGTCGGTTATTATAAGAACTTGCGTTTTTTTCCGAAACCCACAAACCTGACACATTTTTCGGGATGCCTGCTGTAACAAATTCTCTCCCAATGTGAGACAATTAACAGGCCACCAATATCCCACGAAAGGCTGCAATATATCGGGTGTCTATCGAAATGACTTCTGAGCGTCTAAAACAGCGACTGAATTAAAAATCGTACGAATATTAAAAAACAATTCAAGTGCCCATATTAACTAAATATTGAAATCTATTAATACATTTGTCGTTGTAAAATATCTCGTTATTATTTTTGTGCACGATATACATCACGTTAAAACC